CTCTTCTTAGGCTTAACTAATAGCTTCGCTTCCTAAAGCTTACCTAGAATCTTATAAATATATCTTTTATATTCTTCGAGGGTCCCGGGAAGATAAGGATATCGTTAAGGTATATAACTATAAAGTTATCTAGGTACTCTTATAGTATGTTATTAATTATAGATTAAAAGGTTATTAGCGTGTTAGTTAATCTAAAGGGTATAATAAGATACTCGAAGTATCCTTTTTATATTTAGAACGCTATTTTCTATTCTTCTCCCTCCTTAATTCTAATAAGGTTATAAGCTCCTTTTAGGTTAAGTGCTATAAACTATTACACTCCTTATAAGCGATCTCGTAACTCGCTAATAAATAGTAAAGGGTAGCGATTTTTAATAGTGATATCGTTAAGCTATTAGTAGTCTATATAAAGTCGTAGTTTACTATTCTTCTTTAGTATAAATAGGATAGGGTATCCTACTAGTAAGATTAAAGGTTTAATATATCCTTTCTGGAGATATTCTCGGATATACTCGCGTCAGGCGTCTCTCTCCTTCTAGTTAAGGCTATAGATCTTATAGAACTTAGGGTTAGTTCCTGGCTTTAATAGGATTTTATAATCGTAGTGCCTATATTTAGGTAAACCGGTTTCTAACTCTTCCCGGAAGAGTTTCTTATACTATTAGTATTCTTCGGGTATTCGTGCTAATCGTTCGTTATCCTTTCGAGCTATCTTAATAAATACGAGTATAAGTTTCCGTTCTTATTTCACTTATTACTTAGTTTAGTCCCGGCTAAACACTATCTTTCGCGGTGCTTTTTCCTTTTTTACTCGTTTCTTTTATTTCTTCGTTTTCTCTTCGTGCGTGCCCGTTAAGGGTCTTTCTTCGGGGTTATTTAAGGGATCGCTCCTAGATCTCTCCTTAGTGACTGACTCCCACTAAAGGTAGCTAAGTCTCTAGTCTATATAAGGGTTCTATTCTGGTAGCCACGGGATCCCGAGTAGTATATCTTATTTCCCTATATCGGTTATATCGAAGGTTATTATTCCTTTTTTCCCCTGGATAACGACTTAGAGTGGTACTATCTCCTTATCGACGATACCATTACTATAAGATATAGCTTATCCCTCTATGTTTCGTATTTCGTACTCGTCTTATAATTACTTTTGTTACCACGGTATTCCTTACTCGTTAAGGAATCTTAGAGATATATAATTCCCTTATACTCCGCTATCGATTATTACGCGCGTGTTAATATCGTGAATCCGGATATCGGTGTATAGGTGATCCCTGATCCTTATAGAGTAAATCTTAAAGGCTTCTCGTATATACTCCTTATACGGAAATGCTCCTAGTTTTTTATTATATTATAAGGTCGGTTCCTCTTAAATCTTTCTCTTAGCCCTTAGTAGTCGGGTCCGTCGATTAATACGTTAAGCTCCCTAGCTTATTCTTCTAATATTACGTTCTAGATTCGTCGTCGTAGGCCTTTATTATACTATTCGTATTTATAGCCTTCTAGTACCTATAGCGTCCGCTATTCCCTGGCCTTTAATTCGTAGTATATTTTATAGGCGTCCCTAGTATATATCGAATAAGGTATATTACCCGTAATATACCTTATAGGTTGGGTTCGATCTAGCTATAGAATTACTAATCCGTTCTAGTAGTATTATTAGGTAATAATCTATCCTATCTTTTCTTATACTATCCCGATCGTAGTTCTAGTACGTTCTCCTTTCTTAGGCTAGAAGTTATTCGCGTGCTTCTAGTACTCGTGGAGATTATATCCGTTAAGAGTATAGTCTGCCTACTATACTTATAGGTGCTGGCTATATCCTGGTTCTAGCTATAGGTGGTTATTAATCTTTAGACTATAGTTCGGATACTATCGCTATTATCGGGTAGTTAATCCTTCGCGGATCTCTTATAGTTCCTATCGATACTCTATATACTATTCTTCCGTGAGTCGCTATAATACTTTTTCGGTATTATCGCTATCCTAGCTCTACTCTACTACGCGTATTAGTATACCGATATAGTTCTCGTTATCCGTAGGTAGTTCTTCGCTACTATATTATACTAGCTAAGATATCCTTATAGTTAGCTCGTCTTATCTATTTACCTACTCCTAGGTTTTATTAGTCCTCTATACCTAGTCCTACACCTATAGTCCTAGTAAAGCGTCCGTGTCTTTATTATCTTTAAGCGCCTTATTTATCTAGTCGTTATCTTCTTCGTTATATACTCCTAATATAACTACTAAGGTTCGTTAAGGTCGCTTAGGGTACTATCCTGTATTATCTTTATTAGACTTATATATAGTATAGTTATCGTTAAAGCATGTTATCCACGAGAGTAAGGCGTAGGGTACTTCGGGCTATACTTCCACTATATTAGTCTCTCTTACTTCTCGTTCTCGCTTTAGTTAATAGTATTCTCGGGCAAAGTATCCTTTCTTATTATAATTATAGCAGGTCACTTCCTTCTTTTATCGAATACCCTTTTAAGTATTTTTCCGATAGTTAGTATTATTAATTTCTATAAGTCCTTTATAGTGCCCCTATAAAGTGTTTCCTTATTATTATCTAGGATTCGGTTATCTTCGACTAGTATTAGCTTTTTATAAAGGCGGGTTATTCTTTTTCCGTTCCTGCCTTCTTTCCTAGTTTCTATTATCGATTTCCACGGCTATAGCCGTATACGTCGCGAAGTTGTCGGGTCTTTTTATCTTATACAGGTCGTCCTTAACTTCTTCCTTAAAGCCTCGGTAGTAGGCTACTATTAAGGGTTCGTTATCCTAGTTAAGGTACGAGATAATCTACTAGAATTTAGCCGTGTAGTCGGAAGCTAATCCTTTCTGCTTAAACCCTTCGAGCTATTAAATAGCGGCTCGCGCTTTATCAGGATCTCTAAAGACCCCCTTTAGCTTCTTCTCGAACTAGCCGTAACTACTAAAGATTCTTTAAGTATCCGAGTCTCGGTCCTTAACGTTATCGTTTTCTAGGAAATCTCGATAGAATAGTTTAAACTAGTTAGCTGCGTTTCCTCGAAGGTATAAGGCCGTGTAGACGACCTTATCTTCGTTATTAACCAGAGTATTAGAATAATAACGAAGATAGGCCCTAGCCTGTATTAAGAATCGTCGAAGTTATCCTCGTATACTATCGAATAGTTCCGGTTTAGGGAATTTAAACGTCCTGGCTCTTCCTCTAGCCTAAAGCTATTCCTGAAGAGTGTTATTTTCGTTCCTAAGTTACGTGACTACTTCTCGGAGCTTAGCTATAGACTTAGCTAGCTCTTAATTATTCGAAGCCAGTCCTACGGTAATCGATCCGGTAAGCGTCTAAGGTGCTATTATCCTAGATAGGTTAACGCTTAGTTCGTAAGGTCCACTTACTAAACGGAGTGTTTAAAATATTACGACCTAGGTTCCTAGATACTAAGTCTAGGATCCCTAGCTAGGGTTATCGTGAGTTTATGTTTACGAGGTAAGAGGAGGTTATAAGCTAAGCGTAATTCTCTCGTAACTTCTCGTGGGCGGTCGTAAGGTAAGTCTGCCTCTTTACTATAATACTTAAGGAGGTTCCTAATAAAGACTTAGATTAAACACTATCTTATTCTCTAGTAGAAGTAAGACCTAGGATACTCTAGTATATATATCTAGCTATTTATATTCCCCTGGGTGAACTCTCCTCCCCTATTCACGATGGCTCGAGTGAACTTAAGGCCGAGTTCACTTCCCTCCAGGTGAATATCCTGCTTTGTTCACGGCTGCCTTAGTGAATAACCCTTATCCTGTCACGTGACCTGTATATATAGTACACACATGCCTTCCAATAACATTGTCCCTTTATTATGCAGTTGGCTTCCTTGATGGCCTATTCTTTGGCCGTAATATAAGGGTAAATACTCGTAATATATATTACGAGCGCGGAAACAGTGGTAGACGGATTAACGAAGGCGTTATATGGCGAGAAATTTAAGATATTTAGGTCCTAGGTAGGCGTGATAGATATACGGGAACGGCTATAGCAGAAATAGCTAGAGAAAGTCCGGATAGAATATTTAGAGGACCTAAAGGATGAATTTAAGGGCGGCTATAGCGAATAGATTATATAGCTAGATTATCTGCCGATTACGAATAGCTTTAATCGCCTAACTAATATTTAGGGCGATTAGGGGATATATTAAATAGACTATAGTCTTTTTAGTTACGTAATAGGCCGGATTACTAAGAGTATAATCCGGGTAGACGCTTATAGAATCTGCACTATATAAAATACGGTGGTAGCGTTTCCCTGACGGTCTGACACAGTTATAATTATATATAATTGCCTTAATTAGTTTTGACCTATTTTATGACGATTTTGACTATGCTTTATCTGACACGATGTTGACCTGTAACAAGACGTCCAGATGTTCATTCTTTCCATTCTTGGTTGTTCTCTCGATTTCAAATTCGGACACTTGCACAATCGACTTTGGTCTTCCACATGCACCTACCCATCAAAACCATATCAAGTCACTATCTCTGAATTACCCTTGGTTATCATGCCTCACCAACTCAGTCTACACAGTCGCAGCACTCTGCAAGGGAGTGGGCTGCCTGATCTGAGCCAGCTTCGCGCTTCATTGGAACGGGAAAGCAGGCCGTCACTTATGGTGCGGGTACATGGCATGCTCCCATGGTAGCCCTACGCCCCCGGGGGGCGACTATACAGTTTATGGCCTCGCAGTTCTCGAATGGTGTCCGTGATGAGGATAGCCAGGAGGTTGTCTTCGGCGGGCAAGACAATGAAGGAAAGGGCTGGATGAAAGTCCAGCTACCGGTATAGAGCATATTGCTTTGTAAAGGTGGTCAACTTCACGAGGAAATATTGACTGAACTTGAAAAGGGTTGCATCTATCTAGAGCCGCACTAAGCCCCTCGTCAATGGACAACTATTTACATCCGGTGCTAATCAACAGCCCATGCTTGTCCTGTAAAGCGCTCATCATAACCGTTGAGTGTGTAATTTAAATGGTTCCAGCCACGCTCTGCGTGATACCACCATCGACAACAAGATGCGAACCCCAGATGTACTCGTTTGTAGCGAGAGTCAGGACGGCCTATGAGTCAAAGAGATTAGTGATTGGCTTCAATGGTTTGTCACACGTGCAATCGTGTCTGAACTTACGCTTCCAAGATCCTGCGGGTTGCCCATACGGCCAGGCGGGACACGGGCACCCATGCCGACCATCTCTTGTTGGAAGGCCGCATCGTCCTGGGCCTGGCTCACGTTGTTCTCGTCCGAACCACCAGTGGTCATCTCCGTGGGGTACCAGCCTTGAAAGTTCCCATCGTCAGCTAATTCTGTCTTTTTCTTTTTCTTTTGCCGCGTTGCGGGCGCATAGATGGTAGAAATGAAGACGATCTGAAGAGTGCATGTGAGATATATCTCTACGTACCGGGCGCAATGGCGTTGACACGAATCTTGATGTTCTCGTGGCTGAAATCGAAAGCCAGTTGACGGGTCATGTGTACCGCCGCAGCCTTGCTAACCTATAAACCGTGGTGTCAGCTCTCAAGTCGAGAACCGAGCAGTGTTGAATGACGTGTTGTGTCGACTTACATTGTAGGCCAACTGCGAGCCCTCAGACCTACAACGTTGTTAGTACCTCTGCGCTTCCCCGAAAAGCAAATTCAGGGCAGACTTACATCCGCAGATGACCGCTGTTGGAGGTGGTGTTGATCACGCTACCCAGCTTGCCAGTGTGGCTAGTGACGGACTTGGCGAGTAGTGGTAGGAATGCCGCAGTGACGAAGTAGATGGATGTGGCGTTGACGAGGAAGGCTTAGTGGTAAGATTGTCAGTCAGTGTTGGACGCAGCACAGGATGCGAAATGTCCCGAGGGAGCCGAGCGTAGTTACCTTGCTGCCAGAGGTCGATAGACTGCTCGAGCATGGAGGTGCCAAACTTCACGGGTCCGTCCTCCGGGCCAGCCTCCGGCTTGGTCGTCCACACGCCGGCATTGTTGACAAGTCTGTTGATCTGGTCAGCCTGTTTCTAATTATATCCTTTTTGGGGGTGGATGACGATTCTCCATGCGTCTCCATCTGCATCTTTCATTGGGCCGGGCCGGGCTGGGCCGGGGAGACTTACACGTTGACATAGCCGTCGGTCTGGGTGATCTGATCCACAGCGGCCTTGATGGTGTCCTTGTTGGTCACATCCATGACAAGGGGCACGATTTGACCCCCCGAAGAGCCAATCTTGTCTGCAGATCCGTGGACACGGGCACTCGTTTCCAGGACTTCTTGACGTCGGCCGGTGATGTAAACCTTAGCTCCATTGGCGGCGAAGGCCTGAGCGTACACTTTACAAATACGTTAGTGGGCCAACTGTTTTGGTGCATGGTGGGACGCACGGCCGGGTGGGTGGTGCGTCCGCGACTGCGTAGGAGTAATGCAGATGTCAAAGTCGTACTCAGTCCAATTCCGGTGCCTCCTCCAGTCACTGATTGCACAGATTAGTCAGTAAGATAGTGGAGGTCTTCCATGTCAGGGGGCGGTTGCGGTTTCTTGGGTCGTTCACTCACCGACAACAACCCAGTCCTTGACGCTGAGCAGGGAGGATGCGGAAAGAGGGTTCGACATTGTGTATGAGTTTATGCAACGAAATGCGCAATAATATTCGAATGTTGGTTGAAAACTAATGAGAAATTGTTTTAACTTTTCTTGACTGATAGATGATGGTGATAGTGGTTTAACGGATTCCACGATGTTGTCCCGATATGAACGGATTTATGCTAGCATACGGATCATTAAGTACCAGCTCATCGTTGCACTACTTGCTTTCTTGCTCCAGAGCGACCCCTCAATATGCCTCCTCACTATCAAGACTACACCCCGTGTTCGGTGGATTAGATCTCGGATGCTCTGATCCTTCCGGGGACGGAGATAAGATCGGTTGAAGTTGAAAGGGCTTCGGCCCCGATCTGTTCGTTTGGGGACTCGGGCCATACCGAGGCGCATACAACATACGTACAACGTATGTACAACGTACCGAAACGCCAAGACCCCGCCGTTAAGCATAGAACAGCCCCCGACAGCACGGACATCGTGCTAAGACCCCGAGGGTTAGCCGGTTTAGTGGATGGAGTCGGGCGCTAACTATATCTGAACACACTAATGCAGTTAGCTGACCAGTATCCACTCTGTTGGGCGTTACCGGAATATTTGCAGTAGAATAAGTGGGGAGGGTCAGCCCTTTGCATTAGCGCGCGGAGATATCATGGCAGCCCGTGCCAAGAAGTAGACAACTTCCGGGGTCTTTAGCACGGGCGTACGGCAACGGAATCGAATGACAGAGGGACAGAGGGTCAGGTCAGCCGACTGCATTAGCGTGTTGAGATGTAAGTGGGTTTCCCGTGTGCCACGCACCTAAATCTCACCACGTCTTTCATCGACCCCGACTACCACCACGGCATCTGCTGAACCTCCTTTTTCCAAAGTCCGTAGAATGCAACGGAAAAATCAGATATGGTTCGGGGTGGCGGGTCTGTGGCTCGTGTCTCCTTTTAACCAGGGATCTGCGACCTGACCGACCTGACGTCCAAAACGGCAAAACCCCTGTTCATGCCGACAGCTGACCAGACGCACCAGTGACCAGTCAGCCCCCAGGCATGAAAACAAGCACGAGCTTGAACTTGGCAACGATGGGAAGATCTTTACATCCCAATCAAACGGAGGTCCTCTCGGTTACTCGCGTTCCAGAATCCGATTATACACTACATGAAAACGCCCGTACCCACCCGTAAATGAGACAACAGGTCAGACTTCAAAGACAGGCATGTCCGTCGATCCCCTTTTTCATTTTTTTTTCTTTTTGGTGGTGCCTGACTGTCAAGCTTAATCATCATGGACCATGGTCACCCATCTGCATAAGGTAGCTTGGCACGCAATTTCTACATAGGGTCGGCTGACAGTAGACTGTCATAGGTGCTATGAGCTCCGCAAGCTGCAAGCACACCCAGTATTGAATTCATCACTACCAAACAGAGCGGGAAGATAGCTGGTTGGCTGGTTGGTTGCGTCTCTCATAGCATTATCGAGTCCTCCATGGGTTCTACTCCATTCGAGCCCTGGTCTGCTTACAAAAAGGAGAACTCCAGATTACAAAACAAGGGATATCGCTCTTGCTTTAAAGAAAGCCCATTCACTCCCTCGAATCCTACCATCAGAGGTCGACTTAAACATCATTCCTTTCTGTTCACTGCAGATGTTCTAGGCCACAAGACACGCCAGACCGTTGCAACTTGGACATATACCCCCCCGAATATCCCCCTCTCCATCTTCTTCTGCCCTGGTCTACACTATCCCAACCGCGGCTTTCCACCATCCAGCAGTCGCCCAAGATGAGCGACCAAGAAAAGCAGGCGGCCCTTGCCGAAAGCCTCTCGTCGAGCAAAGCCGAAACACCACGAACCGAGAGCCCCGTCGCCGACCCCGAAAAGTCGATATCGACATCCACAGACGCGCTGCCCAACGAAGATGCGGGACCTGAATACAAGCGCGAGGTCCACGGCGTCAAGTGGGCGCTGACCGTCGGCGCCATCCTCTCCTGCGTCTTCCTCTACGCCCTCGACACCACAGTGGTGGCCGACATCCAGCCCGACATCATCGCGTCGCTAGGCGACTTCCAAAAGTTCCCATGGCTCGCCACCGCCTACGCCCTGCCCGCCACCGCGCTCGTGCTCATCCAATCCAAGATGTACGGGCTGTTCGACATCAAGTGGCTCTACTTCGGCTACGTGGTCCTCTTTGAGGTTGGCAGTGCCATTTCCGGCGCGGCTCCCACCATGGACTCCCTGATCGTCGGGCGCATGATTGCCGGTATTGGTGGCTGCGGTATCTACGTCGGCTCCATCACCTTGTTCAGCGTTGTCACGACCCCCAAGGAACGCCCTGTCTACATTGCTCTGATCTCTCCCACCTGGGGTATTGGCACTGTTCTGGGCCCCATTGTAAGGTTTCTTTTTCTTTTTTGTTTCTTTTTTCTTCTTCTTTTTTTTCGTTGCCATCGCGTGGTTGGTTGTTTGCATTCGACAATGACTGACTCCATATATCGCAGGTTGGTGGTGGATTCGCGGAAAGCAGCGTCGGTTGGCGCTGGGGCTTTTACATCAACCTTCTCATCTTCGCCGTCGCCGCCCCCATTCTCGTCTTCCTCCTGCCTTCGATCGATTTCTCCAAGGGCCAAACCGCCAAAGAGAGGACTAGCAAGGTCGATTGGCTCGGTCTGGCCGTCTGGACCGGCTGGGTCGTTTCCTTCTTCATGGCCATTACCTACGGCGGCACTCTCTTCGAGTGGGACTCCTACAGCATGATCATCCTCTGGGTCTTCGTGGGCGTTCTCGGCGTCGGCTTCATCCTGACGCACAAGCTCTACCCCTTTGTCAAGAAGGAGAACCGTCTCTACCCCAGCCACATGCTCCGGAACTGGAAGTTGGGAATCCTGCAGTTCGCCACCTTCTCTGCTGCGTCGGCCGTCTACATCCCCATCTATTACATCCCGCTCTACTTCCAGTTTGCCAGGGGCGAGTCGCCCGTGGAGGCCGCCATCAGACTCCTGCCCTTCGTCTTCATGATCGTCACCGTTGCCATCCTCAACGGCTTCTTCATGTCCAAGTTCGGCTACTACATGCCGTGGTTCCTGGTCGGTTCGCTCCTGGCCGTCGCCGGCGGTGCCCTCATGTACACGGTCGACGTCAACACCACCGTCGAGCAAATCTACGGATACAGCGTCCTCCTCGGCATTGGCGGCGGTTGCTTCATGATCACCGCCTTCGGATGCGTCTCGGACGTTGTCGAGCCCAAGGACATCTTCAACGCCATTGGTGTCATCAGCCTTCTCCAGTGCATCGGCATCACCTTCTTCCCCTCGCTCAGCGGTAACATCTTCCAGAATATCGGTGCTAGATACGTGGCGCCGCTCCTGCCGGCCGACTTTGTCGGTGACCCGCGCGTGGTCCTCGCCGGCGCCAGCAGCCCGGAGTTCCTCAACTTCTCCGAAACCGTCCAGGCCCAGCTTGCTGCTGCCATTGTTGATGCCATGAGCAACATCTACACCATGACCATTGCTGCCTGTAGTATCACTGCTATTCTCTCTCCGTTCCTCGGGGTACGTACACTCTCTGACTCTCATTCTTTTTATGTACGGTGCACTAATAAATCTACAGTTCGGTAAAGTGGGCAGCGACGCAATGCCGGCGGGCGGCGCCTAAGTTTGATCCCCGGTGCGAGATAACCGGCGGTTATCTTGGTTATGGTGTGTAGGAATGGAAGATTGGACAACATGGGTTGAAAATTGGGTAGTGGAGGGTTTTGCAGAGATGTCTTTTCATGTCTTTTCTCTCAATTCATTCATTCTCTTTTCCCGTGCTCTTTGTTCCTTCCCGGTGTTGGGTCTGGACATTTGCACATGGCATGGCTTGGATCGTTGCCGGCGTGCAGCTAGTCCTTGCCACAAACTAGCATCTGGGAGATAGCTAGATGATAGACTTTGCGTTTGTTTGTTGATAGTGCATATACGGGTACTTAATCCAACCTTTGTCTCTGCATTTTATGGCAATATGTAGATCGGTGCATGTCTTCTATAGTGATTGACGTGCTTGAGTATATGCAGATAAGTCCACATATAAGTCCAAAGCTGTTGGTAAATTTCTGCAGCTGCCTGGATGCCGAGTCCCTGGTCCTTGCTCATGGAAGAGGTGATGAAACTCGAATAACGCAAGTGATGTCACTGGGACCCTGGTAAAAAGGGGAGGTAGGAATTCTTTCCTTTATATATAGGGGTAAGGTAGATCCGTTGGAGTCCAACATCGTCTGGCTTCACATTGTATGCCTTGTCAAGTCTGTGACTAACCAGGGCATGGACTCTAATATGAACGTCCATCCTGAAGCCACCGCCCTCAATTTGTTAAATCATGCAGCATGGCTTGAACGCCTCTGTTCTTCCATGAGGGTAGTACATCAAGTTTGGAACTGCAATGGATTAGAAACCATCAGTTCATCTGCGGCATCAACAGCTGTGGAGGAGATTACGGCTATTGCCCTGCAGAGAGTATTTGCCTGAGCGACGAAGTGTGGATAATTCGATCTCGACTTGACATTACGATCACGACAAATTCCAGGGCCTTGGCGACGTCTCTTCGAGAGTCCGAAACGGAACGATTCGTCAAACGGGGACTGTCGGGGCCTTGGCACTCGTTAGAAAGCATATTGAGGGTAATACTAATGCCGTATCGCCACAGCCGGTGCCGGTGTCAGCCGGCGGAACAATATGCATGTCGATCCTACCGGCGATGAACGAAAAAAAAAAAGATGAGTGGGACACGCCAGCGGCGGCACGGGTAGGGCCGTCATGGTGCTCAATTCTGTCATAATCCTCCGCTTGAAGACTCTGGAACCCTGCTAGGAGGCGGGATAGGAGGCTACGGACCAGGGAACGTGGTTCATACATCCCGACTTTTCATCGTATGACACGGACCGGTGTCTCAGCGTCGCCGTCCCGGCGCATACCAGGAATCTCAACAGGTCGATTATCCACGCACTCGGGACGTGAAGCTGATTTGCCGCCACCATTCAGTGAAGATCCTGCGGATGCTTCGTAGATTTCAAATCCTCCCCCACATGGTTCACATGATTGGTAAGTTTACGATATATATCAAGGCATTCACTGCACCTCAGCACCTAGAGCGGCGGCTGTAGGATTACCCCTTTTCCAAACGGCTTCAACGTCTACTCTCCAGGCATCTTCTTGTTTGTTTGTTTCTGACTGAGGATTGAGATTCACATCTTGGAGCAGCACTCCTCCATTCCTTCGCCATGTCGAAAACAGAGGAAAGCCACGATGTCAGTGTGAGGAGTCCGGCCTCCGAGAGCACGGAGAGCCTCAGTGGCCACGCCGCTAGGTATGCCAAGGTGTATAGGTTTTTTGGATTCACACACGGATACAACTTTCCTCTATGTAAGTATTGTCCGGTGTGGTGTCTTTCTTTCCAACCCCCCCCCCCCCCACTTTGCTTACTCGCTGTCACGAAGGGATCATCTTCGCTGGCGGCATGCTGGGGTTCTCCCTCTCTCGCCTCCCAGACTTGGACTACGACGGCCACTTCAAGGAGAAATTCGCCTTAATCCCAGGCTACTGGTACTACTTCAGCCAGGGGCACTACCGCTACGGCATGCTCATCCATCTCGCCACCGTGTTGCCCGCCGGCATCCTCATGGTGTTCCAGTTCACGCCCATCATCCGCCACAAGTTCCTCCTGTTCCATCGCATCAACGGCTACGTCGTCTCGCTGCTCACCGTGATCAGCAACCTGGCGGCGTTTGTCATCATTCGACACCCGCAGGGCGGAAATCGGGTCACGAGCCACGCCGTCGAGACGCTCATGGGCATCATAACAACCGTCGGGGTCGTCCTGGCTGTGTACAACGCCCGTCGAAAACAGATCGACCAGCACCGGGCTTGGATGCTGCGCACCATGTTTTACATGGGGGTCACCATCACTGCCCGTCTCATCAACCTCGCTGCCACTCCCATCATCTCACGCATCGGGAACTACTGGTCCGTCTGGATGTGCGACGAGATCAGTTTCCTCTACACCAATGTCGGCCTGGAGTTTCCCAGGGACGGGTACCCGGACTGCTTCTTGCCGGACGGATCCCTGGATCGTTGGAAGCGCGTTGCTGTCAGCGCACAAGAAAATCCGGAAAGGTTGGAGCAACTGGGCGCAGGTGTCGTTATCACTTTCGGAACCATGGTAAGTCTTGGCTTGATCCGTACGTATTGAACCCCGCCTGAACATCTCCATGTCTGACTTGAACAAAACAATCACAGCTGTGGATCTGTCTTTTCCTTCACGTGATCGGTGTGGAGGTATATCTCCGGATGACCCCTAGGGAGTCGGAACGGCTCCGTCGTGTGAGCTACGAGAAACAGCTAGAAGCCGGATACCGCAACCCTGGAAGCGCCGGTCTCGTTTTGGATCGATGGGCAGATGCGGACCCTTGGACTCCTCCCTCGAAATAGGAGGCTCAAGAACGGGACAGCTGGCAGGACAGCGAGATGCACTACCCCGTGGTCAGTTGAAGGAGGTCAAAATATAAGACCCACCGCGGTGGAGTCCCAGGGCCTCGCACGGAGTAGTGATCTGCAAGCCACATGCAAGGACGGGATCCAAAAATGAAACCGGTGGGAACACATCAAATACGAAAGTACCTAAGTAACTAGACTTGTAAGCGACATGGAATGGACATAACAAAATGAGCATGACTCATTGCGCCGCTTTGCTTCGGGAAGGCCTTTTTTTTTTTTTTTTTACTTATTCACGTGTACTTAGTACGAAGTTGGGAAGATGAAGTACGTACCCTTAACGGAAAACTCCCCGTGAAGCCCGTTGTAAACGACAATTAAGCGCCCTTGAAAAATGTTTGTCGGGGTAGTAATTTCCTGGGTCAAACTTATAATCAGGGATCGTCGAATTGGCTATGTTGATATTTGGCGAGACCATGGATAGGCTGGGAATATCAAAAATAGGGGTATTACCGTCAAACACGCGCACGATACCTTACCTGCGTGGGGGTCAGGATATATGTACGGTCATCCACGACGCCTTGCTCTTCTGGAGTACATACCTTACGTAGCGTGTATTACGTTGTGTCCATGAGGATTAGGTACGGAGTAATCTACGACGTACAATGTACCCAAGTCAGGCAGTTGCAGCAAAGAACCCCTCCTCGTCTTTACAACGTACGCGCCAAGCTCGAATCTCCCATCAGAGGACGGAACAACTTGATGACAACTTCGGTTTTTGGCTTTTATGAAGTCCGAAGTACGGAGTACACGTATTTGGTAGTCTAGACTAATTTATCTTGCAGAGCTAGCTGTGTAGATCCCGCGCCGGATCCATCTTCAGTGTACGTTGTACTCTCTATGTACTGCCGGCTTTCGGGGTAGGTGGGGTGGGGTGCGGGGTGGAGCTCCTGCCGCAATTAGGTAAGTACTTTGTACGTGGTACCTATCCGATCCGGACTAGTGTAGACGAAAACAGTGTGTTTTTGACGCATTTCAAACCGTGTCATCCGGATGCATCTGCGCGATCCCGTCCCCCAGATGCATGACAGCACTGTGTCGATAACACGGATCGCTTACGGTGTCAGCTAAGTGCCTTTCCCATGGAGGTGGCTAGTCATCCATGTGCATTTCCCATGGCCATTGTCATCCAAGCGGATTGTCACCCACGTGCACCCAATCGTCATGTCAGCCAAATGCGTTTGTGTCAGCCAAGTACGGCGTCAGCCAAGTGGTAATGATCATCACGCCAATCATGAATGAAGGCCCAAAGATTCGGAGATATCCCAGGGCCATACATACACGTGCAATATTATGCCATAGGATATCACGGCGCGGTTGCGAACTTGCGCACACGCTTCGTCGATCAAACAAGACATCCGAGCTAGTCCCGAGAAGGCATACGCCAATCCGGATGCATACCCAGGTTTGCACGATTTCAAATCTACAGACTGCGATTCACCGCATCTGTGAGACCAACAGCTCTCTCCTCTTCCCACCAAGACAAATGCGCCCACGAACGCATTAAACCTTTGCGAGAATAAATAATAAAGTACAACCGTCTCTCTGAATCCCAATTGATGATTGATCTCATCTCTCAACTACCTACCAGTTCTCACCACCGATAGTTGAGATCACGTGCATAGAACAAACGCCATCATGACTCGAAAGCTCATCACCGTCCTCGGAATCACTGGAACGCAGGTAATTTTCGAAAATCCCAGCATATGATCTCTGTGTCAGGATCGGATGATAACATTTTGGTGTAGGGAGGCTCTGTGGCCAATCGGTTTCTCAATCTCACCCATGCCGAATGGCAAGTGCGCGGCCTCACACGCAACCCCGGCTCGGCCAAAGCGAAGGAATGGGCAGGCAGAGGGGTTGAGATCGTCAAAGGCGACCACGACGACGTAGAGTCCCTCAAGGCCGCATTCAAAGGCGCGCACGCCATCTTCGCCGTCACTGATTGGGCGGCCAACTACTTCCGCGTCAGCGAGGACAAGGCCCTGCAGGAGAAGGCCAAGGCCGCAGGGCGGACCATCGAGGAATATGCCGGCGACCTGGAGAAGGCCCAGGGCATCAAGGTGGCGACGGCCGCTTCCGATCCGGCGGTCCTCTCCACGCTGGAGAGGTTTGTCTTTTCCACCTTGACCGCCGTGCAGAAAATCAGCGGCGGCAAGTACAAGCATGCGTACGAGTTCGATTCCAAGGCCGACGTCGAGAGCCACATCCGGGAGCACCTGCCGGAGCTGCGCGCCCGGCTAAGCACGGTCACCATGGGCATCTTCCAGGAGAACTGGAAGGACATCCCCGCGTTCAGGGCACAGAAGAAGCCGGACGGCACATACGAATTTCTCCGCCTGAACGTTCCGGGTTCTCATCTGGCGACCCCCGAGGTGGTGGCTTCTCGGGACACCGGCGCTTTCGTCGAGGCGTTGGTCTTCCATCACCCACCCGGCACGGATGTCTTGGGCGCCAGTGAGATCATCTCCAGGCCAGACTACGCCGCGCTTTGGGGTCGGACAATGGGAGTCAAGGCGACAGCGCGAGATGTTGAGAAGGAGGAATACCTAAAGTACATCCCCGAGGGAATGGAGACTACCATCGTGGACGATCTCGGATTCTTCACAGAGTATGGGTACGCTGGCGGGAACCCCAATGTCAAGACACCAGCGGAGCTGGGTATCAAGACGACCTCTTTGGAGGAATTCTTCCGAGACCAGGATTGGAGTGGAGTACTGAAAGGAGAACTTTAAGCTTCTTTCGCGCGGCTCTATCTGACCGGTGAGAAAAAGAATTGGCCTGGTTTGAGAGTTTAATGCATATGTTGTCCGAACATTCTGCGACAGGGTAACGTTACTTGGAAGACACATTGAATGATGCTATAATTATACCTTCCAGACTGTTATACGTGTGCTTGCCGTCTTCGTACAGCGCGCTTCCAACCGTTACGTACTCTCGGAATGAAACACGGACGGCTAGATCGTTCTATGAGACCACGAATGTGGAAGGTACCTTACGAAGGTAACTTTTAAGTCCCTGCTTTTTCGCACGGATACTGTTACTGTTGCATTGCATGAACTGATTGATTTCTGGGTTGTTCTATAGAAATACAGACGAAAATCATTGCTCCTCGCCGAGTTAATCCACCAATAATTGATCGGATCGTACAAAGTATGTACTCATAAGCCCCTGGTTGGCAATCATGCTATTCTAGAACATCACTTGGGCTGCCAATCGGCTTTTCACCCCTCTGACTCCGCCAGTGATTCGTAGACACGATAATCTCCGGGCAACCCCGTATCAGCCATTTCCAGTTTCGCAGGAACGGAGCACTGATTTCCCAGCTTTGAGGTTCCCATGGGTCTCCCCAAACCGCGAGCCCAGCCCATTCGTTCTTGCCGCCACCAGACTCCATGACATCCTCAAAGAGTCGCTGCTCGTCCTCGGGCGTCAAGACACTTGCGGCGATCAGCAGGTTGTCCCGCATCTTGGGCAACGGGAACAGATCAAGCCACGGGTGGTGCTTCGTTGTCAACTGCAAGTTCGTGGGCCTAAGGCTCGTCGGCACAGAGGGTGCGATGGCGGTGGTACCCGACTTGGAGCTCTCCCCGTCCCGACCGAATGGCGAGATGGAGTCGCATATGAGCCAGTCGAAGTTGAACCCGAGCGCGGCCGCATTTCTCGTGAAGCCGTTGATGATGTTGAGTTGGATGACTTTCAGGTGATGGTCGGCGCACGGGTCGGCCGTCAAATAACTCGTCAGGGCTTGCTCGGCGAACCGCTTGAGCCTAGCGCGCTTCTGCGAGACATTCTCCTCTGAGCAGTGGCTAAATGTCGTGATGAGGTTGTCGAGCGGGGAGGCTTTTGCGTCGAATCGTGGAAGAATGATCGTCGAGACGCCGTCTGGGGAAGTGGCGTCGGGGGAAGCAGCACCCGGGGATACGGCGCCGGGAGAGGCACTGTCGTAGGCAAGTCTTCTTTTTCTCTGTCTTGCTGATTTTCTTGTCAGCATTTTTTTTTTTTTTTTTTTTTTTTTTGCCTTCAGCCAATTCGGCCAGGTTGCGCGATCGTTAACTTACAGACTCGTTTATTCAACCTATTTTGCAGCTTCTTTCGCTCTTTCGGATCGGTTATGCCTGCCCAGTCTTCTCCGCGATGCCGTATGTTGACTTCGTGTGGCATGCGTTGCAACTCGAGGAGGTGGACATTGTGGACGCGGGGAACACTGTGAGAGGACGCCATGTTGTTGTTGTTGTTGTTGTTGTTGTTGGAAGAAAGGGTTGAGGCAGGTAGGGGAGGTGGCAGTGAGAGGCTCGCGGCGCTGCACGAGCTGACCCGTCTCCAATTTATAACTGCACTCGGCTGACCGTTGGCCGTTGGGGGCCCCCACTTCTTCGGGGTCCGCACCCCCTGAAGGACGAACACGGGGCAAAGGGTCGACTGATCCACTTTTCCATCAAGGCCGTGCACCCCATCCCTGCTCCGGGGAAAATTAGGACTCCGGACCACATCCGCCCAACCCAGTTGCAACATGTATATGTGTAGACGCAGCATTTTGGCAGCACTTAATTAATGGCCACTTCTCAATATTCCGTTATGCACCCATAGCGAGACGGGCCAAAACAACATGTGCCGAAACATAAGCTCCTGCTCGATTGATCAAGTCATTAATTTAGGCGCTCCAGTGATAAGAATGTGGATTGGTCATTCGCTCGAGCGTACCATGTACATTGTGCACTATGTACATAGTCCTCGGGATACTTAGGTCCTGGCATTACATATGCCAGACCCATTATTAATACAAGGGTGGCATACCACGCCGGGCTTCGACCAGGGTCCCCCGCCGAGGGATCTCGGACGTTTCTCGCCTTATATATAACCTAATACTACAATGTACTACTCTTAATAATATACTCGGAAAATAAGAAAGGTCCGAGGGTTAGGCATTGAAAATGGATATATAGGGCTACTTATAGGTGAGTTTATTAACGCGAAGTAAGTTATAGTATCTAGAACCAGGTAGAGGGGAAGGGAAAAGCAAAGTTAGTTATAGGTCTAGAGAAGTAGGTAGCTACGGATAGGGTATAGCGTAGAGTTTAGTATATATTATACGGCTAATATACTATCTAATAGAGTTAAGGCTAGTATAATTAAACTATTTTACTTTAAGATAAGAATTATATTAGTAAACTTTTCGTCTAATAATATTATAGATATAGGATAGTAATAATAGATTTAAATAGAATATAAAATATATTTTATTACTATTATTATTACCCTTATTCTTATTATTTTTATACTTTATATATAGCTTATACCATACTTAATATTATATATTCTTAGACTATATAAGTTAGTATATTAAGATAGTACCTTAGATACTATACTAGGAGTGAAATCCATAATGTTTATAACAATTAATTATTTTATCTACTTATACGTTCGAATTCTGACAGGCCACCTTTGGAGCCCGTTGTATATTGTAGTAGGCTGTACCTGGTATGTATTCTTCCACCCCTCCACCCCCCTTTGTTCTTCTCCCGGGTATGGGTGGGTAGTCGTGATGACCCCTACCCGGCCAACAAGCTTGCATCTTAGGCATGATCGCGTTTAATGCCACTGCGTAAGCAGGTTGGCGCTATGGCCCGCGGAATATAGTCTAGAAGGTTTCGTATACGTCATACACGTGGCAGAAAAGTCTGATAGAAGGCCACCAATTCGTGCGGACAGAAGTCCCCTGAAGGAACCGTTCTGGCAGATCCTTTTCTGAGGCAGGCTACAGCCGACAAGTACTTTGTAGTTGCCTGCAAACCATAGGTAGCCGATCCCTGAAAACAAGCAGGTTAATCCTCTAGCCCTAAGCTGTTTTGGGAAGTGATCTTGATGGGCAGGGCGCACTGACGCCATTGACAACAAGTCACAAAGTACCTTGTTCGTCGCCTAGTAAGGCTGCGTCTACACTGTACAACGTATTATAGCGTACGTGTACATCGAGGTGGGGGTCCGGGAACGCACAGCTGCAGGTTTAATCCCTCCGGCCCAGTTGATACAACCCTCCATCCCGTTTCCTTTATATTAATAAAGCGGCCCGGTGGTCCTGGCCAAGGAGATACTCTGGAGTATATGTAGACAAGCCGGATTTTGATCGGGGCATTTTATTCCTCTACCACCTAGGTATGTTCAAGTCACCGTTACCTTCTCTCACTCTGGTCGTCCTGATTCCTGTGGCGTCAGGCACGCGCAATAAGACATATCTATCCTATGCGCGGTACGGGCCGTTGAAACAAATCTACGCAGCGTCTCGTCTCGCCTTTGTTCAAGCCACCATTGCAACATCCCCCCCCCCCCGTCTCCATGGTTCCTGGACCGTATGAGGCCGGTGAGAAAGGAAAGCACAGTGAGCACTTGGTCGATGTCTAAAGGGGTTGTGGCATTTGATTGATCGCCGTTCGACATTGAAGGATGAGAACCCTGGTTCATCCTTACGGCCGAGTTGAGCCTCTGGCTTCCCGCCTTTGCATTCATTCCTTCAGCGTCTCGAAGCCATAGCATGGAGAAAACGGATGGATTTTCGACATGCATATACGCAGTAAGAAATGGTGCAACTTGAATCTCCTTGAGAAAGCCGAGGAAGGGCCAAGGTCTCCATTTATTGTATAACTAAGTAGTCGAGCACTTCTCTCCTCTATAATAGACATGACATTTATCTGCCCTGCTTTTCACGCTCTACGTTGCAGCACATCCCGATTCCCCAAGGCCCCAATCACACCACATACTACTATCTCATCATTACCCACCCCGAAAACTTATGTGTACGCATTCGCCGTTGGCCGTTGGTTCAATCGTAAGAATGCCCCCTCCATCGGGTGTCCGGCTACGCGAGAGCTGCCAAGCGTGTGCGACCTCCAAAATCAAATGTTCCAAGGAAAAACCTCAATGCAACAGATGCGCGGACAGAGGCACAACATGTCAGTACCTAGTCACACAGAGGACTGGCCGAAAGGTCCGTCCTCGAAGTGAATCAAAAGAGGGTCCGGCGCAACGACCAACTGCCAGCCACAAGACAACGCCTTTGTCACCGGCAGTACTGCCCTCTATGGAAAGGGGATCGACACCTGAGTTCTCACTCCTGGACTCCCAATTCGGCACACTTGACACGACAATGCTGGATTCGGGTGCTCATGACTACCTCTCCATGCTTCCCGTGGATCTGGATTTCTCGCCGATCCCGTCCTACGCAAACGCTATGGACTCCTCCGACGGCTCTGCGGACGACGCGCTCGGAATGTCTCACGGACGCTTGGCTGCAGAAGGCTATGTCCCATACCAGCCCGATCTACATTTTTTTCTCTCCGGCCACGATGCGGGCGCACAAGAGGAGACCGAGGGAAACGCCGCCGGCACATCAGAATGCTCCCTGCCGCACAAGCAGCTATTCCAAGAACTCGGAAGCCTCCAGTCTCAGGTCTTATCTCGGCAACCGGAAGGCATCAGAATGGCCCTGCAGCTGATGGGACAGCTCTGCTGTCAGCAAGACAGCCCTCTAGACGCCGACCTCTCCCCCCTGGAGCTTGAGTACCGGGCAAACACGCTCGTGGACGAATCGAGAGTGGTGACGGACACCGTCAACGAAATGCTCCAGTGCGCGGGCTCCGACGACGGTTACTTCTTGGCCGTTGTCTGTTTGGTCATGTCGAAGGTTCTGGACGCCTACGTCAAGGCAGCCCAAGCTCTGGCGGCTCGTGAAAGAGACGGGCAGAGGTCAAGTTCATCTTCCTCGTCAACAATGTCTTCCTGGTCGGCTAGTGGTACCGATTCTGCGTCCAGCGGCTCACCGAAGATGAAGGGAAAAGACCCCAAAGCCGTCCAGCAGTTACTAGATGACCTCTATCAAGTGCGGACATCGATGAACCATCTAGGTGCAAAGATTGTATCGGTGTGTTCAAGGCGGGATTGGCTGCTGGGCGGCGATCTCACTCCTTCGAGCCACGACTCTGCTTTGCCAGCGTTGCCGTTTTCAGCGGCGATTTTGAACCAGTTATACGAAGAACTACGAAGGCGTCTGAGTGCGATATCTCTCCTGTTTATCAACGAATTGAAGCAGTTCTGGGTGCAATAACGCCCCGTTCTGAACCAATATATTCATTGATCCTTATTCAGACCAACTGACCAAGTTGACCATTATCCACTTGTCGGAACAAATAAAGTATCCTTGCAACGGCCCAGACACCAATACATGTTCGTAGTTTTGTTAATAAATGACCCACCATTGCTTTGGAGTCTCACAGCTGTTTTGTTTCTCCGATAAACCCCCACGTAGTCTCTGTACTTTGTACATCAACCAAGTACTAAATGCAACGCCGAAGAGAAGCCTTCCAGAATCTGGAGTGATGTAACCATGTGGTTATTGGATCCCAGGTATGTCCAAAGGTGCGCTCGGTTCTCCGTACCTACCTACCCGGGTTTGGCTGGTTATAGGTCAGAGCTCGATGGACTGGTCAGATGTCCGAAGTCTTAGAACATTATGTTGACAGCGATATCTCTGTCCTGGCTCTGGTCAGTGCAAAATTCTCTGTTCGAGCTCTGACCTATACCCACCCCTACCAGGGTAGGTAGGTAGCTTCAGTTGTGCCAAGTCCAGCTTTAGGTGGGAGTATTGTTCTAGACACCGAAGTAATATACTATTAGGCGCTTATCCCCCCGTTGAACTGATAGCAGGCTTCTTAGTATAATCTAAAGAGTCGTTATAAACTTTCCACTAGTTTAAGAAGATATAGCAGATTAAAAGAGTCTATTCTTATTCTATATAGTCTCTTTAAGTATCTCCTCTAGTCTCTAACTTTATACTATTATTTTCGAATTAGGCTAGACTTCGAGAAATAACTGCATAGTTATTAGTTTCCCTTTTATAGTTTCTAAACAGATATAATAAAGATAGTTCCTCTACTATATCTATATAACTGTTTAAAGCTTTCCTTTACCTAGTATATATAGTAAAAGGGACATAGAGTAGTTTTCTTACTAGATCTAGATATTAGTAGTATATCTTTATAGGCTCTATATAGAGATATAGAATTACGGATTCTTATAGACTGGTAATGGATAGGCTTCTATAGTAGGAAAGAGCCTAGGTCTACAAGTAAGTTCCCCGTTCCCATACTATCATACCTTATAGAGTACCCGACGTTCTCCTTGAGGGATGTACCGGCGCACCGGGCGTGCCCGTAGTTGAGCAAGTCTCGCCCTGGTATTGGTACAAAGACACAAGGTCACCCCTGCCGTGGAACGAGCAAAATAGTATATGTATATAATACTCTGAGTGCCTGTCAGAACGATCAGCTGCGTGTACTAAGGGGGACAGGCAGGCAGATCTGTCCCGGAAACCGGCATCGGCTCTTGCCGTTGCCACTTGTCTTGGAACCAACCCGTGGCAGAGGTTCCGAATAGCTTCACCGTGTCATCGGGTTCAGTACAGCACAGTATTTAGGGGGTATCAGGACAGGTAGGTAGATCTCCTCCCGAAACTGGCATCGGAAAGAGCCGCTGCCACTTTCAACCGGTAGTAGAGGTTCCGCATAGCTTCACCCGTGTCACTGGGTCGGGTGCAGCACAGCTGTCCAAACGAGCACAGGCTATGAGCTCGAGGAACCCGGGGGGAGGGCCCGGGGGGGGCTGACTTGGCACCAGTAAGGGACGAGATGGACGAACTGATGAAAAGTGGGCACTGGGCAGACGGCAGAGGGTCAGTCTAGTCTTCAGGGATGTTCTCTACATGATACTGGGAGAAGGTAGGTCATCCACTTACATGACCTCCACTAAGAAGCATTCTATACAAGCTTCACCGCCCTTCGAGGAAACCACTGGTTGCATGGGTAGTCACATACAGCTAGTCTTGCTTAAGTCATACATCGCTATACAACCTAGCTGGACTTATCTAGGGCCGGCTTTCGGATGCATCCCACTACCACCAAGCATTGCTGGTACAGTCATCTAGCTACATAATCTACGGTACGAGGCATACCGACATAAGATGACTCTTCGGAAACACATGTAAGTAACCGATATTCTATAAATACTCCCATGGCTTGCATACATGGATACTAGATGCTTTACCATACTGTATACTTAGCTTTGTCGGAACAACTATCGACGCAGCCGGAACTGCGAGCGCCTGCAGTTGGGTGTTGGATACATGGGGCGTTGAATATGTGGGCATAGAACATGGGGGTCGTTAACGTGCTTCTGCTGCAGCTTGAGACTTTGCTACGACTAGGGGTTCTCTTTACGCGTTTCCCAGTAGAGTGGTTAGGGAGCCATCTTCGAGGGTGTCTCACATAAGGCCAACGATGGATTTAGGGCCGGACTACGAGGACACTAAGTTCAAATTGCAGGATATTAATAATCAAGGCTATATTATAAATCTCGGAGCACCTAATTTGTTCTTGTCCTCCTTGTCCTTGTTCTTATCGTCCTCGCCCTTGTCCCTCTCCTACTACTATCGTATAGCTTCTTTAGTATATCTCATCGCTATAGAGGCGGTTCGTTAATATCTATATTAAAAGCATCCAGATACCTATGACTAAAATAACCAATAACTATATATAGAGACTTAATCGGTACATAAATATTAGGCATAGCTTAAGGGCTCTAAATAGTATAGTATAGCCTTATATATTAATATCCCGTCATTCAAATATAATGCTCGTATTCCGTCCCTTGATTTATACTCCGTGGCTGTCCCTGACCAGTGTTAACTTCTAGTTGACTACTCAAACTTCTCTGCTTAGCGCTCTGCCCATCGCTTTTATAATCGGTCGTGAGATATTAGAGAGCTTCCGAAGGCCCGTGCAACTTTTAATAGTCGTTAGTTTCTTAATTCCAACCTAGATCGATTCAGACGCTGATTCAAAACCATCCCCCACTCGATCGCAGCGCTCAATCTGTCTTCAAGTAATTATGCCCCAAGTCTCTGATAATCAGCATGCAGTGGGAGAAGAAGTGTATACCTTGGAGCAATGCATAAAATACCTTCCCGGTTTTCGTTGTTTGTCCGAGGTCCTACTAGGTATATGAGAGACAGCACCGGCACAGTTCATGTAGGGGGGAGGTTGGCCAAGTGGATTGTTAAGATAGATTGACTGTCTACTACTCAATTAACAAGAAAACATGAATCTATAACGCGTTTCTATAACAATGCTTCTACGCATTGCCGTTGACGGAGGACACCATGCCCAAGGCTTGGATGTTCAAGCTGTTGGGATTGAACAGGTTGGCCTCTTCGGCACCGTCGCCGCCATCCTCCCTGATCAGATCATAGGCCAGGCGGGTGGCGCTGGGGAGCTTGTTCTTGTCACCACTGGCTTCAATGTCCAGCATTTCCTGGGTCCAGGTAATGATGGAGTCGATCAGCGTCATCACCTGCTCCTTGGTGTTATGGGCGTGCAGCAGGAGTCGGACGCGGTCCTCTCCCTTGCCTACAATGGGGAACACGATGTAGCATCCGTTGATGCCGTCCCTGGTGAGGTGGAAAGTGAGGTACAGCGCGTGCTTCTTGCGAGGCGTCCAGAGGGGCACGATGTGAGTAATGGGCGTCTCGTGCCAGCTTCCGTCCTCGTGGACGGGCATCTTCAGGAGGCCCTTCTTGTAGGCCTTCTTGTAGACGGGGTGGGAGGTAAGCGTGTCCAGGTAGAACGTGGTAAGTTGATGCAGATAATCACGAGACTGAGAGTTGAGTTAGCTTGGATAGGACCCCCAAGGAATGATAGTGGAAATGCATTCACCTCTTGGAATTTCTGGCTCCGCATGAGCCGGACTCCGGCACGGGATGATGCCAGCAGCGTGAAGGGAGGTGCAACGGAGCAGATGAAAACCTTGGCCTGGTTGATAAGGAGCCAGCGGACGGTATTGTTAGACAAAATGCATGCTTTTCTTTCATGTCAGCAAACGTTCCGCAGTTGTAGAATTGGGATTAGAATTCGGGCAGCTTCTACTTACCACCAGATCCAGCCAAGGCCTTGGTAAAAGTAACCATCCTGACGGCAATCTCGTCATCGAGGCCCTGCTCGGCGACAAAGCCCTTGCCCTCGGGACCGCAGGCTCCGAAGCTGTGGGCCTCATCGACGATGAATTGAGCGTTGCCACGGGGGAAGATCTCCTTGGCAGCATCGATAAGCTCCTTCAGGGGGCAGATATCGCCGTCCATGCTATACCAACTCTCGACGGCGATAAGGACGCAGCGCTTCCCCTCCTTGACGAGGGGGGTCGACTCTTTGACGGCTTCCAGGGTTTCAATGAAATGGTCGACGTCGTTGTGACGGAAGGGGATCTGCTCGAGGGCCAAGCTGCTCTTCATGCCGGTAAGCGCGGTGGCGTGCATGAGCTCGTCGTACACAATGACGTCGCCAGAGCGAGGGATGGTGGAGAAAATGGCCTGGTTGGCGGTGGCTCCGGAGTGCACCACAAGAGCCGACTCGACGCCCATGAGTTCGGCCATTTCCTTTTCGAACATTAACTGGTACTCGGTCGTGCCGTCCAAGAGACGCGATCCACTGGCACCAAGCTGGAAGCCAGGATTGGCGTCAAGTTCGTTCAAGAACTCCTCCCTGAGAAGGCCGGTAGCGCCCATTCCGAGAGTGTCGCAGGAGGAGAAGTCCATGATATGGCTAGGGGTGTGGATGGGAAAGCTAAGGCCGACTTGTCGGGAGATGTCCAGCTCTTCTTCGATGTTTCGGTAGAAGACGGAGCTGTTCTTCGCGCTGGGCCCCTTGACCCTCTGAACAACGGCCCATTCTTCTCTCCATTGGGCACCGTAGTCTTTGAGGTCAGCCATTTTGCTTGATTTTGCAATAGTGTTATGGGAGAAGGCGAGAGGGAGGGGGGAGGCAGGGGTCTAAGGTTTTGGAGGAGAAGTTGAGAACTAGGCTGAAGAAATGTGTTTGGGTTGAAGGTATCAGAGGGGGTTTAAGAGTATGTATGGCTCGGTAGGTATTGTAAAAGTGAGTTGGGTGTCTTTGGTATTTATATATAATATCTATACATATGTTATATTGAGTATGCGAGTGCGAACAATAGGAACTGTCATTACTCTTCCAGTGGGTGTACACAGTACGACAGTACGTACATCATGCCCAACCTAAGGTATAGCCCGTGCGTGAAGTGTTCGAACACGTTCATACAACTCGACTGCTCTCGTTCTCAAATCCGAGGTTTCAACTCCGACGAGAAAATCCGACGATAAGGCACAGCCGCACAGGGGCCGCACAGCATGCCGGAGAGTAAGAAGAGGGCCGACCTAGGTTCCAATGACGTTAGTCGTTAGGTAATGCATGGATGACCGTGCAATGGTGAAACAACCATTAGCCCGATCTCGATTCTCGACTTGATCTAAGGAACGGGCCGCACACGGTAGTTTGAATTCCTCTGATTGGTCCCCATCCCCCGTGCAGCTTGGACGCGCGGTTAGACCCACTTATACATGCGACTTTGTTCCTAATACCCCGATGCACGTACACGTACGTTGTAAGCATTTTAAAAGCTGCAGAATATAAGGCTGGTCGAAGGATTCGATCCTTCGGTCTCTTGGCATCACGTGCATGCGTCGGAGTGGGCTTCGGTGGGTTTGGACATTTTTTCTTCGTCTTCTTTTTGTTTGTCTTCGACCCGTTGACCCGTTCTTCTATTTGTAGCATCGGCCTGTTGGCATTCGGCCCCCATTCTGGTTTTTGACATTTTCGCGTCTCGAGTCTCGACAAAGAACCACCAGCCGCAAATTTGCAAGTTGCCTGCCACTGGCACGGAGATGTCAGTTCATTCAATGCTATTCTTCCGAGCGCCGCTCGGAGGCTCGGTGCGGCCGGGTCTTGTGGCGAAGGATTCTAGGCTTTCTATCCGTACAACGGCTGGACCCTCGTCTTTCGACTTCCGGCAGCAGAATCTCCCATACAATCCATTATCCGACTCCCGAATCTCAGCGATACGAGACCGAAGATGCTCGCCACCCCGGTTCACCGACGTTCAATCCGCGAACCGGCCTTCGTCTTCGAGGTCAGAAGAAGTCGACGGGGTATTGAAACTCTTAATATAATACCAAGAAATTCCCCCTTCCCTTTGCAGTTATTCTCTCCAAGCTTCACAACACAACAAAACATTGTCCTCTAAGCAGTCACCCAGGCCGTACAACATACAACATGACGACCACCACGAACAGTAATGGTACCAATGGTACCAACGGTACCACACATGCCAACGGCACCAACGGCATGAACGGACATAGCAACGGTACCAACGGGTACACCAACGGTACTAACGGTACCAACGGCCATAGCAATGGTACTAACGGATACACCAACGGTACTGACGGATACACCAACGGTACTAACGGATACGCCAACGGTACTAACGGATACGCCAACGGTACTAACGGATACACCAACGGCCATACCAACGGTGACTCGCATGTCAATGGTACAAACGGTACCAACGGCCTGGACGCGGACAACATCAACATCAACACCAACGACAAGGCCATCCCCATAGCCATCTGCGGTATGGGCCTTCGGCTCCCCGGCGGAGTGTCGACGCCCCAGGAGTTCTGGGAATTCCTCGTCAACAAGGGCGACGGAAGAGTTCGGGTCCCAGAGAGCCGTTACAACGTGTCAGCCTACCACGAAACCACAAAACGGCCATCAACCGTGGCCACGGAGTATGGCTACTTCCTGGGCGAAGACGTAAAGCTCGGTGCCATGGACACAAGTCGCTTCTCTATGAGCCGTACCGAGGTGGAGTATGCGGACCCTCAGCAGCGGCGGTTGTTGGAAGTTGTTACAGAGGCCCTTGAGGACGCCGGAGAGGCCAAGTTCAGAGTAAGTTGTGCCTTTGTTTTGTCTTGTTTCTTTCTTAGCTGTTGTGCCGAAATCTCATCCAACAGAAGTGCTGACAGCAATTTGCAGGGCAAGAAGATTGGATGCTACTTCGGTAACATGAACGAAGACTGGGGCGAGATGATGAACAGAGACCCTCTGTGGCATGGCCCCAATAAGATTGATGGTTATCAAGACTGGATGCTTGCCAACCGTATCTCTTACGAGTTTGGTCTGACCGGACCAAGGTTTGTTCTTCTTCTCCTCCTCCTCCTCCTCCTCCTTCTCCTTCTTCTTCAAGAGAGAATGGGTGGCTAACAGAAAACACTCCGTAGCATGACTATCCGCACCGCCTGTTCATCAGCTCTGACTTGTCTCAACGAGGCCTGCCAAGCCATTCAACGCGGCATCTGCGACGGTGCCATTGTCGCCGGTGGTAACTTGATGCTGGCCCCCGGCGCGACACAACAGATGACTGAGAAGGGCATCTTGTCTCCCGAGGGCTCTTGCAAGACCTTCTCTGCCGATGCAGACGGATATGCCCGTGGTGAGGCCTTCACGGCTGTCTTCGTGAAGCCTCTCGATGCCGCTATTCGAGATGGCAACCCCATCCGGGCCGTCATCAGGGCCGCCGTGGCAAACTCCGACGGCAAGACCCAAGGTATCACCCAGCCGAATGGGTCTGCCCATGAGCGGATGATCCGTCTGGCCTATGAGAAGGCTGGCATCTCGGTTAGTAGTTGATCCTCCCCTTGATGGCCGATGACCTAACCCATACTACCCCCCCCTTATCTGTTTGAACGACGCTCACATGTGATAATTCTGCAGGATTTCTCCAAGACGGCTTTCTTCGAGTGCCACGGAACTGGCACCGCCGTTGGCGACCCCATCGAGACCGGCGCCGTAGCCAACGTCTTCGGAGACGAAGGCATTCACATCACCTCCGTGAAGCCCAACGTCGGCCACACCGAAGGCGCCTCCGGTCTGGTGTCGCTGATCAAGGCCGTCATGTCCCTCGAGCACCGCACCATCCCTCCCAACATCAAGTTCAACGTCCCGAACCCCAAGATCCCCTTCGTGGAGCGAAAGCTCACTGTTCCCGTCGAGCCCACCCCGTTCCCCGAGGACCGCGCCGAGCGTGTCAGCGTCAACAGCTTCGGTCTCGGCGGTTCCAACGCCCACGTCATCGTCGACTCGGCCAGGAGCTTCAACCTCCCCAAGCCCGCGCCACGGGACAGCGACCGCGAGTCCGACCCCCAGCTTCTTCTCTTCTCGGCCTCTTCTGCCCCGTCGCTGAAGAACACCATCGCCGGTTACGAGAACTGGATCGCGAAGAACCCCGCCATGGCCGACAAGCTCCCCGATCTCGCCTACACCCTCGCCAACAGGCGTGAGCACCTCGCCCACCGCTCCTTCAAGATCGTCGGTAACAACGACCTCCCGGCCTCGCAGGGCAGGAAGATCCCCGGTCAGCCCGTGAGCCTGGTCATGGTCTTCACCGGCCAAGGCGCACAGTGGCCCCGCATGGGCCGCGAGCTGCTCCTCCGCGACGATCTCGTCTTCCAGAAGACCATCCAGAAGCTCGACAAGTACCTCGAGGAGATTGCCGACCCCCCGGCATGGACCATTGAGGGAGAACTGCAAAAGTCCGCCAGGACCTCGCGTGTCCAGCTGGCCGAGCTCTCGCAGCCGCTGTGCACCGCCGTGCAGATCGGCCTCGTCGACCTCCTGGCCAGCATCGGCGTTGAGCCCGAGGCCGTCGTCGGCCACAGCAGTGGTGAACTTGCCGCCGCCTACGCCGCCGGTGCCCTGACCGCCAAGGAGGCCATGATCGGCGCCTACCAGCGTGGCCAGGCCGCCAAGCTCCAGAACAGGAAGGGCGCCATGGCCGCCGTCGGCCTGAGCTGGGACGACGTCGAGCCGTTCCTGAACCGGCCCCATGTCGTCATCGCCTGCGAGAACTCCCCCAAGAGCGTCACTCTCTCCGGCGACGCCGACGAGGTGCAGGCCGCTGTCAACCGCATCAAGGAGGCGCATCCTGACATCACCGCCCGTCTGCTCAAGGTCGAGAAGGCCTACCATTCGTACCACATGCAGGAGATTGGCAACGACTACCATGCCATGATCGAGCCCCACCTCGAGGGCAAGCAGGCCATCAAGCCTTTCTTCTCCAGCGTCACCGGTACCGGCGTGCCCGAGGAGCGCAAGCTCGACGCCAAGTACTGGCAGCAGAACCTCCAGTCCCCCGTGCTCTTCAGCCCCGCCGTCGCCGGCATTCTCACGCACTTCAAGAACCCCGCCTTCGTCGAGATCGGTCCTCACGGTGCCCTCGCCGGCCCCGCGCGACAGATCTTCGCCAAGGCGTCCGTCTCTCCCCCCTACCTGTCGGCCATGACCCGTAACGAGGACTGCGTCGAGGCGTATCTGTCCGCCGTCGGCAAGCTCTTCGAGCTGAACGTCTCGATCGACTTGGCCGCCGTCGGCCCCGCGGGCGAGACGCTCCCGGATCTGCCGCGCTACCCCTGGCACTACGAGGGAGAGTTCTGGGCCGAGTCCCGCATGTCGGCTGAGTGGAGGAACCCCAAGTTCCCCGGGCATCCGCTCCTGGGACGTCGCCAGTTGGAGAGCACCAGCCTCGAGCCCAGCTGGAGGAATATGCTCAACATTGAGGACGCGCCGTGGATTCGCGACCACCAGGTCCAGGGCACCGTCGTCTTCCCGGCCGCCGGCTACTTTGCCATTGCCGGCGAGGCCATCCGGCAGCTCAGCGGCGTCGAAGCGTCGTACAGCCTGCGCCACGTCGTGCTCAGCCAGGCGCTCATCCTGCAGGAAGGCGTGGACACCGAGGTGGTTACCAACCTGCGCCCTCACCGCCTGACCGACTCGGCCGACAGCCAGTGGTGGGAGTTCAGCATCGCTTCCTTCAACGGCCATTCGTGGGTGAAGCACTGCGTCGGCCAGGTCTCGGCCGTGGCGTCTGCCGAGCCCGTCCAGGTGGGAGAGGTCAAGCCGCTTCCTCGCAAGTTGGACACCTGGAAGGTCTTCAACATTCTCGCCAAGGCCGGCATGGGCTACGGACCGGCCTTCCAGCGCCTGGATCAGATCACGGCCGGGACCCTGGAGACCAGCGCCGTGAGCAGCGTGACCCGCGCTCTGAACGGAGACGAGAACAAGTACCACCTGCACCCTACCGTCATCGACGCGGCCCTGCAGATGGGTCTTGTCGGTGCCCGGTCCGGCAAGCTCGATGCCAGCAACTGCGCCGCCATGCCTACCTTGATCGAGGAGGTGACCATTTTCAACACCGCCGCCGAGTCGGAGATGACCGTGGCGGCGTGGACCGATGTGCAGCCCGGCAGCGGCGAGATTCGCGGCCACTTCCAGGTCGTTGCCGATGGCAAGGCCGTGCTGAACATGCCCAAGGCCGCCTTCACCCCCATCGAGCAGGGCGACAAGGATGTCGTGCACAAGCTCCCCATCACCGGCCGTATCAACTGGATGCCTCACATCGACTTTGTCGACGATGTCGCTTCTCTCATCAAGCCCGAGTTCGACGGCGAGAAGTGGACCCCTCTACTGAACGAGCTGGGCGAGCTCTGCTTCATCTTCTTCCAGAGGTGCATCGAGGATGTCAAGCTGTCGGAGAATCCCACCATCCAAAAGTTCGCTTCCTGGATTGGCCGCCAATTCCAGACCCTCGACAAGGACCACCCGGGGCACGCCCTCGATATCCCGCAGATCGTCGACCGGGCCCATGCCATCGGAGAGATCATGGCCGGATCGCCGCTTGCTCCCTGCGCCGACTCGATCCTGGAGATTGGCCTGTACATCGTCGAGCTGCTCACGGGCGAGAAGGATATCTTTGAAGTTCTCTCGAACAATGACCTGCTCACCAGGCTTCTGGCTGCGGCCAACACCGTCAACCGGACGGCCTTCATCAAGACCCTGGCCCACGCAAGGCCCAGCCTCCGGATTCTGGAGCTTGGCGGCAGCACCGGACAGATGACCCCCTCGATGTTGAAGGACCTGGTCCTCCCCAACGGCGCTTCCCTTTACTTCAAGTACACCTACACGGACCCCTTCTCGACTTCCTTGCCCGACGCGAAGAAGCGCTTCCAGGACGTCGAGAAGATGGAGTTCCGCGCCCTCGACATCAGCAAGGACCCGGCCGAGCAGGGATTCAAGGAAGAGGACAAGTACGACCTGGTCGTCGCGACCAACTTTGTCCACGCCACGCCCAGCCTGTCCGGCTCCCTGGCCAACGTCCGCAAGCTTCTGGCCCCCGGCGGCCGTCTCCTTCTGCAGGAGCTGAACCCGTCCTCCAAGTGGATCAACTGCATCCTCGGCTTCCTGGACGACTGGTGGGTCGGCGAGAACGACGGACGCCCCGACGAGCCCTACGTGTCTTCCGAACGCTGGGCAGCCGAGCTGCAGGCCGCCGGCTTCGCTGCGCCGGCCGTGCTCGATGACGCCCCTGCCCCGCACCAGCTGAGCTCCGTGATGATCGCCCAGCCCGAAGAGGACGTCAACCGGACGCCCAACAAGACCGTGACGGTCTTGGCCTACGAGGTGGACGGCAAGAACGTCCATGTCGTGAGCCAGAAGCTCGAAAGCCTCGGCTACAATGTGGAGAAGCGTCGCTTCGGCGATGAGCTGCCGGAAGCATCTCGGGACGTGATCAGTCTTCTCGACGAGGAGAAGCCTTTCTTCGAGGACATCGATGAGGGGCGCTTCACGACTCTGCAGAAGACCCTCGCCAACATTGGCGAGAAGGGCATCTTCTGGGTCACCCGCCCGTCTCAGATGCAGTCCGCGGACCCGCGGTACGCGACTGTCGTTGGCGCGATCCGCTCCATCCGCCACGAGGACACAATCGACTTTGCCACCTGCGAGGTCGAGGACGTGAATGCATCGCTTGACAAGGTCGTTGACGCCTTTGTCCACTTCCAGAACAGACATGAGGACGAGTTCTTCCGGCCCGACTACGAGTACTCCATCGTCGACGGCACGATCAATGTGCCTCGCTTCTACACCTTCACCTTTGGTGACGAGCGCGCCGCCAGCCGTGCCGCGGAGGAGACTGTGTCTCTTGTGGCCGAGAAGCCGGGCCGCCTGACTTCGCTGACCTGGGAGTCGCACCGGTCCGAGCCCCTGGTTGGAGACCAGGTCGAGGTCGAGGTCTTCTATGCCGGTCTCAGCTCCAAGGTACGTTTTGACGGTTTTCTTTTTGCATCCCTCTCCTTGTTGCATCATCCATTCTTCGTTTCTTCGTTTCTTCCTACTAACTCCAACTTTCACTTCACAGGATGTCGCCGAGGTCATGGGTAACAGCCCGTACCCTGCCGGAGGTCTTGGTGGAAGCGCCAGTGGCCGCATCACTGCCGTCGGCCCCGATGTCAAGGAGTTTGCTGTGGGCGACCGCGTGATCGGTCTTGGATCCGGCAGCTTCTCTTCGCACCTGCGCACGTCTGAGGCGCTGGTTGAGAAGATCCCCGACAGCATTTCGTTCGAAGAGGCGGCCACTTTGCCTGCTGAGTACGCCACCGCCCTCGCGGCTCTGCACAATGCCGGCAATCTGCAGACCGGACAGTCTGTTCTGATTCACAATGCCACTGGTGGGGTTGGCTTGGCTGCCGTGCAGCTTGCCAAGGCCTCCAGGGCGGATATTTATGCCACTGCCGCCACCGAGGAGGAAGCTACCTACCTCTTCGAGAAGTTTGGCGTCCCCAAGGCTCGCATCTTCTCGTCCACCGATGACAGCTTCCTGAACAAGGTGCTGAAGGCGACCGGCGGAGAGGGTGTCGACCTGGCTCTGAACTCGCTGTCTGGTGACCTCCTGCACGCTACCTGGAAGTCCGTCGCCGAATTTGGCAAGATGGTTGAAATCGGCACGGCAGACCTGGTTGGTGCCGGCAGCTTGGGCCTGGACTCCTTCCTGGGTGGTAGGACCTACACCGGCGTCAACCTCGAGGCTCTTGTTGCCAAGAAGAAGTCGGTCGTCAAGGGGTACGTCAACCTAGTTGCTTCAACCGTTAAACCCCCCCCCCCCCCCCTTTACAGCTGGGTTGGATCCATCTGATTACTGACACAAACCCCCTCATTTCTTAGACTGCTGCAATCCACTGTGAAACTCCTGACGTGGGGTAGCATTGTGCCTATCTCGCCTCGTGCCGTTTATGAGGCTTCGGCCGTCGAGGATGCTATCAAGCATGTGCAGGAGAGCAAGGACTCGAGCAAGGTTGTCCTTCAGCTCCGCGACGACAGGGATGGCGCGCTCAAGATTGGCGCCAGCCCCGTCAAGGTGGCGGACGACATCTTCAAGGTCGACCCGACGGCGTCCTACCTGCTCGCCGGTGGCTTGGGTGGTATCGGAACGGTGATCGCCAGGCATCTCGTCGAGAACGGTGCCCGCCGCATCGTCTGCCTTTCGCGCAACCCCGGGTCCCGTGCCGAGGACCAGGACACGATCCGCGAGCTCGAGAGCATGGGCTGCGACGTCGTGCTCGTCAAGGGCGACATGGTCAACAGGGACGACATCTTCCGCGCCGTGCAGCAATCGCCCAACCTCAAGGGCATCCTGCACTCGCCCATGCTGCTCCAGGACGAGGCGTTCCGCAACATGACGATCCAGCAGTGGATCAAGGCCACGGGCCCCAAGGTGAATGGAGCCTGGTACCTGCACGAGGCCACGCAGGAGGCCGGCATCGAGCTCGACTTCTTCGTCTTCCTGTCGTCCATGTCGGGCATCACCGGACAGCCGGGCCAGGCCAACTACGCCGGTGCCAACACGTTCCTGGACGCCTTCGCCTTGTGGCGTAACAGCAACGGGCTGGCGGCCTCTTCCATCGACATTGGCGCCGTCGCCGACATGGGGTACGCGGCCCGCGACCAGCAGCTGCTGCAGAGGCTCCTGAGGCAGGGTTACTCGGGCGTCACCGAGTCGGAGATGATCGAAGCCTTCCGGGCGGCCGCTTCCTACCCGATTCCCGAGCTGGCCATCGACACCAAGAGCGCGCCCTTCTCGCACCAGAACACCTTCGCCACCGGCTTCGGCTCCGACAAGTCCCTCAGCCACCCGGACAGCCGTCTCCACTGGAAGAAGGACGTCCGCATGGCCATCTGGCACAACATCAGCGACGGCGACGTTGGTGGCGAGGGCGCCGGAGGTGATGACTTCAAGTCCTTCCTCGCCGGGGCCAAGACCAACCCCGAGGTTCTCGGCAAGCCCGAGACGGCCAACTACATCGCCCTGGAGATTGGCAAGCAGCTGATGAAGCTGCTGCTGAGGCCCGATGACGACCTTGACATTACTCTTCCTGTTCAGCAGCTCGGTCTTGACTCGCTGGTCGGCATCGAGCTGCGGAACTGGTGGCGACAGACTCTCGGATTCGACATCAGCGTCATCCAGCTTCTCGGCTACGGTACCCTGGAGGAACTTGGCAGGCAAGCTGTGATTGGACTGACCAAGGCGACGAAATGATGAGTTTAACGAATGGTTCCTGAGTGTGTGTTCTACAGAATAGTGTTTCGATGTTTCTGTGTCTCTTTTGTTTCGGTCTTTGGGCGTTTGATAGAATTTTTTGATGTTTTGATAGAGAAAATCTAAATTGTTACAGTTCGATACATGTTGAAAGTAGGGGCAGTCCTTGGCTACCTATGTGATTACCTAAGGTAAAGGCAGTAAGTTCAGGCAATGCTTGACCGACTTCGTCACGTCGAGGGTGAGGCAGACTCAGGCAGTTACTACCGGTATCTTCCTTACCTTCCAGGTTCGTTTTTGCCCCTTCAGCTTCTCACATTCTCCTTAACTAAGGTAGGTAGGTACCTAAGGTAGTCTTTGGACTTCTTCTCCTATTTTACATCTTATTATTCTACTTCATAGTCCCCACCTTCTCTTCCTTCCTTCGACCCACTCTCTTCCTCCTATCTTCAGACTTCGACTGCTTCTCTAGTCCACTCTCTGAGGAAGATTACGTATGAAACCCATATCCCTTTACAGCCTCACTCAGATCCCAATTCTAATCCTCTCAATAGCCATCGGTACCGAAGCCCACTAGTGCCAAGCCCACTGCTAAACCCACCTCGTCACCACAGGTGACAGGTCCACAGCCTCTACCTCCGAGGGCACTTCTCTTAACAGGGAGAATGAGTGCAGACTCTCTGGACGAGCCCGAATCTGGCGCTGGCCGGCCACCAGCTGTACGTCCTTGTCTTGATTTAGCATGTTACCTTTCCCTCAGGTTACTAACGCCACCTAAGCAGTTCACTATATTACCTTATTTTTGGTTTGTTATATTGGCTTGGGCGAAAATAAAAGACTCTTCGAACACTTTATATCTTATCTTTATAACCGCCGTGGCAACCGATACTTTACTATATCTCCTATTATCGTAGTAAGTGCGCCGTATTTATATATAAGTCGACACTTATACTATTAAAGCCTAAGATATATCCCTGATTTTAATATAATTCTCTAATAAGCAATAAGTTTATAAAAGTTCAAAGTATAGGTTTTATAAAATAGTTTTCTAATATTTCTATATCTCCTTTACTTTAGCCTTTAGGTGTTATATAATACTAACTATAATAATAATAATAACGATAATATTAACGACAATGACAACGATAATGACAACGACAACGACAACAACACCAAGAACAACACCAAGAACAACACCAAGAACAACACCAAGAACTTAGCTCCTTCCTTTATTTCCTCCTTAGTCTACTCCTTCTATTCTCCTCCTCCTCCTTTTACCCTCTTCCTCCTTTTACCCTCTCCCTCCTTCTACCCTCTCCCTCCTCCTTTTCCTTCTTTTACTCTCCTCCTCCTTCTTCTACACTCTTCCTTATACTATCTCCGGCTTCTTACCTATTCTACTCTTTCTAAAGACTTCCCTAAGATATCTATTGCAGAACCTCTCGCAGCCCTGCTTAGATCCTAGCCCTCAATCTCCTGACAACTCTCTTTGGTCCCCAGCCGCATCACTCGCAAACCCATCAAACCTATCCACTATGGCCCGTAACGGGTTGCCCGACGAAACCCACGGCCGTGTTGAGTGGCCGGAGACGACTATCTGCCCTACGAATGCCGCTGGATTGGGTTTCGAGTACCCGTGTCGCCCGGATGAGTATGTGACGCACTGGACTGACCCCTTATCGGACAACCGGGAAACGACCTATCACATGTGCGCCAGATCCTGCCAGTGTCCGTCCCTCCCCCTAGTCTACACGGTCACGGTCACGAATAGTGATGGCACGGGGACTTGTGCCTCTCTGACCCCATCGGCAACCATCGCCTGCCCCGCGCCTAACGTCACCTGCCCCGCGGCGCCCGCCTCCTCCAACACTATCAAGATCAATGAATGGATGGGTGTGGGTTTACAATGGGCTACATTGGTTATTTCGCTTCTGTCACTTTTCCTCTCGATGACTAATAGCCCAGCTTGCGTGACCTGGTACTACAGGATTCGGGGCAAGCCTCAGCCTCAGACAGACGCCGATATCGCGAGGGTTGCAGCAGAACAAGCAAAAGCAGACACTGAAACTCTTAAAACGGACACAGAAAAGCTTAAAGCGGACGCCGAAAAAGCGAAGACTGGCTCCGAAAAAGCAAAGACTGATGCAGAAAAAGCAAAGACTGACGCGGAAAAAGCAAAGACTGACGCAGAAACTGCTGCAAATAATGCTACGACTGCTACGGCCAACGCCCAGGCGGCAACTAGTATTGCTCAGACTGCTATGGTCAATACCCAGGCCGCCGCTAGTGAAGCCAGAACTAGTTCCAGCCATATCCAGACTGCTGCGGCCGACGCCCGTGCTATGGCTGGCGATGCTAGAACCGCTATGCTCAAGGCCGAGGATGCCGCTGGCAGAGCCCAGGATGCAGCCAGCAAGGCCCAGGATGCCGTTGGCAGGGCCCAGGATGCAGCCAGCAAGGCCCAGGATGCCGTTGGCAGGGCCCAGGATGCCGCTAACGCGGTAAACAATGCTTCTCAGCTCGCACGCGCTCTCTAGCTTATGGCTCCCGTCTATGTAAGTGATTACCTTATGAAGCGCAGGATTATAAATCATCACTGACACTATCTTATCAGTTTCCGACGTTTCCTCATTTTCGGCTAAGGCATGCCGTATATTGACTTCGACGAAAATGAAACACTGTTGCTGGCTTCACATATCGCCTTTATGACCTCGTGGCTACCAATTACCTTGAGCCTTGCCGGGTTTGACTCAACCAAGAGACTCTGATGACTGTTATGGATGCGTTGATTCGGTGGAACTAAATTGGCGGATGGTTGTAGAGGCGAAAGAAACCCACAACATAGGACCGCAGATGAAAAAGAAAAAGCTTCCCGAGAGTGTCGTCAAGAGTATGTCCATGTAGCTGTGCTGTCTTATCCACGATTTTTATTCAAGGAAGATACCGTAAAACTCAACTCTTTCAGAAGAGGCTTGTGCTATGTCAGGATCCATGAATCATGATCTATCCCCACTTCACTTCCCCCGTACATCCAATTTGCCTTCGGTAATCAAGAGATCCCGTTTTCCTTTGACGGCTGGTGTGCGAAGCAGACGAAGCTCAAGCACGCTATGGGCCGGAGGCAGTGGCGGTTGCAACTTGTCTTGTTCGTTTTAGCGGCCGCCGGCATCGACGGCAGGGACGGAATCGACGGAATCGACGGAATCGGCGGGGTCGGCGGGGTCGGCGGGGTCGTCGCAGTGAAACTGACTCTGAAGCCAGCACCAGAACGGCCTGGGGACCCTGGAAATACAACACGAGAAGAGGAGCGACAGGAACGAGGCCATCACTGTGTAAGGCTGGGGTATCTCAGCGACCCAGCGCACCAAATCGACCGGTGAGAAGAAGGCGGCGGTGTTATTGGCCATGGTGGCTCGTCGCTTGGGATTGGAACTGGGATTGGAACTGGGATTGAAAGTCGGTGTAGGTATAGTTTCTTAGTTGTTCTCGAAGAAGAAATTAATAATCAGAAGAAGGAGGGAGCGAGGGGAGCTACGTCTTAAGGGCTGACATATTAATATATGTTGTACGGAGAGTAATTACTCTGATGATCTGATCAGGGGAATGGAAATAGGAAGCTTCACGTTAATTAAGTTCACGTCCCGCGGTCCTCGCCACGTCTTGAAATAACGAACAAACACCGTAAGAAGGTGCAAAGGTATTTACTTCTTAATTAAAGTACCCATTACCTTAGGTACTAGGGAGACTTTTCGCCGGATCCTCAGAAATACGGGTGACTTGATAGCATAAACCTTCAGCAATTATAGGCCTATACCCGTATAAAACAAGCCATGTCTCACACCCACTACCAAACTGGTGTTCGCTCCAATCATGGCGTATGCTGTAGGTGATGACGTTATGCCTGTTCATATAAAATAGGTGGAAAGGTAAGGTACGGATCAACGGGGCTAATCCAACGAGCGATTAAACTATGGGGCGAAGTCACACCTGTTAGCACCCAAATAAGGTACGGAAAAGTGTGTGTATGCATTGAAGGAGAGACAGGGCGAAGTACCCCATAGGTCAGGTCTGAGACTGTGGCGCGAGTTACACACCGATGAATCACACGAAGTGTGTGGTGGCGTCTGACAACACCTATACGTGTGGATGTGTGAAACCCTGGCAGAAGTGTAAGGTAGCTTAGGTAGTTGAGTAATTTGAGTTCTGTATTTGTTGCGCGGCTTTACTGCAAATTTCCTTGAGCGTAACTGTATCGGCTTAGTACCTTAGATCTGCCAGGACCGGCCCAATCTCAGTTTGGGATGAGTTCTTCAACACATATGTCTACACATCTCAGCCTCTCAGACGCATTGTCCTTTGGCACGTCCTTTTCTGGGGAACTCGATATATGCGGTCAGTGAGCAGGACAGAGTTAAATGCCCTACGAAAAAAACTTGTCCTTGCCGTACCTATACGCGTGGAAAAGTATTTCCCCACATATTACATTTAGAGGCACGCCATATACTCGTGACTTATAGTGTAACGCCATATAAAAGTTACGTCGAATTAAGCTTTTAGGACAATATAGCCTATAGGTGGCGCCGTGGCGGGGTAGTGTTGGCAAATCGGCGAAAGTTTTACAAGTCACACGTGTATAGTGTGACTGGTGCACTGCAGACCCAATACCATAATAGAATAGCCCGCAAGTATTATATATATTAACATGGAAGGTAGTGTAGTTTGTCCGCAGACTAAGGCATGAACATGTTCATGTTGGCATCCTGCAGCTGCTCCTCCGGTCTTCCCCTACAAATAAAATCAAAACCAAAATATCAATTTAAAACCCGGCCATACACGTCTCGTCGACTCAACCCTGTCAGACAATCCTCACCCACAATGACTACGACGACGTCACCAGTGTCACCGACGAACCTATGGTTCTTCTTTTGGACCAATGTTGTTATATGGCTCATTTTTGCCTTTCACAGCTTCATAATGGTGGTCGCCATGTATACAGGGTTAATCAACGCCTGGAAGATCGAGCAGGAGAAGAAGAAGATTCAGAAGGAGAAGGCAGCACGGGAGGGCAAACCGTTTGTACACAGGTCCTCGTATGCTTCGAGCTTCATGGATGCCTGGATGGATCCCTTTGACCCTGATCTTGTTCGCCGCAGCGCTGCGGGGGGTCGTCGTGACAACATTCCCTATTGAGCCGATTAATCCATCAATTCATTTTCAGTCGGTCAGAAGAAGTCAACTTGGTCAATAATAATCAGTTAACTAAGAGATCCCTTAATAATTATATCATTCTACCTTTGTTCTAAGTACTATCATTGAACAATAAGGTAACAAACACTTGCCTCGCGGGCCAGTTGACCTCCTGCCCTTGGCCCGTAGAACCAGATCAAAACGACTTTTGCAAGTGCCAACCACAATCTTCCTCGATTGTTTTTCTTCTTTTTCCAACCTCACGAGATTTTAGCAACGTCCCCCAGAGCTTGGTAAGTCTTGCTGTCTTCCTCTCCTACGCAACAACTTCATATTTTCCATTTTTTTCTCTCTTCCTTCCTTCTACTCTTTTGAGCCTTTCCTCCTCTAATTCTCTCAGGCTCCCCATAGCCATCCTTAGACCTTAGTACTTAGTACTTACTGAAGCACCTGTTCTCAAGCCCACTTCCAAACTCACTTTGAGTCTTTGTCAGAAAAGACGCGATGCTCGCCAGTGTCGCCACCCAGTTGGTTTAGGTTGACGTTGAAGTTGGGTTTTCTGGGCTCGAGTCCTCGAGAAAGGGTTGAGAGGGCTCTGGAGAAGATACATCATACGGCATTCCATTACTCCATAGACTCGTCGGGTCGCGGTCTGTCTTGTCTTTGATCCATCTGAGGCGTTGCTTAGCCATATCATCGTCGCGTTGGGGGAAGAGGAGGTGGAAGAGACGGAGATATCTGGTTATATTTTTGATATTGCCTAAAGTCCGTCAGATCGAGGAAGAGAAGAAGCAGAGGCAGCAGCAGGAAAAGGCTTCACAAGAGGGTGAACCGTCTATATACCGGTCCTTGTTGCTTGGAGCTTCGCAGATGCTTGGGCGAATCCCAATCCGCCAATTAATCGGTCAGGAAGCCAGTCCACTTAAGTAGTCGATGATCAGTTAACTATGAATCAACCGGATGTTTTTGTGCCTTGTATAAGTTGTCCCCTTGGGCCCCTCTTCACAAGTCTGCCGTATCTTAAAGTCCGTTCTACTTTGCAGACAGAGTAGATCCTCACAGACGAGGGCACGAGGCCAGGTCCGGAGTTTTCAGACCACGGAAGAACTTACGAAAAGAACTCATCCAAATAGTGGTTGACCGTTGACGTTCTGTTGAGAGTTGAGACTGGTAAATTCGCCTACTCCCACCATACACTATCCACAGCCCGCAGCGCATTGGTACCACAATGAACCTCCCCTCCACCCAGATGATGGCTATGGAACGTGTCGACAAAGGTCACGTTCATGCCCGCCCGACTATAGGCCTTCTCAACCGCAGCGGCAAATAGATCCACGCCATCAACCACCGGGCCGAAGGGGTTCGGGCTCAAGTAATGCTTACCAACCACAACACCGTTCACAACGTCCGGACTAAAGAAACCAAGAATGTGCTCGCCGTCCTGAAGAGCCGAGTACAGAGCCGGTTCGCCCTCGAATCCGTCCGTCCTCCTCGCGTCGACGCGGGACTTGCGGGACTCAATATCAACCCCCGCATCGAAACTCTGGAAAAGGACGGGCAGACGGATGATATCTGCCTCATCGAGCGGTAGCTCGTCCAGCAGGATCTCAGTATTCTGATCGATCTTCCCCTGAGCGTAGGCATTGATCTCAGCGAGTCGGCCGTTGCCCAGCATCTCCGAGACGGTCACGTCGAGGTGCAGGTGCGGCAACGTGCCGTCGAACGAAACGTTGTCGCGGGGTGGAGGCGGGTTCACCACCAGACTATCCCCTTCGCCCGCCGCAGCCGCCTCTTCCAACAGGCTGTATGCCAGCTCCGTGTCGGTCACGCCGATGGTGAAGCCGAGGTCGTTGTCATACGGGAGAAACTGGACGAATTCGTCCACGTGGCCCACGAGCAGCCAGCCGGTTTTGAGGACGAGCGGCTTCTGCAGGCCGCCTGCTTGGCCTTCGAAAAAGTCCCGCATGGGCTGCGCGATGTGACGCCCAAAGTGCTGTCCGTAGATCACCCGGCCGGCGGGGTAGCCCACACCGCTGCGCGAGGTGTAAGGTGGGATCGTCTCGACGTTCCCCAGGCTGTCGATGGTGTGGAAGAAGCCTTCGTTTCCGAACGTCCGAGGTTGGAACCCCCCGATCCCCGGCCCTCGAAGGTCTGTAAACACCTGCCGACCACTGCCCCGCCATACCTGGGCCGACCGGAGCAGGATGCGGATGGCGATGGGACCGTGGGGGCCGGGCATGCTGGCATAGGCCGGCTCGAGCAGGTCCTGGACCCAGATATCCCCCGAGCCGTTCTTGAGGAGGAGAAGCTCCTTCTCGATCCCGGCCACCTGACGCGCCTCATCCACTTCGGCATTGAACCTTTTTTGCGCTCGACGGTCGAACCGCCCACCTTCTTCCTCCGCCGCAGCGCTGACCAGGGTCTCCACCTCCTGGAGGTGATGGTGCGTCAGGACGGGAGCCACCTGCATGGCCACGGAGTCGCCGACGACGACCTGATCAGGGTCTGAAGCGTGGAAAACGTCGAAGCGGACAACGGTCGTGCCGTTCCAGACGGCCGCGTCCCTGACAAACTCGCGCGAGTCGATGCCGAGGGTCACGCCTTGGCGCAGCATGTCGGCGGAAATCTGCGCCCCGCGTTCGAGGAACGCCCAGGATTCTCGCTCTGGCGGGGCCGAGTCGTCGTCGTGGACGAACATGAATATGCGCACGCGCTCATGCGCCTCGCGTGGGGTGGCGTAGACCCTCCCGACCACGTCGTCTGAGACGTTCAGTGGCATGAGACGCAGCGGGGCGAGATATTCCGGCGCAAGAACCGAGTCTCCCGACGCGTCGTGGCAATACGCCAGTTCATCGTTGCTCAGGGGTTCGTCGTTGAGGTCGACGGTTGCGCACCGAGAGAGGCTGTCGCCCACGCTAGGGAGGAAGATGGCACCACGCTCGTGGGTCCAGATGGTCTTGTCCTTCGCATCAGCATCGTCGATCACTCCGTCCCGGTTGGTATCGGCACGGATTTCCGGGCGGTAGGGGAGATTCTGGCCCCAAGTGGTGCCAGCGTGAAGGGCTAGCACGCATGAAAGGAGAGAGAAGAATGGTTTCATGGTGGAACATATTGCTCTCGGGTTAGAATTGCGAGAGCTCAGGAAGATGATAGTCTCAACTGTCTGGTCCTCCTGATGTATGCATTACCCCTGAGAAAAAGCGAAATATACTCCCCTTTGAACTACTATTAGTTGCGCTCCCCTGGGAGTACCACCAAGGGTAAACGAGGATATGAGCTTGTTTCCTCGCCGTAACATGAACTTTCACTTCCCTGTATTTTGTTTTCAGAATCCGATCTCGCCAGAATTCCATCAACCAACAGAACCTCCAAAGGACTCCGCCATGATGACTCTGGTGCAGCGACCAACAATTGGACAAGAGATGTCTGCTGTCTGCTGTTGTTTGATGTGCCAAGATGGCCAGTTTTGCAAACCTTCGTTCGGGTCACGGCAGGCCCATGGCTGGTTCGGAGGTGACAAGATGAGACGCTGCAGCCTGCAGGGACCCAGGCCTTTGACTGCAGAGGGAACATGACCAGAGGCTGGGTATGACAGTTCATGTCTGTACGGAGCAGTACTGCTCAGCGCCGTTGCGACGAAAAACGTGTAACGTCTTATGGTCTCTTGCGGGACGCTCTCTGGTGTTACAGACACAAACAGATGATTTGCCGAGAAAGAGATGGACCGGATAGAAGGGGGGAAATAAACGAAGGGCTCGAAAGTGTGCTGCTCTTGACGCCCGGCTTCAATATATGAAGAAGGGTGACCTATCACTGCTTGCTGGGAACCATCGTGAGGTTTTGCGTAACATTCGGGCGGCTGGAAGCTGGGGGCTGGACTGGCGTACGAAGAAAAGAAAACGAAGGGACAGAAGCACAGGATGGTCCTCAGTATCCAGAAGCACTTCGTTAGAACTGCAAGACTGTTTTCTTTATCCAATACATTGCGCCCAATTATACATTCGACAGAGCCTTCTTCATCTCACCCTTCATACGGGTGATGGTTCCCGACCCGCCGTAGGTGAGGCCAGTATAGACCATGGCGACGCTGGCGCCGGCGTTCAAGACGCGGAGGGCCTGCTCCCCATTGGTGATGCCACCGGTAGCAAAAATGACCTTCTGCTCCGGGTCGTCGCGAGCGGCGGCCTGCTTTTCGCCCGAGGCCGGCGCCTCGCCAGCAGCGGAATGATGCAGCGTCCGCGCATCGAGCATCTTCCGATACCTGCTCACGAGGTCCAGGGTCCGGTCGAACATGGCAGGGCCGGAGTAGCCGCCCTCTTCCATCAGGGCCTTCTGTTCCCGGGACGTCAGCTTGACGCCGTCCGGGACGACACCGGTCCGCCGCTTGGTGGTGTTCCCGACGATGACGCCGTCGACGCCGCTCGCGCACACGGCCTGCACGATGCCCTCCATCTGCATGTCCTCGTCCTCGTCGGGCGACACCTTGACCATGACCTTGGGCTTGGTCTTGCGGTCGGTCTTGCGGGCCTCGTCCACCACGGCGGAGAGCAGCGTGGTGAGGGGCCCCACGGCCTGCAGGTCGCGCAGGCCCGGCGTGTTGGGGCTGCTGACGTTGACGACCAGGATGTCGGCGTAGCGCGCGAGGGCGCGGACGCAGTAGACGTAGTCGGCCGCCACAGCGTGGACGTCGCGCTCGTCGGTGCGTTTGTTCTTGGCCATCTGGACGGCCAGGAGCTTGCCCGGCGCAAGACTCCCCGGGTTGACGCCGGCCTCGCCGTCGAGCACCTGGGACTCGGACAGACCGAGGGAGCGGGCGAAGATGCGGAGGCGTTCGCGGAGCGTGCGGGCCATGGCGTCGGCGCCGCGGGAATTGAGGCCGAACCGGTTCACCATGCCGTGGAGACCGACCACGCGGAAGACGCGGGGGCGGGGATTCCCCTCTTGTGGAAAAGGCGTGCAGCCGCCGACCTCGACAACGGCGGGGCCTAGGGCGAAGAGAGGGTCGGGGATATCGGCGTGCTTATCGAGACCCGCCGAGATGCCGATGGGGTTGGAGAGCGTGGTGCCGAAGACTTCGACGGCGAGGGCGGGGTCGGAGGCAAGGGAGGCGTCACGCTCGCGCGGGTGCAGTCCTAGGGCATAGAGGGTCTTGAGAGCCGTGGTGCCGGCGTGGTGGGCGTCTTCGGCGTCGGGGAAGAAGGCCCGGATGAGTGGCGGGACGAGCCAACGGTGGAAGGAGGCGCGGGTGTCGGTCGCATACAAGTAGGCTAGGTAGACGGAGCCGGCGATGGCGCTTCCGTAGAGAACTGTTTTGGCACGAGCCACTAGGAGGGAGTCGGTGGCTTTTGAAGTCGAAGAAGAGGACGACGACGAAGAAGAAGACGAAGAATTGGAGGCATGGCGTCGGGTACGATTGTGGGTGCGAGGTAGTGTTCGAGGCCGTGTGCTGCTTGAGAAGGCGGCTTTGGTAGAGCGGAATGCTAATTGCGGGCGGACGCACCGCAGACAAGGCGACGCCATGGCCAAAGACTAAACTCCGTCACAGCTCGACGAGGAGAGAGCGTGATGGTGGACAGATTTCAAGGCGTGGCCCGGGAGGAGACGTGAGAAGTGTGATGTGTAAATGTCGAAGATGAAAAAAGATCGTGGGGACGACTGTGTTGAGCCGATTTTCGGTTCTGGTCGGACACAGTGCGTTACAGTGCGCATTGGGTGAAATCGACACGGCTCTGACTCGTCGGCTTAATCCGTACCTTAGTTACCTTATGTAATCAATTCCTGAAAGTGATGGGTAAGGTGACTTTGCCTTGGTCAGTGTCTGGACCCGTCTCCAATTCTGTCTCGTTTCTCAAGTCTGTATCTAGGTACCTTATGTAGGTATTCTATTCTATGCCATGCCTGTATCTGGAATCCCTCTACCAAGTGCGCCCGTATCGTTTCTTGAAATCACACCCAGTCCGCGGTACATGTCCTGTCCAACCCAATCTAATTCTAGGCGTCTGCTTTCGGCATCAACGGCGTGGAGACAAGTACTCCTTCCACCGGACTTTCATCCACCTCGACCTTCGCTTCTGCCGCCTCGGCTTCCTCGGCCCGACGATTCAGAAAGCTGAGATACGTCTGCCACCCCACGGCGATGACCCCGGCGAAGACGCTCCGGTACTCCATGGGAATGAAAGTGAAGCTGAAAGCCGTCACGGCCGGCCAGAGCTTGCACGAGTTGACCACACTCGTCGGCACCGTCCGCCGTATCCGCTCCGCCACCTGTCCGAGGCCCTCGCCCGCCAGGAGGGCCTGCATGCCGAAAAAGTACGAGTTGAACAAGGGGGTGAAGAAGGCCTGGTTGATGGCGACCTTGACCCCGAGCGACAACATCCTCGACCCGTAGTTGAAGTTTTGCGACAGGAAAATGAACCTAGCAGCGGTGAGTGGTAATGTCCTACGGTCCGGTCGCACAGATGCATGCATATAGGTAGTCCATCTTCGAACGTACCATTTGTAGCTGGGAATCGACGAGAGAGCCCCGATCATGAACGACCTGCCCGTCCGTTCCGGCGCGTATTCCTCCCCCCCCATGCTCTGTGCCGAGATATCGGCGCACAGGTAAATGACCAAGGTGGTGCAGAACTGTGTCCAGTACGGCCTCTTCCTCTGCGACCGGCCGTACGATTCCGCCGCCCTCGTCAACGGGCCGAGTCGTTGCCAGAGGGGGGTCGTCGCAATGGTGTTGGGCACGGGGATCGCTTCCCCTTGCGCTTGCGTCTTTGGCAAGGGGGCCGACGCTGCTTCGGGGCTTTGGCTTTCGTGTCCCTGTGCCTGTGCCTGAGCCTGTGTCCGAGCCTGGCTCTGCACATCATTGTCATTCGGCTCCGGGCTTGCTTTGCTCGACTCGGTGCGACGCTGGCCGTGGCTCAACCTAGCGGGTGTGCGCTTCCAGGACGGGTGCCATGCCAGATTGTGTCCTCGCCGGGGGAGGAGCCTGGGCAAGGCTGTCGCGACGGCCATGACCAGTCGTCAAAGGTGCAGGGTTCATTCGACCGCCGCTATCATGGCCGCGTGCACTTGTCGGCTGTCGGTTGCGTAGGGGGGACGGGCAAGCTTCGGTATGGAGTCACGGTTGGTAGGAAGCCACGGAAGGGGGCCCAACACTCGGCATCTTCGGTTTTTTTGTAGTGTTACTCGGCTTTTTTTCGACTTGGCGATCCGCGTGACCAACCCGGAAGACCCAGAGTGGGACAACATAACATATGGCCCCAACTGACAACACCTGTTCGCTGAACAAATCTATGGTATCTAGTTAGTGTCGATGGCTGGAAAAGAATGGCATCTGTTTACGTTGAATCCAATGCTGAAGAGAGCTCCTTCAAACTCTTCGTGAGGTCACTTAATACCTACCGTGTGGTTTATCGACATAGCCGCCTAATCTAAGGTACCCCTCCGCGAATTCGGAAGTACCTTAGGTACCTTAACCGAACGACATCCTAAGGTACCTTACCTTAGGTACCAAGTAATTGCCATACGCGTTTGCTTCGTCTACGTTATTCGATTCGAACAGTCTAATTTTACCTATACAAAGTGCGGTAATAATTAAGGTACTTGTATGCCGTACAGAAGATGCTTCGACAATAATCTCCCCAACAGGTTTCGAATACAAACGTATATGTGACCACAGGGCCATGACAAACACCCACAAACTCTCTTGCCCCGAGAGTCACCAGACGCCGAAAAAACCCCCAAGGCTGGTAATGGAAAACATCAAGGGAGGTTCCGCTTGCCCTCCCTAACTGAAATTGAAGCATGTCGATGCAATAAACCTGAGCCGTCTCGTCCTTCGAATATACCCCTATGCCAATACTGGCCAAGTCAAGCAAGCAACTAAGCAACCAGAAATATACATCTTCCGCATTGCGGCACCTTGTCTTGCTCTGAGCTTGCCTTTCTCCTTTCGCTCCCCCTGAAACAGGCCTGGATTCCCATTTTTATTTTTCAGAATTGGACATCAACAATAAAGCGGGTATGTGGTATAGATGAAGACGTGGGGGCTCCTGTATCGGAGAATCGAAAACGATAGAGATGGACAATGGACGAGAGGGGCGCCGAGCGCATGTAACCCTTGCGTGAGTCGAGGAAGTCGAGAAATGGTTAAACGAGCAGGTAGTGTCCAGCCGAAACCCAGAGCCAGCACAGGCAAGACGAAAGAGCAAAGCATTGTTCTTGTTGTTTGATTTTGTTTTTCCTTTTTTTTTTTTTTTTTCTTTTTTTTTTTTTTCTTGGGTCATTTATTGTTCGTGAAAAGGAAATTCGGTTGGAATGAGCGACTGAAGTGAGTATGATGTAAACAAATAAGAAAAGTTTGTTGAAAAGAGCGTGGGATATGGTCAACTAGTAAAGTCGAGCCACAAGCTTGAATGAACGGTTCTGCTCTGGTCGTCTTGCATCGAATGGCTGGCGTCTGGGTCGGAACTGGTGCTCTCCGCTGTCGTGTTCATGTTCTGTTCTCAACCCTCGAGGCCACCATCGGCCCCGAGATTGGCTCGCTATTTCTCCTCCTCGGTTGCAGCACTGGCCCGCGGAGTCATGTCAAGCAACTTGGCGCTTCCTGCGCTGACGTGCCGGACATGACCTTTGCGCCCAAAATCGACGCTGGTCGCGCGCCCGACATGAGACGTCTCATCTGAGTCTAATTCGACCGAAGGCGTCGACTGTCGGTCCCCGTCGAATTCGTTGACGAGGCCCTCGCGGCTTTTCATGAGAGAGGCCTGGTGTTCTTGACGGTGTATTTGGGGGTGATGACTCTTGACGGTTCCCACACTCATCTCACCCCCATCCCCATACGTGTTGGCTAGCTCGTCATCGTCACTGCTGGGACGCCCTTCCTCGGACCAACGACGTCCACCACCATATTGGCCGTTCTCGTCCGGCTGTCTTTCCCGTGGCGGTGTGGCGAGATTGGATAGATACTCGTCTTCCACAAGCTCGTCCTCGGTTGTACCGCTAGTGGAATGAAGGGAACGGCGCCGATTAGCCCTCGCGTGGCGAGCGAGGCTGTCCCGCATACCCATGCCAGAGGAGGACCGCTTCCCGAGCTTCCCGGAGAGCCAGGACCCTTCTGAATCAATGGACGCGAGGGAGATGGAGTGCGGTTGAGGGGAGTCCTGCATAGATTGGTGGAGTGGTGCTGATGTTTGCTGCATATTTGTCTGTCGCGCGGATTGCGGTTTCGATGTGGGTGTGTTATTTTGTATTGCTGGGGCTAAGGTTAGCCCTGGAGCCGTATCCTCCAGAATGACCTCGTGTGCCTTGACCTCGGCCTCCGGGGAGGCCACGCGGGACTCTGGGGGTGATATCGGCATCTCAGGTAGATCTTCCCTGAAACGAGACCGCGTCCGTTTGGGGCCTCGGGTACCCATGGCCCTAGACTGAGAGCCCACTGTTGAGGGAGAAGGGGCATCCGTCAACATGGCACCAGGTGCTGTCATTTGTGTCGTCTGTAAAGTCTGCAATTTTTCTGACTCGGCTTGATTCTGCTTCTGCTTCTGATCCTGATCCTGGGCTTGCGCCCGCGCGAGCGCCAGTGCCAGTGCCTGTACCTGTACCTGCACGTGCGCCTGCGCTTGTGCATGCGCAGGCGCAGGCGCTTGGGCCACCGCTGCTTGCATCTCTTCGCGGGAGGTGTTGGAGAATGAAGAGGGGCCTGAGCTCTTCCGTATGCTCTTTGTACCCCACCTGAATAGTGCCGAGAGACTGCGTTTTCCTCCTCGCCCACTCGTTTCGGAATTTTTGGTCCCGGAAACGGAGTCATTGGACTTGGATGCCAAGGACGAAAAATTGCGCCTCTCGTCCGATGCCAACGTCGTCCGTGACCTTGACTTCCTCGATCGCAAGAAGGCCATCCTGAGCGGTTTGGAGTCTTCGGGGCCTGGTGATGGGGCTGCGCTCGGCGGGTTTAGTTCTGGGGTGAAAGTCGGAGGATCTCGAGGTGTGCTATCTGTCCTGTAGAAGTGGCTTAGAGCTTCGGGCTGGCGGCGGCGAGGATCGATGCCGTGCGGCTCTTGAACTGGCGTGCCGTCCTCGGGCGACTTGTTGGACCTCTGGATAGAGTCATCTGATGGACGTCTCCTTGACGAAGTGACCACTGCGGAGGTCGTGTCGATACCTAGGCCAAGGACTTCCCTTCCCATCACACCTCTTTCAAGATTCTGCGGGGATGGGGTGCCTCTCGCCGAGGCTTCAGCCTCAGCTTCTTTCTGTTTTTCTGCGCATCTGGACAAGTACCTCTCAATGCGCTCCTGCTCTCGCTGCCGTTTTCTTTCCCTCCGACGCTTGTCGCGTTCCATGAGCTCCCGTAAGCCAGCAGCGTCGAGGTCGTCGGCTAGGCTGTCTATTCGCTTGTGAGCCTTTAAGGTCGCCTCTGGTATAGGTTCCTGCTTGACGAGCTTCCTCCTCTGCGAGGATGTCCGAGCGAGGACCGAGCCTGTGGAGGGATTGCGTCGTGGGGTGGCAGCATATCGCAGGGTTGGGCGGGGGGTAAGGGCTTCCAGAGCTGAGATTTTGTAGGAGGCGTGCTCGGAGTCGGAAGACATGGTCGAGTGGATGGACTCTTGAAAAGGCAGAGAGACGTCGGATGTAGGACTCCAAGTCCCAGCATTTGTGATGCCCGCCTTAGCCCTCTTGCTTTCCGCCCTGATAGGCCGGCCTCCAGGCCACGAATCGACTGCTGGTCGGGCCGGCACGAAGTGGCTCATGGCCTTAATCTCGGCCTCGCGGTCAGGGTCCTTTCTCTTCCTCTTGGTACTTTTCCGTCGGAGAACACGTCGGTCGGAATTCTTCTTATGTAAGGTCGGAACGCGGGGCCAGGCTGCATCTTGTCCCTTGTCCTCTATTGACTGCGCCTGGGGTGACTCGGAGCGAGGTGGTGGGGGGTCCGAGGTCACCCTTCCTGGGGCGCGGATGGAATCATTACGTCCTGGGGAGAAGCTGTACGTGCGAGCTTGCCGGTGCAGCGCATTCGGGGGGGTCTGCTCTGTCCGTTGCTTCTTTTGGGAGGCCGTTCTCGTGGCAGGAGTGAAAGCGGAAGGTCGGTCGTCGCTGCCGGCCTGGGGCACCGGGACCGGGGCGTCGCCATCGGACAAGGCGGAGCCGCTGCGGGAGCGTTTTCGCCCTGTTTTCCTCCGAAAGGGCCATAAAGGCATCTTCCACGGGCTATCACTGGTATGGAACACAAGATGAGCAGGTGTTATCGAGATGACACGGGTGCATGATGGCCAATGTGATGACGAGAAGGAGGACCAGGCGACTGTGTCCTTCAGAGCGTGCGCGTTGGTATGTCCTCTGTGGTATTCGTCAAATCGTCGGATACGAGTCGTTCGCAGTCGCCCGAAGTCGCCTTCAGTTTGGATATGTAGGGTGCGAAACGGAGGGTGAAGAGGTAGTTCGAACGCAAAGGAAGAGACGAAGAAGTGCTGTCCTTGTAGGTGGGGAAAGGTAGGTAAAGTGGGTGGAAGTGCAGGAGTAGGCAGGTAGGAGGGAAATTGATACCTATTGGTTTGGGTTGAGGAGAGAGGCGAAGTGGAAAGGGGACAGGCGTGGTGGTAGGTATGTGGGTGTGCGTGCGTCAGGGAGCGTTGGGAACTGACATACCTAATTACCTTAGGTAAGATACCTTAGGTACCTACTAATGTAGGTACAAGGTACATACACCTCTGCCAATACCTACCTATCAAATACGTGGGGCGTGGCACGGGTATAGCACTTGGTTATTCCGACGGTAGTCCCGTCAAGGACCCACACTTGTAACCAATCAACAACTAGGATCCGACTTGCGACCACCTTCCTGTCGCTCTTGCCTCGATCGTCAATTCAACCAGATCTTCAGAGTTCAGACCCTTGATCCATCAGTCAATCCATCAGTCAATCTATCATACCTGCTACTCCCTTTAATTAACCCGAGGGGTTGATTGGTTCCTACTATATAAGAGCTGCAAAGAAGACGTGGTGGTGGTTTTCGATCGTAATGATTTACACGAACTAATAGTCTAAAGCCAGAAGTCTCGTAACAGAAAACCTAGGAAGGTCTATCTATGGCTGGGTAGGTACGAGCAGTACTCCAAACCCTAATATTAGGTAGCTGATCCTTCCTTCCACTTCTTCACTTCTATACGAGTAGTCTTTAATACGCATTACGCCACGAAATTTTACGGATACACAATGACGACAAGTCCTCAAGCATATTTTTGCCCTTGATTCCCATCCCTCTTCATCTCTCACTTTCACGTCTTTTTCTCCCTCAAGCACTATATAAAGGTCCCCCGACTTCCAGCCATCATGCCTGAATCAACCTGCACGGTAAGAACGCCTATGCGGTATCGAACACACGTCCGACACCACCTCCGACACACAGAACAATCCATTTCTTCCTCGGCATCGACCTAGACACGCCGTGTCTATGGAGTTCGGCATGAATTTTGGTCCGTCGGGCCTAGCTCCGTATGAGGCCGTCTGCTACTACTCCGGGCTACCCTCTCGGCCACGACTCGTTGCCCGTACCGGTGTCGAATGGACCGAGGACCCACAACAAGAAATGTGGTCATATCACAAATACCTGTCTTCAGTAGAGGATCACCCGATTGTTGAGCTTTGGAAAGAAGATCAACCCCTCCCCCACCTCATCATGAAAGCGTTGGCCTCCCTCCCATGGGTCGCGATCGATGTCCTCCGTGTGGGAGTCTTTCATTTTGGTATGACTAGCCCGCCTATGCCTTCTTCAGACAACACGATTCCTGTCGTTATGCTAGTCACTGTTGAGCCGGGCGAGACTCGGTGGGCAATCGCCGATTTGATTGCTACGAATTGCAAAAACATCCTTACGCAGTTCGGCATCACAGATGTTGAAGTCGAAATCAAAGAGTCCAGCTATTGTTGCAGCACATTGTCGGACTCAGATACATCAGATAACGTGTCGAACGTTAGCGACCCTCCCCCCCGTCTCTATTCTGGCAGCCCAGACGTTTTCCACCAGTATCCGCTGGATAAGCTCGTGCAGGATTTGCGACACTTGAGCGACTGCATTGGGACTCGAATTCGCAATGATGCGACACCGTCGACTACAGGCACGAAGGGCATTTACCTGAATGTCGCCCCTGCCAATCCTCATATCTGGACGTTCGAGCCATGCACTGCTGCCCTCACCTGTCGACGCGTCGTATTCCGAGGCAAAGATGACTCGGGAAAAGTCTACCATTGGGATGGCCAGGTCTCTACGAGACAATTCATCAGCCAGGACACTGGAGTCAGCGACATTGCACACAAGATCGAGAAGAAACTAATTGAAGAAGGAAAGCGTGTAAACAGACTTGCTTTGTTTTCTCTGAAGTACGACTCAGGCCAACACGAAGATCAAAGAACGGACCTGGAAGACGAGGTTTATGAGATCAGTCGGCAGGCCGATGCTGCGAGGGCGGCTCGAAGCATTCTGGACATGACACATGAGGACACGTCCATTCAGATCGGTCATGTTCTTTTCGCCCAAGAGCTTTCTACCGCGTTTCCGAGAACCTCGATGTCATCATCAGCATCATCATCGCAGCTATCGCCTGCGACTTATACCAGAGGGTCTTGGCTTCGGGACTACGCCTTGGTTCAAGTATCGGGCGAAGTCCATACGCGGCCTGCCAAAAACCGTCTGCCGATCAACTACGATAAACTACGTAAGAAGCTTGATGGATCGGTCCCGGAATACCCGCGGCGAAAATTTACGGGAGACGCGACGGAGGGAAATGCCGTCTTGTCCTCGGAGGTTGTTCCTGATGGCAAGGCAGGCAAGAGACGGGTCGTAGGGAAATTCGGCGTGCATGGATTGACATTCGGTTTCGTTAACGGAGTCAAGTCCGTTATCCGGAAGCGTCAAATTCACAATGTCGTTGATGAGCATGTGGCCTGGGAGATATGTGTGGTTTCTACCGACCGAGTTAATAGCAGCGCCTTTTCTAGAGGTAGTGACTCTGGATCGGCCATCTGGGATTTGAAAAGTCGTGTTCTGGGGATGATAACGGCAGGGCTAGGGGATCCAGCGACGTCAATAATGGATACGACGTATGCTACTAGTATGGAGAGGATCCTTCAGGACCTCGAGGCCAGCGGAATCAAAGCAACTCTGGGATAAAATACTATGGTTATTATTGTAATTGTTTTTGTCGTCGTTGTCGTCGTTGTCGTCGTTGTCGTCGTTGTCGTCGTTGTCGTCGTTGTCGTCGTTGTCGTCGTTATTACTATCACTATCGCTATTATCTTCCTCGCTTGCTCTTGACTATCCTCTCTTCGTAATCACCCCTGTTATTGTTCTGAGGAGACTAGATTTGCCTTTCTTTCCCGAATCTACCTTAGGTATAAGATCCACTATTGGCTCTTCTCGACCGATCGGCTAGATCGCGATCGAAATAGGTCATGCGATGTACAAAGGTCTGTGCTCTGATTGATCTCTGGAGCTGTTATTTCGTTATTCGGCGGACGGGGGGATTTGTTTTTTTTTTGCGAAAACAAAACCAGCCGTCCCCATTATGCCTCATGGGTGCTGCCGTTCGGTCTCAGGTGGCCTTGGCGGTTATTCTGTGTCCTATCGTGAAGGTTGCGCTGATGATGCTCAACTTCGTCAGAAAAGAAAAGAAAATAACACGGGACGGACTACGACGCCAACAAACGAAATCCACTTCTCCGTCAAAAGTCGACAGGCAAGCGGGGAGAGTAATTATCGTGTATCATTGTCAATCCAGGTCCCGTGTGACCAAACGACGGTCTCAAACGACCTGAAGAGGGCTGCCTACTCGAAGATCAATTGCCCATCATCAACGGGGCTCACCCAGTTTCAGTTGGAGAATGTTGAGAAGACGCGATGGCTTTCCCGAATCAAGTACAACCCCATTTTCCGCCGTACTTCGTATGCCAAGGATTCATCTCGGTAGGCTGATACCTACATGTACCAATTATCCGTACACAGTCCATCTGGTCCAGTCTAAGCTTGACGCGGGAAATAATGCCCATGGCGCTTCATGCTGTCCAATCTACACTACATCGTATGAAGCATTGGCTGTCAGCAAACCACCCCTCTGATGATCTTCGGAGTTGTTTCACAAAGGCCGGATTGCGGATCGGCTCTCCATAACACGGCATGAAGAATGCTGTCACGGTGGGGTGGCATGGTGTTCCTGTGTGTTCCTGACTAAAATCATACGTATATGTACATACGTTGTAGTTAGCCCCTTTCCCTGGCGGTACAACTACTGGCTGGAGACGAGACGGTAAGGTAGTCGACTGGACAGACCGGCGAGACCAGCCAGGATGGTTACAGTAGCAAGGTAATTACCTTGAAGTAGGAAGAGGAGACGTGGTCACGTGCCTAGTCATGTGAAGGACTTACAATTTCGGAAATTTCTTGTTGTCACAGCAACCCTGCTACTCAAGACCCCCCTCCAAGGTGGTTTCTGTTTATTGCGACCACGCAGGCCTGTTCGTTTTCCGCAAGAACGACTGTATCTTGCTAAGGCACCCCTCGATGACTAGCAACATCGCCGTCACCCATCCGAGACAATGGCGTATAACCCTCGCATGAGCATCATTCCTAGCCACCAGACCCAATCACGCTCCCGGAAGAAGGAAGATGAAGCCGACGCGTTTATGCGACTCCCGGACAAGGAGATTGTGGGGTGCATCACGGACATTGGCATCCCATTCACCGTGGCCGACTTGCAGAAGCCCAACCCGGTGCAGGTGCAGATGATCTTCGAATGGTTCGCCGAGTTGCTCCTCAACGCGACGCGCGAGACGGTCGAGCCGGCGATGCGCGCGGCCGCCGAGGACATTTGCGGCGAGTACGCCGACGTGGTGCCGCCGGACACGCGCAACCTGATGGGGTTCTACGTGTCGCTGCGCAAGCTGCTGCTGGAGTGCGGCATCAACGACTTCAGCTTCAACGACCTGTACAAGCCGAACCACGACCGCCTCGTCAAGATCTTCAGCTACCTGATCAACTTTGTGCGGTTCCGCGAGAGCCAGACGGGCATCATCGACGAGCACTTCAACAAGGCGGAAACGGCCAAGGCGCGCATCGAGGCCCTGTACGGCGAGAACCAGGACATGGAGGGCCGGCTCGGGGACATGCGGCGCAACCGCCGCGCCATGGAAGCGCAGGTGCGCGAGAAGACGCAGCGCAACGAGGAACTCAAGAAGACGCTCCTGGAGCTGCGCCGGAACCAGGAAAAAGTGGCCACGACGCTGGAGGAGGCCAAGACCAAGAAGAACGAGCTCACGGCGGCGCTCGAGGCCAAGACGGCGGCGAAGCTGGCGTGCAAGCAGGAGAGCGGCAAACTCCGCCCCTACGTCCTGCAGAGCCCGTCGGCGCTGCAGGCCAGCCTGGCCGAGCTGAGCAACACGCTGGCGCACGAGAAGGCGCGGATCGACTCGCTGGACCGCCGGTCGCGGGCCCTGCAGACGTCGGCGGACTCGTTCGCGGTCGTCTCGACGGACGTGGCGTCCTGCATCAAGGTGCTGGAAGAGGTGGCGGCCGAGCTCGCCAAGGAGGAGGAGGAGAACCTGCGGAATGCGAGGCAGCGGGACGCCCTCTCGGAGCGCGGCAACAACGTGCGCGAGGTGGAGCGGACCGAGGCGCTGCTGCAGCGGCAGCTGCTGAAGTGGAACGAGCGCACCGATCGGTTGCGCGAGCAGAGCGCGGCCAAGGCGCAGGAAGCCAAGGAGAAGATGGAGGAGCTTCGTGTCGTGCATCGCAGGTTGACCGAGGAGAGGACCGAGAAGGGTAGGGATATGGAAAGGAGAAGGGTCCGGATCGAGCAGACAGAGAAGAAGGTGAGTCTTCCCATCCCTGTCTCACACCCCTAGTCTTCCCATCCCTTCTTTGCTTTTTTTTTTTTCTTTTTTTTCTTTTCTTTTCCCGGGTTGGAATCTCGAAAGCTCTATTACTGACGGTGGGATCTCTAGATGCTGGATCTCAAAGAGAACATCGAAAACGAGATACACAGCGCTCACGACGAGTATCTCAAATTGGAGGCGCACATCAAGCTGTACATGACAGAGATGGAGCAGCAGATCGGCATGTGACGCCGCGTCTCCAGCTACACACACCACGTTTTCTGCCTTGGGTTTGTTTCTATTGCAAGCGAGTATTGGGTAATGAGTGTATGAAGGGTACACGACTTAGGACACGGCAGGATAGGCCATGGGAGGACGCGATGTGAACATAGGGAACACTACAGGGTAATCGGCGTTCGGCGGGGGGAAATTACATGTATGGTAAAGGGGGCGGCCGTCTGTTATTGGACCAGACCCCAGGAGTTATGGCCAGTTGAATATACCCCGGAAGATGGCCAACTTTACTCTACTTTACCGTCCAGCGTCCGGGCATGCGTCAAGGCCCCGTGCCCAATCGTCAGATTTATTTTAGATCCCACTGCCCGGACTGAAACCGAAACCAGCGCGCCAGCACACTTCGCACCTCTACCGTCCTTCCCATCCACCCTCCCTCGTCTCTCCTCACGCCTCGGCTTAGAACTGGTGCAGGCTCAGACAGAACAGAATGGAAGTTCGCATGCCCGCCGTCGCCGCGAGGTTCGACCACAGCGGCACGAAATTCATGGGGGGAAGCAGCTTCCACGAGTGCGGCGGCCGTAGAGCCAATCCCCTGAGCGCTCCACTCGCTCGTGTCACGGTGCAGGGACAGAAACCCGTACGCTAAGAGCAGAGGTGGGCGAGGGCAGTTCGATGTTGATGACGATGCGGAGGTGGAGGTGGAGGTGGTTTCCAAGCCTTTGGTTCGGCGTAAAGGCGGCGGTGGGACTTTGGAGTCGTGTGGCGTGAAGACAGCTAGGTAGGCACGGAGATGGGTGACGGTTGGGAGGAAGAGCATGCGGATATGCCGTGCTACTGCCACTTGGTAGATTGGGGCTGCGAGTAGGGGTAGTGGTAGGGATTTGGGGGCCTCCGTGTCTCGGCCGTCTGAGTTGTCGTCTCTGCTCTCATGTTGCCGGGGTACCTGTACCTGAGCCTGGACATCTTGAGCAAGTGATGAGAGAAAATCAGCTCGTGTAGAGCAGATGAGGAGAGTAGTTGGGTGTGTCTGGTAGGCGAGGATATATTGGAGGAGTTCAGCGGGAGTCGCTGGTGAAAGGACTATAGGTGTGATCATCGTGTCACTCAGTCTATCGTCCTAATAGTCATATACTCGGCCCTTAAAATGGTGGACGATGATTATAATCAGTGAGTGAGCTTACCTAAATATTGACTCAACAGAATCAATACTAATGACGTACAGACGCCAGCTGCCGACAGCTGCTAAATACCCCTCCACTTGAGCGCGCGCCTGACCGCCCAAAGTGCAGAAGCCAAAGTACGACACGTCATTTCTTCTCAACGCTCCCCCCCGTCCTCAACAGTCCAACGCCGCCCAAGCTTCCCTGGAGCCAGGGGTCTCTTCGTCTTGTCTTGTCAACATGGAGACCATAGCATCAATCTCGTCCATGTTAGAAAATGGTAGCTTTCTCCCTCTTCTCAGGCCCACCTCTGGGCTTCTGCTAACCTTCAAAAGCCCGCGAGCTCACCATCGATGCGGCTTCGGCCACCCGCCTCTCCCGCAGCTCGAACCGACCTTTGGACCGCAGTCAGATCAAGAAACTCCTCGATAGCCGAAATGACCGCGACGTTCTCGAGGGTCTACGCCGCGTCCTCTCTGTACGTTCTTCCCGTCGCGTTCAACGGTGCCCTCATGGCCCATGGGGGTCTTCTTCCCCATTGATGTCGTCCTCCACGCTGACATTTTGTTGTCCTGTTCCCAGATGATGTACCGCGGCCAGAAAACATTACCCTTCTTCTCCTCCGTCGTCAAGAACGTCGCCTCTCCTAACCTCGAAATCCGTAAGCTGGTCTACATTTACCTCATCCATCATGCTGAGCAGGAACCCGACCTCGCCCTGCTCTCCATCAACACCATCCAGAAATCGCTCTCCGATACCAACCCCCAAGTCCGCGCCCTCGCCCTGAAAACCATGTCCGGTATCCGTGTCCCCGTGATTAGCCAGATTGTCTCCCTCGCCATCAAGAAAGGTGTTGCCGACATGAGCCCATACGTTCGCCGCGCCGCCGCCCTCGCTATCCCCAAGTGCTACCGCCTCGATCCTTCACAGCTCGCCCAGCTGGTCGACTGCCTCTCCACTCTCATCGGCGACAAGCAGTACTATGTGGCCGGTGCCGCCGTGACTGCCTTTATGGAGGTCTGCCCCGAGCGCATCGACCTGATTCACAAGCACTATCGTGGGCTCGTCAAGAAAATCGTGGACATGGACGAGTGGAGCCAGCTTGCCACCATGCGCATGATGGCCTTCTACGCGAGGAAGTGCTTCCCCAGGAGGACACGAAGCGCCAAGGCCCAGGACAACAACAACAACAACAACAACAACAACACCACCACCACGACGGCGGATCTAGGTGACTTTTACGGCGAGCCTTCGCCGAGCGAGGAAGCCGCCGAGAAAAAGGTCGTCGTGCTGGATCCCGATCTGGTGCTCTTCCTGAACGGAATCAGGCCGCTCCTACAGAGTCGGAACTCGGCCGTGGTGATAGCTGTCGCCCGCTGCTACATCGAACTCGGCACGCCGGAGTATGTCAAGGATGCCATCGGACCCCTCATGGCGCTGCTCCGCGGTCCCCAGGACGTACAACAGATCGCTCTGTACAACATTGTCTCGGTATGTCTTGCGATGCCGCGGGACTTTGTCAAATACGCCAGTCACTTTCTTGTCCGGGCGACCGACCCGCCGCAGGTATGGGAACTGAAGCTGGAAGTCTTAACTCTCATCTTCCCCCATGCGACGCCCTACGTCAAGAGTCTCGTCCTCAGCGAGCTGGAGCATTTCTCGGGGTCCTCCAACAAAGCGTTGGTAAAGGAGGCCGTGAGGGCGATCGGCCGGTGTGCTCAAGGGGACCCGGCAACCGCCTCGAGGTGCTTGAGGTTGCTTTTGGGCCAGATCACCAGCCTGGACGGGACATTGGCGGCGGAATCCCTGACCGTCATCCGGCACCTGATCCAACAGGACCCTCAGGGACACGTCGGGACCGTAGTCCGGCTAGCGAAGAACCTCGACTCGGCGACGGACCCCCAGGCAAGGGCGACCATCATCTGGCTGGTGGGCGAGTTCGCCGGCCTCAACGGCGAAGACAACATAGCCCCCGACGTGGTGCGCATTCTCCTCCGGGATTTCGCCAACGAGTCCGAGGCGGCCAAACGACAAATCCTCCTTCTCGCCGCCAAGGTCTACCTCCACCACCTCAACCGCCAAAGCGAGAAACAGACAGAAGACGCCGCCCCGCCGCCGCCCCCCGATCCCGAAGAAGACGACCACCCCATCGCCAAACTCTGGAACTACACGCTTCTCCTTGTCCGGTACGACACCTCGTACGACCTCCGCGACCGCGCCCGCATGTATCGCGCTCTCCTCGCCGTCCCGCAGCTCGCCACGCTCATGCTCCTTGCGCCCAAGCCCGCCCCGCAAGCGCCCAGCCCGTCCGAGACGCGCAAGGGCTTCAGGCTCGGCTCCGCAACGCTCGTTCTCGCGGGCGGCGGCGGCCTGCATGGCATCCGCGGATACGAGGCCCTCCCGAATTGGGTTGCGGAGGGACAGGAGCCTAACCCCCGGCTCCGGGAGACCGAGGCGCCGGGATACGGTGAGGGGAAGGTGGTGCCGGCTAGTCGGCAGTTGGACGCGGCAGCACGGTCCGCACCAAAAAGCGCAAACGGGCTCGGAGCGGCTGTAGGGGCAGGTGCGGTGGCAGGTGTTGTTGGCGCCGCAGTTGGGGCGAAGACTCTGGATGATTGGTTGGCAGAGGAGGAAGAAGAGGAGGAGGAGGAGGAGGAGGAATCTGAAAGTGTTGAAGATGACACGGACGACGATGAGGATGAGGAGGATGAAGATGACGATGATGATGACGAATCTGACAGCTCGAGCTCGAGTGAATGAGATAAGTGACATCTCTGTTACAAGCTGTGCATGATTAGAGCTTTAATATGTGTTGTTGGATACATGGTTCACAGTTCATGGTTGGGATACATGTTCTGCAGAAGACCATAGACAAGGAATAAGATGAAGATGGAGGGCTACATGAATTTCCAAAGCCCGATTCATTATCCACCTAGCTTTGTACACGGCGTCCATGTCACAGGATGCCGAAAATCTATATGCCCTTGGATGCCTGTGTTTGAATCACCTGGTTTACACCTCCCTCTTGGACTTCCCCCGGTCATACGGCGTCCTTTCAACTCCTCTACCGTCGATTTACTTACTCCTTGCCCCCGATATACCGGTACACAACCGAGAAATCGCGGCCCTTACACCTCTCATCGGCAGCAGCATTGGCATACACCTCCGTCGCCTTATCAGCGAGCTCCAACTTGGCGCCGGCCTCCTTCGCCGCCACGACGGCCAACCCAAGATCCTTCTTCATCAAGGCGATTCCGAACCCGCCCGCATAGTCCCTGCCGGCGGGGGCCCCCTCGATGACGCCGGGGACGGGGTTGTTGATCTCGGAAGGCCAGCACTTGCCGGTGCTGACGTTGAGCACGCTGGCCAGGACGGCGGGGTCGAGGCCGCAGCGGACGCCGAGGTTCATGGCCTCGGCGGTAGCGAGGTTGTTGAGGGCGAGGAGGTAGTTGTTGGCCAGCTTGGCGGCGAGGCCGGCGCCCTGGTCGCCGCAGTGCAGGAGGCGGCGGCCCATGCGGAGGAGGGTCGGCTCGGCGCGCGGCACGAGGGCGGTTGGGGCGCCGAGCATGAAGGTGAGGGTGCCGGCCGTGGCGCCGACGACGCCGCCTGACATGGGCGCGTCGACGAAGGCGCCCTGCGAGGCCGAGGTCACGGAGGAGGCGACGGCGCGGGAGGTCTGCGGGTCGATGGTGGAGCAGTCGATGAAGAGGCGGTCTTTCTTCGGGGTGTTGGCGAGGGCGGAGAGGATGGTTTCGTAGACTGACTTTACGTGCTGCGGTTCGGGGAGGACGGTGATGATGGTGTCCTGGAGGAAGCGCGGGGCAAACGGTCAGCCACAACGTCTGGGACGCATGTAACAAGGAACGATTTGCAAAGCAGTCGCCGCGCATCGTCTTAAAGGATCTACACACGTGCAGAGTACGGAACGAGCAGATAGAGGCGACCCAGGGGGGAGGAGAACGTACCGCTTCACTTGATGCCTCGGCGGCACTGTCGGCTAGTGACACCTTCGCACCGCCGACTTGGGCGCCCTCCATCTCGGCTTTGAGATTTTGCACGGCATCCTTGTTGATGTCGTAGATGCTGATAGAATCGGTCGGAGGTAGCTTGGATTGCAAGTTGCGGGCCATTTGATAGCCCTGGCGAAGCATGTGTCAGTCCTATCGAACCACATGTCTCCCAAGGCCGAAAGTCTGGGATGTCTTACCATTTGGCCGAGACCGATGAATCCATACTTGTCAAGGCAGCGGGGAGAGGTTGCAAACCCCCTGCGTAAGGGAGTGCGCAGGGCTGTTCTCAGCCTGGCTGTACCGGCTCGCATTGCGAAGACTGGGAGGTTCGCGTTCGTGTTGGTGTGGTGTTGGTCTTCTCTATTTTGCCTTTCGCTTGGAGAGCACGATACGCCTTGGGAGTAAGATAGGAGTCAAAGTCTACAAAATAGAGAAAATGAGATCTTCTCGTCCAAACAAGAGACGCAAAGTGAATGTTTCGTACGGCAGTGAGGACATTCGTAGAAGAATGGACTGCGGGGTGAGGTTATCCGGAAAGCCGGCCATTGCCGGCGTTAGCCATTCCAGTGATGCCATCAGCCGGGGTTTCGGGGATCTCGATGGGAGTGTGGAGTGGTAGGGAGTACCAGGTACAGCACGGCAAGTTGGGGGCATGGTGGGGGACGGGGGAAGAAGCACAAGTGAAATCTGGGGTGTGGGGGGTGGGGGGTGCCCCTGGAGACTTTGGGGTTTGGCGGGTCAGGTGCACAATTAGCGGGTGGGATATACTGAAGCAGTCAGTGATTATTCCCGATAGCCAAAGCAGTTCTACATACGTGGTGGGTAAGGTATGTACCATATCGCGGGCACACCAAGTCTCACACTCAACCAACCCAACCCCTGAGACATGTAGCTACGATTCATGCAACGTATATACAGCAAGGCAAGTCGGTGGTTATATTCATTACTATAGGGAGTGTGCGTCTTTCCATACGGCAACTTCCTCTTTTCTAAAGGTAGCCCACCAGTGTGTTCCTCGAGTCCTCCGTTCAATTCGTGAAGGGGAGGTCGAGTTCTGTCGGTAGTCCGTCCGTCCGTATCTCTCATGTCTCTAGAAACAGCGATAGTGTTCCATTTTGTCCCTCCCAGTCATGAATATCGAGGATGAGGATGTAAGTGAAGTAAAGAAAACAAAATAACGATCGACCACTTAAACTGGACCTGCTATAGGGGGCAGGCCGAACTCCAATATGTACGGGCAAACAAGGGTTGGACGGGGGAGTATGGATGAGGTGGTGACGGCGATGGCGATGCGATGGGATGATAACGGCGATGGGGATGGAGATGGAGTTGGGGGGGTCAAGGGGGGTCAAGGGGGGTCAAGGGGGATCAAGGGTGGTCAAGGGAAGGGTAAGGAAAGGTAGTATTGGAGGTTCAAGTCGAAGGAAGGGGGTATGTATCAACGAAAGAAGGAAAATAACAAAAAAGACAACAAAAAAGACAATACGAAACCCGAATCTTCCACAATAAAAGCTCCGCGAAACCATACCGCCCTAATCCGTTGTATGAAGATTCGAGGGAAGAACGAATGGAAAGAGACCATCTTCTCTCACTCTTCACCGCAATCCATCCCTCTTGAGAAGAAGACAAGAGAAAACAAACAAACAAACAAACAAACAAACAAATAAAGAGGGGGACAAAAGATCCTCAAGCCGCCGTCTTACACCATTTGTGAGAAGGAACCCAACAGACACAGCAACGGTAAACACAAGGCAAGCATGTCAAAACGCCTTCAGCAATGGGGCATATTAAAAGGCCCCCATAAGGTAAGGAACTATAGCACTGTGAGAATGTTAGCAAAAAAGTCTTACGCCACCAAAAAGAGGAGGTAAAGAGACGAGATCATTGGGAGAAGGAAGAAGAATTTCGGCGACATACCCCACTGCCAGAGTCGCGCTGATGCCAAACAATGCCCGAGTCCGCATCCGCCGCTTCTTCAGTTCCACGTTGGGCTTGGCCCGCTTGCTGCGTGGTCCCTCCGCGTCGGCCTCCTCCTCCTCCTCGCCCTCTTCGCCAGCCGTGATCTCGTCGGCCTTCCGCTTGCCCTTGGCACCCTCGTCGTCGTCGCCCTCGCTCGATTCGGCATTGACGGCGGCTTCGGCTTCGGCCGCCGCGGCTTCCACCATCTTCTTGGCTTCGGCGATCATCCGCGCCGTCTCTTCGGCACTCGGCGGCTCGGCGGTGGATAGCGGGAGTTCAAGCGTCACTGCTGCGACCTTGGTCTCGGAGACCCGGCCCTCCTCATCCACTTTGACTTCCTCGTCCATCTCGACCTCCACTTTTTGCTCTTCTTCCTTCTTCTCTCCCTGTTCTCCCTCTGTCGGCTCCGCCGCAGGCGCGGCCTCCACCTCCATCGTCTGGACGACTGCTGTCTCCGCTTCCGCCGCCGCCTCGGCCGACTTGTCTTCCTCAATGACGCCGTTCGTCTTCGTCTTCGTCTCGGCCTTGGCCGCTGCGGCGGCTTTCGCAGCCGCTTCCGGCTCATCCGCCTTATCCTCTGCCGACTCCGACTTGACCCTGCGTTTGCGGGGCGTCTTCACTGGCCGAGGCGCTGCCATCTTGGTGGGGCTCGCCGACCGTCGCGTCCGCATCGTCCGCGGTAGCGAGGTCGGGGTCGGGGGCGCCAGCTGAGGCTGGTTCTTGTGCAGATCGAACCGGGGAGGCGGTTGGATCTTCTTGGCCGGGCTATCGGACTGGCTCGAGACTTGGATGGCAGCGGGGTCCAGCAGCGCCTGGATCCAGGGGAGGACGTTGTACTCCTCCGCCAGGATCAGGGCGTACTCGGGCGGAACCCAGATGTTGCCGGCCGTCTCCTCCGGGCTGGTGGACGGCAGCGACTTGATGTATTTGCGCTCCACATCTTCCTCGGCGGCCTCGGCGTAAGGGAAAGTAGCCTTGAACATGCCGGTGGCCGAAACGTAGCCGTCGTGGCTTCGGCGCATGAGGAAGTAGCTGTTAGGGCTCGACTTGAAGATGCCGGAAACAATACCCTTCGGCAGAGGTGCGCGGAGATGAGCGTAGTCGAAGACGCCGAAGGAGCCCGATTCGTCCTCGGGTTGGCTGACCATCTTGGCGGTCAGTTGGGTCTGGCCCAGCCGGCGGCGCGCGACTAGTTCGCCATCTGTTCAAGGTGTGAGCTAACTCTTCGTGATGGGACGGAGGGGGCCTATTGAAAAGAGATGGTAAAGTGGCCGCGAGAGCTGGCTGGCATGTACGTACATGGCGGGATGTCCTCGATCATAAGCGGGTTATGTTTCGAGGGCAAAGGCCGCCGCTCGATCGAAGGACGGACGGAGACCGGAGCGGGCATGTTGATGCAAGTCGCGCGGTCGCTAGAAGGAAGGTGAAGAGGGCGTAGATGAAATTCGGATGGGAAAGATGTAACTACGCGATTCGTAGGTCGTTGGAAACGGTATATGGTGCGCGGAATCTCACGTAGCAACGAGGGAAGAGCGCGCCGTTCGATAGAAAGCCCCGTTTGCTCAACTCAGGTCGCGTCGTTCTAATATGTCTGAAGGCTATGTTAGTATTTTTTTCGGCAAGGGACAAAAGTTGGGTCGCGATTTTTGTCAGGGATGCGAGGACTCGGATCCATCACGACTGCCAGATTGGGCGCGAACCGAGATGGGCCAGGTGTCGCTTACCACGCGTCGCAAAGATTCCTTAAGAAGAAGAAAAAAGGAATTACCCCATACAATAAGGTAAAGGATGGTGGGGGCTAAGGAGGAAAACAAAAGAAAAAAAGGTAAAAATTAGAATTTGATTGTATTGCCTGAAAGGCTGAACCGTCTGGAGAATAAGGGAAGACGGGGGAGATGGGTGGAACAAAAAAAAAAGTAGGGATGCGAGGCGCAAATTGGCCAGCAACTCTTCTGACCCCAGACCAGGACGGGAAGGGAAGGGGGGAGATGAAGGTAGCAACCATAGTGCGGAGCGGGTGGTCCCTCGGTCCCCTCGAAAATGCTCTTCGTGACCTCTCATTGCGGTTGGTCCACTTCAAAAAATGGGTAAAATATCCACTTCTTTATTGCTTTACGCTGTAATTGACCACTGTTTGTCCAAACGCGGACGGGATTACCTATTAAGACGGGACTTACTTTAACGCGGTAGGTCTTAACAAATAGAAGTCTTCTCATAACGCCTGTATTTCCACCCAATGGGAATTGGCCCCAGGTACCCCGTACGGGTTTTGGTAAATCCGTACAAGGTTTGATTCGTCGCCCTCCCGGCGCCTTGTTCCGCTTTTCCTCCTCCATCAGGACGGTCAATCCCTTTTCGTCTTTCAGGATTCTTCATAGGTAATTTCTTCGCACATTCATCCGCCCTCCACGCCTCCAAAATCCAGTGACGGGAGTCAGGTGCGGGTACACAGCGTGGCGAACATGGATCAGCCACAATCCATCCCATCCTGACCTCGTTTATACACGTGTAGTACTCTTCAGGAGGTGGCTCACATTGGACTTGGCCCTAATAACTGATAGAGCGACTACGGAGTACTTATGGCCTGCTACTATGGTCGATTCACTTCTGGCCCAGATCCAAAGGCCATAGCTGTACGGAGTCGTTGAAACACGATACTTTGGACACTCTTTTCGGATAGCACAGGCCTGTTTTTTGGTGCATTAAAGAAAGGGGGAAACAGTTGCTGGATTATACGATATAGTACGAAGTACGTTACGTGCTCGTGGGCAAAGGTTGATGATTCTTCGCTACCCGCATGGTTTGTCATCTTCCGAGAACATACAACTTTAGTTTCCTGTCTGACAGTTTATGAGCGTTTCCATTTCGTCCTGAGAGACCTTTTCTTAAGAGAAGGGTTCATGAAGATGGTGATGTGTTCTTCTGGTCAAGGTCTAACCCTTCGAGTGTCTCTGATCTCCATTCTTACCTAATGGCCGCACCTCATCACTTTTATGGAGTAAGTGGAGAGACAGATCCACTACAACGAACACCACACCACACCCGCCAACTATCACATTCTATCACGTGAGCGACAGTATAGTGCTCTTCTATTGGTTGGAGGTGCCCCACTATCCTCGCTTAGAAGGTGGCAGATGTATTTAGGACACGTATACCCGCCCCCTTTTTCTTTCTCTTTTATATATAAGAAAATCAAATATTTCCTAAATCAACGCTCCCTATAAGCACGCTCCCGTTAATTTAATAGTTATAAGCCCGGGTAGTAGTAGTAACTAGTAACTTCCTGCTAATCTATTATCTACGTTTATTTTTATATACTTCTGTAGTATTATAGAGCCCTCCTACACTCTCTCTCCTAATAATAAGCTCTTATTCGCTAAACCCTTACTCGACACTATATGAATAAGCTCGAGATTACTGCTAAAGCGCTCGGTATCCCGCGCCTTAAATCCACGCAGTAATAGGCCGATTAGATCTTCTATATCTAGTCGCACATGTAGGGGATAAAGGTTTAGGTACTACTCGATCCTAGCTAAAAGGATTAGCTAGATAACCGTCCTAGGTATATTATACCTAAATCCCTGGATTAACTACGCGAATAGTATTCCTAAGGCGAGGGCGATAATACTATCATGCCCTTAACGTAGGAGCTTATACGCCTCGCCGAAATCGAGAATTAGCAGACTATAGCCTAGAATCAAAAGCTCGGTCGCCTTATTAAGGCGCTCGATAAGGCTAATTAACTACTTAAAACCACTATAAAGACCTTTGCTTATTAATAGGCTATCGAAAAAGCTATTAAAAAATATCCTGGCTACGATAAGGAAAAATAAAATAGACACTTTACGTTACGCCACGTAATAAAAGAACTTAAGAGTAGCTTCGCTCTAAGCAGTATTCACACGAAGGAAAAGGTAAGACGAGTATACGAAAAGTATCTATAAGACGCTCGTCGAGCTAATACTAAAGTGGCTATATAGTATACGGAGTAGAATACCCTTATTAGACGCGTATATTAGTAAAAGGTAGCCGAGATTAAAGGATCCACTATTATTCGGAACTTCCTTATAGTAGTTAGACAGAAGTTTACGCCTATTTAGGCAGAAACTAAGCTTTAGAAGCTAGTAATAAAAAAGGTCCGCGGCGACGAGATTTCCGATCTTCTAATATACGGCCGCGAGTTTAACGCTATTATAAGCGCTTTAACTATAGACGGCACGCGCTACGGCGTTTACGCGACCCTAAAAGACCGCTTAGATAATAACGAAGGCGGAAAGAAGCCTAAGAAGAAGAGCACTAATTACCCCTATCGACGCGAACAGACTTAAAAGCCAGAGCACTATAATAAGCTAGAGTATACTTTAACCGGAAAATACGAGCAGAGATCTAATACCTACGTTAACGATAAGTAGTATAAGGAGATACGGAAGGAGATTAAGCTCCTAAAGTAGAAGAGCTTACGCGAAAAACTATCGAAAAAGGGATAGGAAAGCTCGGAGAGCGGTAGTAGTAAGGGTAAAGATAAGTATCCTAGGAAGGTTATTATAACTATCCTGGATCCCGCCCTTATCTACACTACAGAAAAGGTCCCTAGGATTTATACCGCGCTCCGACTAAGCCCTTACCCGCTCTTATAGAGTATTCTTCTTAATAATTACGGCATAACTCACCTTAATAACTTAATCGACCTGCTTATTCCAGGTTCCTTCGTTCCTATAAAGGGATCTATCGAATCCGGTATAACCGATTTTCCGATTATTCGCAAAGGTAAACGGCTTCTTAAGGGAATCCTTAATAAACCTCTAGGTACTCCGAAAGCTAACTTAGAGCTTAACGATATAGTCATTATAGAGGGATTTCACACGAATATTATATCGGAAGCTCTGTTATATAAGGTTAGGATCTAGTATTCGGGTTATAACTGCTCGTTACGCTTTAGAACGGCGGAGAAAAGTATAGTCTTATTAAAGCTGCTTTGACGCTTTAATATAACTATCCTTTAGTATAAGCCAATTTTATCTTCTTCTTCTTATTCGTTATTCTAACCGATACTATATAGTGTTATTCCGATTAACTATAACTATTAGTATATACTTATTATAATAGTCGATCGACTAACTAAAGCTTACCGATATTACCGATCTTCCCGCGACCCTCCTTATCTATAAGTCGACGAAGAATATCTATAGTATTTAAGAGTAGGCTATCTTAGACTAAGCGCTCTACGAGTATTAGTTCGTAACGCTAGGAATATATTAATTAAGGGAACTAAGCGGATAGACTATAAGATATACTCTAGAACCTAGGCATGTTAAGTTATATCTCGATACACGTTAGAACACCGCTCCCTATAACCGTTTTAGCGTATTTATTAGGATCTTTAAAAGCTACCTAAGAGCTATAATAGTATACGATATCTTCTTATAATAAAGGACGAATACAGCGGCTAGATCTATATACTGTCTTTAGCTTCGAAAAACAGCGTTACGATTTATAACGCGCTATAAGCCTTCGAACGATAGGTTAGTCGGCAGTTTATATTATATATCTATAAGATATGTAGTAATAATAAGCCCTTAATCGTTAATCTAGTAGGGGATTTAATAACCTAGCTATAGGCGAGCAGTTAAGGGATCGATATAGAAATTATACCGCCCTATACTTATAAACCGAATAGAGATAGCGAAAGAGCCTGTTAACTAATTATTATAAAGTCTAATACTATACTTAACGGAGCAGGAATTCCCCTAGATAAATAGCTAGAGAGCACTAGAACGGCAGCGTTATTATATAATATAAGTCTCTTATAACGATACGGATAAAAATTCTTAGTAGACATCCTCGACTTATAGTTTAGAAAGAATATGTTGATTCTAATAAGAGAGTATATAGCCGACCTACGCCCTAATTAGAGTAGTATTTATGCCTATAGCTACCGCGCCTATCTAATAGCGAGGGATAGGGAGGCTAAGAGGAATAGGAAACTATATAAGATTTAACTAAGGGGATATATTAGGTATCTTATAGGTTATATTACCTATAATATTTATCGAGTATAGATTCTATAGCTTTAGAAGGTTATTATAACGCGTAATATACAGTTTAATAAGCAGCTATTTTATAAACTATGGCTCGAAGAAGTAGAATAGATCCCGGAGCCCGAGGCGAGGAATTAGCTTATAACTTACGAAATATAAGAAGATAAAGATAACGACTTTATCCTATAGGCTTACCCTCCGCGTGGATTAATTAATAGCGTACCTTCTAGAGAATAAGTATAGTCCACGGGTTTAAACTTAGGGGTAGGAGTAGTAAAGGCTAAATTATACGCTTCGTCGCCACTACTAGATACACCTAATATACCCGAACCGCCCGTAATAGGACTTTAAACTCTACACATAACACCTAATTCTTAGAGCAGAAATCTTTAGGTTATAAGCGTAGAGTCGTAGTCTTCGGAGGAACTCTTAATGAATAATTCTTCCGACTAATAAGATAACGGAGCGGCCACCTAAGAAAACACCGTAACCGACACGCTAGAATTATATATACTAGAGCTTAATACGGACACTTTAACGATTTTAACTATAGAAAGGAGTATATAGGCGACGGTATAAGGACTAGCTACCCCTAATCCGCACCACGGTATTAGTCACACTATAGTATCCGGATCCAGACCACCTATCTAACCGACTCCTAAGGTGACCGCCTATTAAAGGAAAAAGAGTATACTAGTAAAGGAAGTAACGAGCGCTAGCGTAAGAATCACCGATCGCCGTGCTTAAGGAAAGACTATTCGGATTAATCTACGGATATATTAGGCAGAGCCAGATATACCTTTAACTTATGCCTTTTTCTTATCTAATTAATAAGAAGAGCGCTAGGACGGGCTAGAAGGGCTTCTAACCTTTAATTTAATAATCCTCGGAGTAGCCGATACTAAAATAAATACCCGTTCGAATACTAAAAAAGAGGCTATAACGTTATCGAAGCCCTTAATCGATAGCAGGGTTTATCGCGACCACCTAAAGGCTATACTAAGGTATTAGCGGGAGCTTACTAACTACCCGATATATGAACGGTTTAAAGAAGCCGCGTAGAAAGAGGTAAATAAGCTAATTAAGAAGCCTATATAAATGGAAATTAAGCGCTTAAAGGCGAAGTTAAAGCCTTTTCCGTTAAAGTGGGTTTTTACTTATAAGTTTAACTAAGACGGATATCTCGAACGATATAAGGCACGCTTATATATTTAAGGGGACCTATAGGAGAGCTTAATGATTAAGGGAACCTACGTAGTAACGCTCGCTACACGATCTTTTCATATTATTATAGCCCTAGCTACTTAGTTTAATCTAGAGATTAAGTAACTTAATATAGTTAACGCCTTCGTTAACGCCTAAAGGAGTAAAACAGGAACGCCCGTTATATAAGAACTTCCTGATAGATTTAAGTAGCCCGATAAGTGCTTAAAACTCGATAAAGCATTATATAGACTACGTAACTCGCCTAGACTATAGTTCTAGACCTTCGCGGCCACCCTAATAGACTTAGGGATAAAGGTAAGTAAGGAAAAACTATATCTATTCTACACTAAGGCTTAAGACGTATTCGTTATCTTCTTTATAGACGATATTCTCGTGGTCTTTCACAGAGATAGTGCTATAAACGGCCTTAGGATTATCGAAGGGATTAAAATAAGGTTTAAGGTATCGGAAGAGGGGGAAGCCAAGCAGTTTTTAGGCATTAAGATTACTCGAGATCGCCCTCGACGTAAGGTTTTCCTCTCCCACGACTTATATATCGAAAAGATCGTAGCCAGGTTTAAATTAGACGCTCTAAACACCTACCTAGTAATCCCTATTCCTATAATAGAATACCGGAAAAAAGAAGATAAAGCCACCACTTAAGAGATTAAATCTTATTAAGAAAAGATCGGATTAGTGCTTTATATAGCAGTTATAATACGTCCTAATATAGTATTCACCGCCTTTATCCTCTCCCGCTTTCTTAGAAACCCCTCTCCCGAGTATTATAAGGCGGTAGACTAAACTATCCGCTACTTATTTATAATAAGGGACCTCTCGATTTAGTACGGATTAAGTATTAGTTTATAGACGATAGTTATCGTAAGCGACGCTTTTTTTATAGACGATTTAGATACACGAAGATCTTTATAGGGTTACCTTATTAGCCTATTTAGTGGATTAGTTATATAGAAAGTAATAAAGTAAATAACGGTAATAACGTCTATAACCGAAGCAGAGCTGCTCGCTTTAGAGTAAGTGGCGAAAGAAATAATAGGTTTAAAGCGTCTTTTCGTCGAAATACGCTTTAATCCAGAATCTCCTTAGGATATCCACTACGATAACACGTAAACGATACGCCTAATAGTCGACGATAGCTTTAGGATTAAAACTAGGCTTTGCTATATAGATATATAGCGCTTTTAGGTAAGGTAGGAGAACGTAAAAGGATTATTCAGAGTCGTATATCTTACTACGAATTTAATACTAGCGGACGGATTAATAAAAGCACTTCCACGATAAAAATTCGAGATCTTCCGAGTATATCTTAATATAATCAGTGTATAGAGGGGGTGGAAAGAAGTAGTTAAGGTCGAAAATCCTACGTCCTAGGCGCACCGTATACTAGCGGTATGATTAATTTAGTAAAAAAGGTATCTCGTTATTATAATACAAAAATACTATACTAAAACCTAAAAGCAAAACCTAAAATATAAAAAGGAGTATACCAGATAATTCACTAAGCTCTATTAATACTATCCTAAACACCGTCCTGCGTAATATTTACGATATTTCCTCTAGCCGGAGGAGTAATAATAAAACCGTTTTTCCGTAAAATATCTATTATAACCCCTGTAAGCTTGGAGGTAAAGGTAGTAGTCGGCGTACTAGGACCTTAGTTAGAAGCTCCCTTAAGCTCCGCCTCCTTAAAGAACTTCTCGTTTTCTTCGTCCTCTATTAACTTAATTATAAACTTCACCGTTTACTTGAGTTTAGTAAAGAACTACGCAAATTAGTTAGTCAGAGTATTTAAGTCTAGAGATAAAGCGTTAAACGTACCTTCTTATCGTTATCGTTAGAGTCCTTATCAATCTTACGGACTATAATACAGTTAAAAAGAATTTTAACTAAAAAGATAAGACCAGAAAAACTATAAGCATAGGTTAGCGGTCGTAAAGCTTAATAGCGTATATATCTTCGAGCTAGTACGAAATAGAGCACACGATCATGATCGTAAAGCGCCTTAGATAGGGGGTAAGAACTTATAGAGGGTAGTATATATAGTTTCTATCCTTACACTTTTAGTAGCGATAGGAGCGCCCAGGAACCGAAATATAGCAGTTAAACGAGCGCTATTTACCAGAATAAATACCCTTTACGCACTCTAGGTAGGGAGGGTTGAACGGCACCGGTATAAAAGCATCGGCGGTATCCTTATTATTATTATTTCTACTACCCTTAGCAGTCTTTTAAGGAGTTAGCCTAGAATAGAGCAGAGATATCGTAGACTAACGCGCCGGAATAACTTATAGAAGCACCCTTCTTAGTGCCGTCCTTACCCTTATTCTTTTTCATACTATTAGCCGAAGCCTTCTTAGCGGCGGCGGCACGGGTAATGGCGGATAGAGTAGAAGGGGCCTAAATGACGCTACCAGTTAGCACGCACACTAAAAATAAAGCTCCGATACTTACTATATTGCTATTATTATTATTTTTATTACTGTTAATAGAAAATTCGGAAAATTTGGTTTAAATCTTTTGATATTAATATTATTACTAATAATATCTTTAATATCTTTCGAGTATATCCTTCGTACTCGAACAAAGGATATCTTCCCCGCAAGCCTAGACCATTCTCTTTCGAGTCAGTTCATCTGTTACGAGACAGACAAAGGATACAATGGATTACGATATTACTACGATATCGATATATATTACGATACTATGACGATATCGATCCTTTACAAAGAACAAAGGATATCAACCCGTTCCCTCGGTTCGGTTCTTCCTTTCTTTGTTCTTTATTCTTAATCCTTGATCCTTTATTTTAATCCCTTTTTCGATCCGAAGAAGAGACAATATGCGCGCAGAGATCCTACCTTACAATCCCATTATTACCTTCTTATTTTTCCACTGCTTTTCGTGACTTTCGTCCCTTCCGTTTATCCGATATCGTCAGATATCTTCAAAAAAATCGTTAAATCCTCGAAAAACAACGGAATAAAGGGTTATAAGAGGGAGGATCCAAAAGCTCCAAAACGCCGGCATAACGCCTTTGATTTATCTACGGAAGGCCCTACTATCACCTATTTACTATTACTATTAATAGCACTTTTCCTTTATTATTTACTACTATTATTATTACTTTTATTATTATATAGCTTTTGTTCCTGCCTTTTAACTCGATATTAAGGGTATCATATAACCCTTTAAGGCTATTTTAAGGTTAAAAACAAGGCTAGGTTAAGGTCAGGCTAAGTAATCGTTCCGCTAATCACGGCGTAATAATTAGGGGGTGTGTTATATTCTATCACGTGAGCCATAGTATAGTGCTCTTCTATTAGTTAGAGGTGCCCCACTATCCTCGCTTAGAAGGTGGTAGATATATTTAGGACACGTACACCCGCCCCCTTTTTGTTTCTCTTTAGTAGACAATACAATCATACATTTCCTGAATCAACGCTCCCTGCAAGCACGCTCCCGTCAATTCAACACCAACTATATAGGTAATTAATTACACCGTAAGCCAAAAGAGCTCTCTCGTTTAAGAGGTTCCCCGTTATAAACAAGTCGCCGCCAGAACCCAACGGTCGGTCCATTCTCAGCGTCTAAGGTACCTAGTTCGTGCTTATCGATTGCCTGCACTCTGGTTGTCCAGGCAAATCTGGGTCCTGCAGCTTGAAAGATAAAATGGAAATATATGGAAACGTCGGTTCATGATCAAACAACCAATGAAACCCTTCGACCGCCAGCGCAAATACCAGGCATGCCCAACTCGGATCGCAGGGCTTTGAAGCTAGACCCCGGGTCGCCCCTCTTCATGCGGACTGAAAATGAGGAACAGACCACCTCTTGGACTCTAGGCCTTTGCGGCCTCAGGGGGGGACCTTCTGATTTGGCGGTGGAGGGTGCCGAGGGGCAGGAGGGGTCGCATCGTGTCCGTACGTTGTACGTTGTACCTTAGGTATTTATGGCACCGCACTTTTTAAGGGGGATGAGGGGCAGGTCCGACTCTCCGACTTCTTGTCTTCCAAGCTCAACTCCGACGTCGAAGTACCTACCTACCTTACCTTACCTTACCTTACCTACCTTATACCTTACCTACATCACATCCCGTCCCTTTCCCCTAACTTGGGCTAGACTGGGTAAACCGTTTACTTCACACCGAAAGCCAGCTTGACATCCATCGTCAACTCCTCTTTTGCACCCTTACCTTACTCACCACCGGATAGTACCTGTTCCCCAACCTCGCCTCATCCACACCGACACACCGCGTTTTCCTGTATCCAAGCGGAACACCTCGAGAACAACCCCCTACCGTAACCATGGCCTCCCACGACGATGATACCATGCCCCCGGAGACTCAGGGCTACAAGCTCTCCCAGCCTAAGCAAAGTCTAGCCGAGTACCAACAAATGGGTGAGTGCAGTGAGAGCTCTGACCTTTGGTCTCTCATCCCAACTGTCATGGTTCACCACTCACCGAGCTCTACAATGAGGCAACTGCCCACCCCTTCCCTCTATCTTCTGTTTTTCTCATTGCCAGTTTGTGCGCCTTTCACTTTGTTAATTCCTCATGTTCATACCTTGCTGCCTGTTTACTCACCTTCTTGCTACACCTTGCTGTTTATCTTCCTCCTAATTCCTAAACGCAATGCCTCTATCACTGGGCTCCTTGTTACCATCTCTTTTGGGTTCGTCCGCCCACACCAAGAACCATCTCATACACATTGTACACATTGTTCCTAGCACCAGCACCTAGGTACACGCATGAGCCTCAGACCCTACATTATGGATCGTCCCCCTACCCCATGGATTCCGTTGCCTAACAGATATGAACGCTATTATTATACAGATGCCGGAGATGACTCTCTGCAGCGTTACAAAGAGTCTCTGGGCCTCGGCGGTGGCAAAGATCTTTCCGATCCCAACGATCCTCGCGTCTGCATCATCGACTCGTTGACCATGGAGTCTCCTGGCCGTGATCCCGTCACTATCGACCTCTCGGAGCCCGGCTCGGAGGCGACCCTCAAGGACAAGCCTTTCAAGATCAAGGAGGGTGCCAAGTTCACCATGGTCGCCAAATTCAGGGTTCAGCACGAGATTCTCAGCGGTCTTCAGTATGTCCAGGTCGTCAAGCGGAAGGGCATCCGTGTCTCCAAGGATTCCGAAATGCTGGTGAGTACCCTTTTTTCTGTTCTTTCTGCCTTTTGTCTGCGTGAAGTCCCCAATGTATTGACTTCCGTTTCCAGGGAAGCTTTGCCCCCAACACCGAAAAGACCCCCTTCTACACGAAGCACTGTAAGTTTCTTCCCTGGGGAGCCATTGTTCGCGAGTAGATCCCTCCCCCAGAGGGCCGTAAATAGTTCAACGGCGAGCCTGCATCCCTGCCTCCCCGGCCTCCCGTCGCTAATACTATTCTCCTTATCACAGTCCAGGAAGAGGATGCGCCGTCGGGCATGCTGGCCCGTGGCCACTACAATGCTGTCTCCAGCTTCGTCGACGACGACAAGAAGACCCATCTGTCTTTCGAGTGGTCCTTTGATATTGCCAAAGACTGGTAATCCTGTTCACGCGTGGAGCCGACTCGAGTCGGGATCCTTAGATGCCTCTTCCTGCTCGTGCATGGCCCAGAACAGCTTGGTCCTCGCCCGGTTGAACAGCCGGGAGAAGGACAGCAACTTCATAGGGCAGCGCAAAGGGGCTGGCTGAGGTGGGCACGGTATGGGTGAGGGCCAGTTGAACTTGGGCCCTCGCGGATCAAGGAACTTTTGTGCGGACTTGACACGGTAGAAGACGACTGTTCGTTCTTGTACAAGTCAGGCGGGTCACCTAGCCATTCATATCCTAAGGGTATGCGGACATATATCAATCTATTCCTGCGCGTGAAGCGGATCAACCTATCAATTATCAAACAACCACAATTTAACCCAGACAATCCCGTTGTCGGACTAACCCAGGATGGGCACTCCGGATCCACTGTGTCGTCGACCAGCTTGTCTCTCTGATATATGGGCATGAAATAAATGCATTTGAATTTCGTGCCGCAATTATGTTCATTGAAATACTATACCAACAGGAACCACGAGGACTAAGATGACCTCTCATGGGCTCATTCAGAGAGCAACCTACCCCTCGGCTCGTCGTGTTTTGGGTTGTGTTCTGCTGCATGCCGGAACCTTCATATCCGTTCATTTTGACATCAACAAACCAGCTGTGACTATTGCTGGGGGTGTCGTCATAGTTGGTATCTCCGAATAAAGTCCCGTCCGACTTGATCCCGAGACGCCTTACACTTTAGCGTCGCTTCTGTTCCATCGAGCTTCGAGAGTTTGCATGGGGGGGGGGAGGGGGGGCAGCCCTTCTTTTTCCCCCACTGTTCCCGTAACTGGATCCAAAAATCCCCGAGCAGCCGATCACAGGAAATAATCGGGCAACGCGTTCCCATCGGCCGTCTTATCCATGCCGGACGGCTGCAAGTCCTTGACTTGGTCGTTTTCGGGAGCGGCGGCGAAGACGTTGAAAAAGCGCTCTCCCATGTCGCTCACCTCGAGCACACTGGCCATGTTGCCGCAACGGTAGCAGTAATTCGGGGCGCTCCAGACGGTACTGAGCCGGTCGTCGTAGAGGACCTGGTAGCCTTCCTGGCAGAGCTGGTGCGCTCGTAGGATGTGGTTCATGTTGTTGACGGCCAGGAACTTTTTCACCACCTGCGCGCCGAACGTGTAGCCTGCGCCTCGCGGGGACAGGGAGAATTCGTCGCGATCCGGGTCCGGGTCGGACCAGACTAGGTCGGCCATGGGGCCTTCGTGAGGGATCTCGCGGAATCTGTCGATGACGACGATTTGGTCAATGGAATGGATGGACGGGGAAAGGCCTGGATCCCAGAAAGAAAGGGAAAATGTCAGTCACGGAGGATAGCTTAGCAGAACGGTAACCATATGAATAGATTCGCACCTCCGTGGACGCAGAAGATTTCATTGTTGATGACCACGCTCAGTGTGAGATAATCGAACATGTCGGTAAAATGGTGCCAGACGCTGGGATTTCCGTATTTCCTTGAGCACTCGGTATAGAAACCATAAGACTGAGTGACTCCGCGGGACTCGTGGTTGCCTCGTATGAGATGAACACGGTCTGGGTATCGTAACTTTAAGCAAACAAGAAGAGATATGGTCTCGACGCTAAACATCCCGCGGTCGACGTAGTCACCTATATAAACAAGAGGTACCTTAGTGTTAGCATTGGGTTGGTTCATTATGCCGTTTCGAGGACGGGCTACGCGACCGAGAGAACAGAGAAACGAACGGATTGCGCACCTAGAAAAAGGTAGTTGGTGTCGGGACACCAGCCGCCTATCTTGAAGATCTCGATCAAGTCGTAGAATTGGCCGTGAATATCACCGACAACAGTGACCGGGGCTCGGACATGAACAACATTGCTCTCCCGCATAAGGAGTTCCTTCGTTTTGGCGCAGATAGCAGCAATCACTGGCTCGGCAAGAAGCTCCTTCTTGTACAGGCGCGAGATGCACTCGTCCAGATCAATCGTTGCTGCAATAGAGAAAGGAGCAGTGTCAGCTTCCAGTCTCACCGGTCGCTAGTTTTGGATGGGAAATCTGCCAGCCGGCTTTTTTTGTTGGCCGAAACTGACTCCGGCCTCTGTGTGCCAACTAGGAGGTATGGAAGCCGAGGCCCGGATATTAATGCGGAGAGCACGAACCTGGGAGGCTCGGCATCTTTTGAGGTATGCCGGAGTATCCAGCTGTCGCAAATATAGTTCTCGGGATATCGATAACGTCGTCTCGAGTCGAAGGATCAGGTACCGCTCGCGAGGTTGGCCTGATTCGGTCCGGATGGCTGCTTTGGGCGGCGCAGTCGAAATTTGGAGGGGAAGCTTGGTTGACGCTGCATCAGCATGATCGGAGTAGAGAGAGGCTGCCGGTGTTTACATGAGGTGGAGTAGTAGCTGGCTTTCGGGATGCGGTCGGGAAAGGAGCCTCGCTATAGAATGGTAGCAAGACGTAGCCTAAAGAGTGGACGCAGAGCAATAATCTGGCGAGTTGGAAGAAGAGAATCAATAGTCGGTTGGGGGGATTCTTCGACCAGGCAGCGTGGGGAGGTTCATGGCAATGCCAGAGGCGGCTGACGTGACAGAGCCGCAGCCCACCAGGTGCCAAGTGGTGGCACCGGAACTGTCAGTTGGCGGGTTCCTGCATTACGTCAACCTGGTAATTATTAATTACAGAGTTACTGAATTTATTTCACAGCCCATTCGACGGTCGTGGCCCGAGCTTTCCCAAACCACCCTTACGAGATTCCAGGAGTGGGGGGAGGGGGGGAGGAAAGAAATAAAAGGCAGTCACTGCCCCCAAATTCTCATCCTACCTTACTCAAGAACGTCGTCTTTTCTCCTTCAAACCAATCGTTCTGTTCTCCCTAAGCCGCATCAAGTCTCCCCCACCATCTACGCCAATTGTCCCCCGAAATTCCCTGCCTGGTTTTCCGCCGCTTCCAAGCGCTTTAACGTCGCCCTTTCGAACTTGCTGGACCCCCAAACTGGGCTTATCTCCTTGTCCTTCCTTTTACCCGTCAATGAAGTGCGATTTCTGGGAATATGACCAGAAGTCATCAACCTGGTCGCGTCGTCCTGGTCAAAATCAGACTCTGGTCTGAATAGTATTATCCGTTCATATGCTCCCTACGTTGTTTTTATCCGCCCGGCTTGCTCCGGATATTTTACTTCCCTTCCTTTCTCTGAAGATTGCATTCATAGTACGATGTTGTTCTTGGATTTTCTGTTCTCCAGCACCTTCTAGAGCCCTTCTGGGACTCTTCTTGAGTGGCATGATGTCTTGCTCTCCGCACCAGGACGGCCTTGTTGAGCTTGACTCTCACTGCCTACCAGCCAGCATCCCTTGCCACTTTTCCTCCCTTTGCATCTGTGTAGCCTGCACGCTGCCGGACAAGCATCTCTCATCTCTGTCGGGCATGTCATGTAACGCTTCAGTCTCCGTGGCCAGAGGGAGGACCCGGTCAGTGCATAGTTACATCCACTGGCGTTGTCAGAGACATTACACCATAGCTCTTCGCAACAGTCTGATCTGAGCTGTGTATCATTACGGTTAGACCACATCCATATTCACAAAGTGCAATTTTCATGCCTCAATGTGATGCCCATTTCGATCGATATTCGATATCCCATGTCGTCCTCATCCTCCACGTGACGTGGTCGTTCTTGGCAAGGCTACGTGCTTGTTCTGTCGTCCAACCAATTGGTTTGACCAGCCCCATCTCGCCTAAGTTTAGCCGGTGAGGCTGAGGCCCAGTAAAGTTACCTCGTGGGCCCGTGCGTCCTTTCCCACGATTACCTACGGCTTTCGTCGCGCGATTGCCCCGTTGGCCATCTAATCGTGCCTTTCCTTCTGGAGATGTTGTTACCATACTCTTCAAGCTTCTCTAGCTACGCGCCAGCATTCACACGGGTCTTAATTCTTTACACTTTCCTTTATCTCCCTTATGCTCTGCAATACTTAATAATACCTCTAGTCGGAAAGTGGTCCACGATAATGCACTCCTGTCGCCCAGCCTATGCGTCCTCTCACGCCTCTCAGCTTTGATACTAGTCATTCACCTGGCGCGCGTGCCAGCTATATTCAGCTTTCCATTATCGGATCAATATCATTCTCATAAGGTATTCACGGTCTTGATCGTATTCTCCGCAAGTTCGGCTTGTCTTTTCAAGCAAAGGCCTTGCCCATCCAGCCATTCGGGTTAGTCTCATTCCTATTCATTACGCTTCTATCTCAGTATCCCATACTGCGCATCATTCCTTTATTATTATTATTATGATCATCATTTTTGTTTCTTCTCTCATATCACATTTCAACCTGTTTCATTGATACGTATCTGGTTTCCTCATGTTCGTTCCCTTTCATTTGTTCTGACTACCCAAACACCCGCAGGCCGCCTTGTTTCCATGCCAAGCATCACAGCCGCCAAGTCTATCGAGACCATCGATCTCTATGGCCTTGCGGCTAGCCTTGCGAAGCCCCCTATCCCCTTTTGTCGTCTTGAAATAGTTCGTCTTGGGAACCCCAGTACGACATTCAAGTCGACTTACCGGCCGAAGCTCCCCATTCCTATACGCACTCACGGCCTGCGGTTCATCTGACCTCCCATCTCGGTCTCCCTCGTTATGAATGCCCAGGGCAATGCGTCGGGCCAGGGGCCGTCCAGAGAACCAACCTGCTTTAACTGTGGCGAGACTGGCCACTGGGCGATAGCATGTCCTGAGCCAATAAGAGAGGTCCCTGCGTACGTGCTCTGGCTTGCTTCAAGCGATGCTTATGCCTCTTGTTCCCTTTTGTTACTTGTGTAACTTCGAAAAAAAAAAATTATAACCGCCGTCTTAGAAGCTAACAGCATCTCAGTGGACTACATCGAAACAATGCCCAAGCACAACACCAGGACCGACGTCATTCAGGATCTAGAGGGCATCATCATGGAAGGCGCTCGGGAGAACCTCATGGCTCCGGTCGCATGATAGTGACACGATACGCCCCTCCACCTCCCCCACCACCACCCCCTCCGCCGCCCGGAGTGAGTGGGCCACTTGCTCCTCCGGCGTATTATACCGGGCCTCCAGTCCCCCACGGTCCTTATCCCCACACGGCCGCCCCTCCAGCGCCTTACGGACCTCCGGCTCATGATAACTTCTACCCCCCTGCAACACCTCACTATGGGGCCCCTCCTGGGCCACCGGTACACTCTGGTCCTCCTCATGGGCCTCCTCATGGGCCTCCTCATGGTCCTCCTCATGGGCCTCCTCATGGGCCTCCTCATGGACCGCCGGTACACTCTGGACCCCCTCCGCCCTACGGACAACCCGATCCATACCGACCTCCCCCTTCATATGTTCCACCGACATTCGAGCAACCTGGAGGGTATCAGGGGCCATTGTATCCACCGCACCCACCGCACCCACCGCACCCACCTCATCCTGGATACCCCCCCCCTCCCGCAACTAGTTATCCGCCCCATGCACCATCTAGGTCACCAGCGCCTGTGTTCTCCCATCATTCGCCGCCGGCGCCGCCTTCCCTCCGTCCCCGTCCTTCTCATACTCTTCCTCCTCCTCCGCCGACTGGGCATTCTTTTTCGGCGACAAACCCGAAAAGACGTAGTCATTCACAGCCAGGGCCCAGCCGTCCATCTCATCTTCCAGCGCCTCCGAGCGCAGGCCTCCCGCCGCGACCTCCTGTGCCTCTCCCCAGTCCGACGAATATGAATTTCCCCAAGCATCAGGGGCCTCGAGACAAGCACGGCCGTAACAAGAACAGGAAGAACTCCCACGGGAACGAACGGAAGGATAAAAATGTCCATAAGACTAACGATCATCGCCATGGGAAGATTGTACCGCGCAAACCGGAAAAAGAGATGGAAACCCCAGAAACAAGTAAGCCAGTCCCGGCATTGTCCCCTGGGGAATCTGTACGCGACAACAAGGACAACGGAGACGGTGAAGGCAACGGTAACGGTGATGGAGAGGACTGGGAATGGGAGTTTGACGCAGTATTCAAAGAGTCCACCACCCTACACAAGCATGATGAGATTGGCAAGGCCTTGCCGAGTCCCGCTGATTATCATGAAGATGTCATGCTTCCTCCTCCGTGGAATGCCAGCTGCATCGAGTCGGAGTTCGTCAACGCTGACAACATGGCCGAATTCAGCCGGCCTATCCGAGAGACACGTTTCTTTGAAGACATGCAGGATGATCCGGCTTTCTGGAAGGATGGGAAAAGACCGCCACCAGTGCCGCCGAAACGCAAGCACAAGACGCCGGCCGAGATTCTGGCTGGGCCTTTCCCAACCGCGGATGTAAGTGCCGGGCGTCCCTCGCGGAACAAACGCACGCGTGAGGAGTCCTCGCATGGTCATGGCGAAGATGACGGACGTCCCCAAAAGAGACGGCATTCATCGGATCGATACGAGCAGCCGAGACATCACCATGGGGGGCCTCGTGAGCGGGGGCAATATGGAGGATACCACCATAAGAGACATCCAACCGAACCTGGCCACTCTCGTCGAGCAAGCGGACACTTCTCAACCGAGGATGCGAAACACGACGGCTCCGACAGGCGGCCTTCGTACTCGAGTGATCCAGATCCAGCACGGACCTTGCTTGACTCCCTTGACCGCGAAGAAGGGCATCAGGCGGCACCCCGGCGGTACTACGAAGAGTCCCGCGGCGATTCGAGGTCGCCGCCTCCAGAAAGTCGTCCACCAAGCAGGCGAAGCTCGCGGCACTCCAGCCCGAATAGCCGACCTAGTTCACGGCAGTCTTGCGCGTCGTTTAGGACCAACGACAGCGATCTTTCGTCCGTGGAGGCGGCTATTCTCGGTAGACCGCATCGGCCGAAGGAAGAGCGGGAGAAGGATGGTACGAGGAGGGCGAAGCCCGCTAGGCCGAAGAAACGACCTGCTCCCAAGCTGAATGACATCTATAGGTGTGTATGGTTCTGCTCGCCAGTTTCCTCCTAGGCCTGATCTTGGTCTTGTCCCTTTTTCTTTTTCTTTTTCTTTTTTCGAGACGTTCACTGACGACAAGAACAGCCGCCGCTGGTAGAGTGCAGGTTCTCATTCTTCATTCGGGCCGCGGGGCGTTGCATTCGTGTCGTGCCATACAAGCATCTTCCGAAGAATCATGGGCCTTGGGATAAAAGAGACATTCTCGCAAAACAGAGCGATGATGGTTTGGCCCCTGTACGCATGCATACCTAATGATTATGAAATGGAGTTTGTGGGGTTCTGCTTTGGTAGACACCCGGGGGACTTGGCAAATGATGACCCAAGGGCTAGAGCATACGCGAATTCTATGTATGACTTGAAACATCGGGCTCGCTTTGGCTATCTACTTTACTTTACCGAGGCAGTTGAGGCGTGAATAGGCCTCAAGGGTAGCGAGGCTTGTGATGTGGCAATGGCCTTCGAATCGACTGGCCCTCTATGACATTGCTTTGCTGCTTCGGCTCCTCTCAGGTCAGTGGTCTCATGAATTCCTCTCATGACATGAAACACCAGTCAGATGCGCTCCGGTATCAAGCTTTGAAGCCTCTATTTTCAACTGAAACGATCGAGATGTCTAAGGTATACCCAGATAAAACGCCAAGTGACGGAAACGAACGTCTGTCTTTCTCCAGGGAACGTCCAGTGCCTTGTTACCTTATATACATGTCATGAAGATGCCGACTCACAAAACCAACCCCAGACAGGGTGTGACCAGCACCCGACCCCCTTTTCTCCCCTCTGTCCTCGGGTGTCATATGCGGTTGATAAGAAGAAGAAGAAAAGAAAGAAAAAAAAAGAAAAAAAGAAAGGAAGGAAGGAGGGAAACAAAATGGCAATGGAAAGAACGAGTGTCATAATCGCCCAGAGTAGTAGCAAATCCCGCCCATCAGACCCGGATCTCCATGCGCTTCTTCAGCCGGAAAGCCAGAGCGCGCTTGCGGGCCTCGGGAGACTGCGTGAAAGCAGCAGAGCCGCCAAAGGGCCCAGCAATAGCGGAGTTGCGAACACGGACGATGCAGACGTTATCGGCGCCGCCGACGGAGGCATCGCAGGTCATGCCGGGCGGCATCTGGACCTCGAGCGGGAACTCGGTGTTGGTGGCGAGGGAAAGGCCGCCGAAGAAGCCGGGCACGTCGGTCACGATCTCGGCGCGCTGGAAGGCGCTCTCCTCGGTGCCGCCCGACGTGCCGTCAATGTCGGCCGTCAGGGGCCCCGCGCCGTCCTGGTTGATTTGGCGGAACGTCATGGTCACGAGACCGGAGTCCGAGGCGGTCGGCAGACCGCGGGAGGCGCCTTGGCCGGAGGAGGCGGCGACGCTGCTCTCGGGGGGCCCGTTGGCGGAGGTGCCGCTGCCGCCGCCGCCGCCGCCGAAGAGACCGCCGAGACGGCTGCCACCGCGGCTGCTGCTGCCGCCGCCGAAGAGGCGGTCGAGGAACTGACGCCTGTTGTTATTGTTGCGGTTGTTACCGGTATCCGACGCAATGGGGATGTCGTCCTCCACGCCGACGGAGTCGCTGGCGCCGTTGTTGGTTGGGGCCGTGCCGCGGCCCATGAAGTTGCGAATCATGGTCTCGGCACTGATGGGGCCGTTGCCCTGAGTTCGACCAAGTGGGCCGGCCCGGCCTGAGGAGATATCGCTGTCGCGGATGATGGCGGTGTCGGCTTGAGAGCCGCAGCCATTAGAGCTGCAGTCACGGGGGGTGCCGTCGGCAACTTGCATGTCATGTTAGAGCGAGAAGGGAAAGAGGTAGAGTAGAGCAAGGTTAGAGGGGGAGAAAAGGGGTGTACTCACCAGACAGACCTGGCATGGTGACGCCGTTGGCACCCTGGATGGATACAACTAGGCCATGGGCATTGACGCTAGCGGCCAGAGCAGTAACAAGAAGAGCCTGAGAGGAACGCATTTTGTTGGAGGACGGGTAGGAAATGGGTGACAGAATGGGAATGCTGAAGAGTAAGAATTGAAATCAAGTGCAAGTTATATGTACTCAACGTGCCTCCAGGGCCAAGAATCGAAAGTAAAGAGAAGAAAAAATTACAAAGAGAAACAAAAGGGGGAAGGACAAGTGTGAAGTGTGGTCATTGGAATGATGTGTGTAGAATAGGAGGAGAGGGTTCAACGGAGGGTTGGGAGATCAACTTTTATAGATGATTATACCATGGCCATGGCCATGCCAGGGTCACCAGTTGCTCGAATACCTATATCCGTCCTGAGGTGAATGGGTAGGTGGTGGGTTTCCTACCGTCGACATCTCAAACAAGGGGCTTAGCGATACAGAATGTATGTAGTATCAGTAGGGCAGGACGTGGTGGTTTGTTTGCTACGGCGAGTTTCAACGATTGCATGTCGCTGACATTGACCACCGCGCGATACTTGCTCCGATTCACGAAGATGCGGACTAGGTCGGCCTCGGCCCTGTGACGATACTTCTCGGCCGCATGCCCTTCTCGGGTGTAGACTGCGACGAGAGTGGCAGTGTCGTCGGGGGGGGGGGGCGTTTCTTCGAGGTGAACCCACAGAGACGGAGTTGGGCTACCATGGGAGACAAGAGGTAGAAGCGAGCGAATCGCATCTAGCTAGCCCCGATGATACAGACAGGAGAGGGGTGGTGACCATAGCACGCGGGGTTGAAGTCGGAGGGGCATGATGAAGCAGGCCGTGCACTCGGACACCTACGAAGCATTGTTTCATGACACCGGCAACCAATGTATGGTGAGGCAAAAGGGGGATGGAAAACAAAAAGTGACGAAATTGATTGGCCAATACAGAGAGGAAACGAGGCGCAGAATCTAAACATAGAGCTCTGCCTGGGTCGAGACGAGGCTGAGATTGTTGGTTGATGTGCTGTTTCGTAGATCTCGGGACAGGGAGGTGGGTTCAACAATATTCGACAATAGATCATACGGAGTAAGGTAGTGTAGTATCCGCCGGCCCATGCTACCCTGCGGAGATTTTGTACCCTAGCGGTCGGCATTCATTGGTTTCACTGGTACGGTGTAGCGTACACTGAGTAACCAAAAGCACCGAAGCGCTCTGCATAATATAATCATGTATACCGCTTCGTTGCTTTTGTCAGTCTATTGTACCTACCGATACCACCGCATTGACGGCAGTACCTTTGTTAGTCCCCCAAAATTGTCCGCCAACTCGGTTCAGTCGACAAGGGTCCCCCGCCCCCGGATCAATGTTGCGGAACACGAAGGTGTCGCATCTAGCGCCAATAGGTAATAAAGGGAACGCTCCTATCCCAAGATCGCCGCACCGGTGTTTTCTCCCCAGGACGCTAAACATGTTTCCCGTGTTTGGTCCTGACTTTTCTTTCTTCTAGTTCACCTTATTCACCTTATCAGTTCACCCAAAAGCCTGTTGGGTTCTTCGTTGTGTACTGCAACTCTGTTCTGCACTAAGCAAGACCTTACTTAAGGTAATATTGGCATCTAAACACTTGCGACCGAGCTATTCTTACAAGTCGTACGAATAGTTGAGTAGAGATCTATGATATGCATCTCATATTCGTTCCAGGTTGTTAAGACGGCAACATCAGGCCAGATTGCCGGGGGAGAGGAGAGTTCATGCGTAGGCCAACTCGAGACTTGACGAAAGACTGCTTTGACCGCGTGCGCTATAAGTACGTAGGCCTAGACCTTGAGGAAGTCCTCGACGATCAACCGCTGAGAGAAGATGGGAAGATGGGTTTCAGGGGAGAAGGCGGACAAGGAGAACGGAGAAGAAGCATGGCTCGCGAAGAAAGAGTGAGGAAGAATTAAGGTCCGGCTGCAAATATAGGTATTCCGTCGTAACTGCAACTGTGAAGGCGACAAGATGAAGAAAGGGCTAGCTGGGCATTCGGTAGTCATTTTATCTTCGAACCGACCATCTGAATCGAACGGCAACGGAGAATGGAGGCCCAGCGGATAGCACCGTCAAAAGTTCCTCAACCTTACAGTCTAACCCGATAAGATTGGGTAATACGCAGTGATGTTCGTACAGGAACACAGCTTCGCGGGAGTATGTAAAACGATCCAGTATCCATACCTTATCAAATAAAGGCCAAGCCAAGACACGGCGTTACATAAGGTACCTAAGGTACCTGTACATACATACGATAACACCTCATTTGCCGGGATTTAGATAAACTTGCAGCCTGCCCATTCCCCGCAACCAATCGCTTTCTTCCGCTTGACCGGAGGCATTGCGGCACGGCATGGCCGATAGCGGTACGGTGCTTGGTAATTACCCCATCCCGTCGCGTCGACATCATGGGCCGGCCATAGTAGCGATCAAGCGACCGCCAGTCGAAGTTCGCTCGAGCTCACGACTTTGTGGCACGGACTGCAACGATTCAGAGGCCACATTCAATATGTCCGATTACTACCTTACTCATACTACTCATACTCCTGCTCTCGGAGACTCTGTTGCTTCATGGGAGAAACCTGCATACCTGCTGCCATGCATCAAAATCACACCTCGTGGGAATGCTCGCGGCTTGTTCCATTTCAGTGTGGGGGACATTACATCTACCTTACCTACCTACCTAAGGTACCTTAGGTACCTTAACTTATAAGGTAGATTCTTCGATTCTACGTTGTACTAATACCTAAGTACTCCGCATCGTACACCGCGCCATCTCCCGGGAGACGGTGTTCCTGTCGGTCTCTGCGTCTAGAAGAGGGGAAATGGACACTAGTGGAACAGATCAACATGAAAACGGCAAATGAAGGATGGCCCGACTCGAGTCGTGTGCCCAGCCGGGGCGCAGTTGTAGTCAACTCTTGCGGGGGACTTGGGAAGCTGCGAGCTTCCTACCTTAAAATCGGATCTTTTCGCACCCTTATCATCGACTGGGATATCTGGGCCCCGGTCCTAGGTATTATCTTAGGACTCCGTCGATAGATAAGCCGAGAGAGGAAGCTTCTTCGAACAGGGCTGAGACATAAATAGAATGATACCTCCCGACCCTCCTCCGTCTCCGGAGCTATGCCAGGCGAACAAAAGCTGCAACTCACCTCCTTTTGAGCCGTCTCTTATGAGCCTTTGACCTCGAGACTTCCTCGACCTTCGGATAGGAGGACTTTGGGAGGCTTGTCTTCTACCTTGGATCCCAAAGGTTATATATCTATCTACCTATACGGAGTACCTTATACGTGTAATTCGACAGTTCTTGTCCATCTCCGCTCCCTACGTCATCGCGGTTTGGGTCCCATTTCCGTCCAAGAGCCCGTCGCATTTTTTTGGTTGTGGGGAAATTTTATTCCTCCCTTTTGGCAGGCGCGTCGTCTCCCACTTCAAAACTGTTCTTCCTATAGAAAATTTGAAGCTCCCGCACGACCCCCGCCGACCCCCTCCGACCGAGGCCGACCGAGGCCGACAGAGACACAATGGAGACGACCGTCGAATCCCAGGGCCCGCGTCGGCGTCTACATGGCTCCAAGGCCAAGTATTGGGCCAACAAACTCGCCGTGGACGAAACCGAACCCGGCCTGACGAGCAGCCAGCTGATGGTGCGTCGCCCTTTGCCATTTCTCCCCTTCCTCTCATACGTTTCGTCACATATCGTCTTCTTCTCGCTGACCTCCTCCCCATGTAGCTCATCAATAAAGACTTGAAACCCGTCGAAAAAGCGAGGCGCCTCTGGGGTCCGTGGAATTTCGTCGGCCTTTGGGTCGCCGACTGTTTCAATGTCAATACCTGGATGATCGGTAAATAATTTCGCCTCTTTTTTCCTTCCTTTTTCTTTTCCTCCGGGTCCCCGCAAAGACTCGACTCCCACGATGAACTCGAAAATTCACACTCGCGGATGACAGGTGGCTCCATGGTAGCTGGTGGTCTGTCGTGGTGGCAGGCATGGCTCTGTGTCTGGATCGGATACTTCGTTGCTGGTATCTTTGTCGTCCTGGCCGGCCGCGTCGGCGCCGTCTACCACATCAGCTTTCCTGTCATGGCTCGATCGTCCTTCGGTATCTGGGGCGCTCTGTGGCCCGTCTTTAACCGTACCGTCATGGGTAAGTCTAGAGGATCCTCCACTCGCAAAGGAAGGCGATATACCTAACGAGAGCGTGCGTCTTCTCTAGCCTGTGTATGGTACGGTGTCCAGGCTTATATCGGAGGTCACTGCGTCTACATCATGATTCGGGCTATATGGACCAACTGGGTAGGTTTTGCGTTACTGCGTTTCCCAATCTCGAGATTTGAAGCCCCCCTGACTGAACCCCCCCTTTTTTTTTTTTGCTAGGGTGACATACCGAATACCTTCCCGAGCGACTCGGGCACGTCAACACCCTACTTCGTGTCATTCTTCATCTTCTGGTTCCTGTCATTGCCAGCCATCTGGTTCCCCGTACATACGATCCGCCACCTCTTCACCGTCAAGTCGTACGTGGTTCCCGCCGCCGGTATCGCCTTCCTCATCTGGACCGTCGTGCGGGCGGGCGGCGTCGGGCCCATCATCCGCCAGCCGGCGCGCGTGTCGGGCAGCGAATGGTCCTGGCAGTTCATGCAAGGCATCATGTCGTCCATCGCCAACTTCGCCACCCTCATCGTCAACGACAGCGACTTCAGCCGGTTCGCCGCCAAGCCCAACGACGCGCTGTGGTCGCAGCTCTTCACCATCCCCATCGGCTTCGCCGTCACCTCCTTCATCGGCATCATCGTCTCGTCGGCGTCCGCCATCCTGTACGACGGCGACCCGATCTGGGACCCCATCGAGGTCCTGGACAAGTTCATCGACGGCGGCAACTCGGGCGAGCGCTTCGGCGTCTTCGTCCTCGGCCTGTCCTTCGCCCTGGCCCAGCTGGGCACCAACATCGCCGCCAACTCGGTGTCGGCCGGCACCGACATGACCGCCATCCTCCCGCGCTACATCAACATCCGCCGCGGCGGCTACATCTGCGCCGCCGTCGGCCTCGCCATGAACCCGTGGGTGCTCCTGACCGACTCGAGCCAGTTCACCACCTACCTGTCGGCCTACAGCGTCTTCCTCAGCTCCATCGCCGGCGTCATGATCGCCGACTACTACTTCGTGCGAAAGGGGTACCTCGTCGTCGAGGACCTGTACCGCGCCGAGAAAGGCACCGCCTACTATTTCCACTTCGGCCTGCACTGGCGCGCGTACGCCGCCTACATCGCCGGCATCCTCATCAACGTCGTGGGCTTCGTCGACGCGGTCGGCACTCCGGTCCCCATAGGCGCCGTGTACATCTACCGGGTCAACTTCTTCGCCGGCTTCATCGTCTCCTCGGCCATGTACTGGCTCCTCTGCCACTTCTCCCCCATTCCTGCCACCAGCGACAAGTGGGCCGAGGTCGGCGGGCAAGATTGGGATGAGGAAATTGTCGCCAACCACTCCGACAGCTACAGTGGCCAGGAGCGGTTCGACGAGGAGGCTAAGGTGTCGAGCAAGCCAGCAGGCGAAGGAGGTATTATCGATTCGACTCAACCAGTGAAAGGCGCGTGATGAGAACGCGCGCGCGGTGATGGTCTGGTTGTAGAGGATTCGATTGGAGTGTTGAAGTGAAGGATAGGCTGTCTCGCATGATACCACTCCTTTTTTGAGCTAGTTTTCGAATCTATTTTGACGATGGGGAGATAGATACTGCGAGGAGGGTGGTCAGGAAATGGACTGCTGCAATATATCTCGAAAGAAGGAACGCAGATGATGAGCTGTTTTTCGGTTCCTTTCGGTGCAGAACAGACGGCGTGTCCCATGGCCTTGAACAGACATCCCGCAATGTCGCGAGTCTTTCAGTTCTTCTCGAGGGAGGTTTCGTGGTCACGAACCAACACCGCCGAGTCCCGGCCGAAGTAACTTAACGTAACGTAACGTGACGTATTAGCCTCAGAAAGACGCACTGACACACTGTGAGCGCACTCCAGCCGAGGACGTGGTGGACGGTTCGTGGCCTCTAGCGCACTCTGCCCGATGTACTTTGTAGACCACCCTGAAGGCAACGCACTCGACCCCAGATAAAATACCTCAAGTCCAAGTCGCAAGGTGAAGGATAAGGTAGGCTAAGAATAAGGTACCTTAACCTTAGGTAATACTCAACTGTTCTGACACACTTTGCATTGTGAACCGCCGGGGTTAATTGTACAGTCGTCCACGACACTTGATTTAGGTATCAAAAAGCCTGTCCAAGCCGGCTTCGCTCCAGTACAGTCTACTCGGTACTTTTCTGTTAAGAGACCAAACTCCTTACTCCGTAGACGCCGTGCTAAGCTTATCTTGCCATGAATCAAGATGAAACGACCAAAAACACAACCACCTGCTGTTGAATTCTTTGATCATCTGCTCGGGTTGACGCCGAGTGCCATCCGATTAGATGCAAAGAAAAGGAAGAGACGAAACAAAACGAAACGAAACGACACGACACGACGAAGCGACGATCACCAGTCCACCGCCCAGCCGTTCTCATCCAAAAACTCCTCACAGGCCTGCTTGAGGGCGAGGTTGGGCCTGAGTTCGGACGGGACCAGGGGTTCCCTGGTGAGCGGGTCGCTGGGATGACGGTGGAGGTGCTCCATGATCGAAGCCCTTTCGTAAGACTTGCCCGTCTTGGTCTATTATACGTGGTTAGCAAGGTGTATCGTCGGCGCGGGGGCAGGGGGGATGACGCCGGGGGTTTAGGAAGAGAAGAATTCCCACAGGACATACAATGACGGGGTCAACCATGATGCCGAAGCTAATGTCGTCGATCGCCCAATCGGGCACCTCCCTCCTCTGCTCGTCCTTGGCCCGGCTCTTCTCAAACACGTTCCTAAGCTCGCTAATCTTCGCATCCCACTCGCTCGCCAGCTCCCGCTTCTCGCCTTCGCCCTCGGCCCCTTCGACCGCTTTCGCCTTCTCCCGCGAAAGGAGCCCGACCATCTCCTCCTCGAAATACTGCCCCTCCCGCTTGCGCGTCTTCTCCTTGTGGTCCCACCGCTCCTTCTTGCACCGCAGGACCAGCGCCGTGATCGCAGACAGGGAGGCGCGTTCTCGTTCGCCGGACTCGACGCACAGCCGGTGGGCGCGCATGGCGGCTTGCACGGCGCCGTCGTAGTCGCCCAGCGGCAACAGTGCCTGCGAGAGGTAGAACTCGGCTTTCATATTCTTCTCCGCCAGCGCGAGGGCCTCGTGGCAGTCGCTGATGGCGGCGTCCCAGAGCTGAAGCTTGAGGCGGGCATTGGCGCGGTTTGTATAGAAGATCGCGTTCTTCGGGTTGGCGATGATGCTGCAAAATTCACAAGCTTTCTGTTAGCCATGGCGCGAAACAAAGGATGGGGGGCGGGAACGAAAAGACAAGTCCCTGTCTGGTTGGTTGAGTAACCCGGGGAAGGGGAAGGGGAAGGGCGTAAGCGTACGCTTTAGAGTAGAAACCTTCGGCGCCGACATAGTCGCCTTGCTGGAAGCAGCGGTTGCCTTCCGCCTTGAGCTGGAGAGCTTTGGCTTCAGACATGTTGGACGAATTCTGGTACAATGCCTTGTGGCGAGATGAAACACAGCACACACGCACGAAAGAGAAGAGACCCGAAGGCAATCGTCAACCGGGCTGAGACTCGAGGAGCACTTCGTGCGTAAAGGCTGTAGATGTGGTGGTGGTACTGGTGACGTCGTTATCTGGTGTATGGAAAGTCGTGGTGTAATACCGAGAGATATAGCATACGCAAGCCGCTGGAAGATTGGAGAGCATCCAAATTGGCAAAAGTGAATACTATGAGGACAGGGAACAGCAAGAGGGAGTGTGAAAGATGTTGGAGAACAAGAGAGCTAGAAAACTACACCATGCGAGCAGACGTGACAAGCAAGCTGCGATGTCCGTTCGACGGCAAAGGAGAGTGAGTGGAATGGAGTTGTAGACGGCGATTGCGCATACTCCGTCCCTGGTTGTGACAAGTCACATAAGGCAAAAGGTAGTGAATGATCAAATGGTCAATGGACCGCACATATGGTTTCTGCACTTGCCACCCGGAGTCGGACATTGTTGCGGGGTCCGGTGGGCGGAAATAATTTCTAAGCCGCAGTTGCGTGTTGTTGGTTGTAATATCCGATGACTGGAAACTTCCAGAAGACGTTGGGGAGATTCGTTCTGTAGCGTAAGGTATAACGCAGCGCTGGTCGTTCTATCCGTCCGGATATACCTTAGCTACGGAGGTACCTAATAATGGTGGGATGACATCGCCGAGGTGGAGCATTCAGCGGCTGATTGCGCCGGGAGAACTCCGGTCGGCCTAAACGGAAGTTCACACACCCGGAGCTGACTAGCCCTGGCTATACACTGTACAAAGCAGAAGCTCGTACTTGCATCTTGGGATCGTGGGCTCTATTCCATGATCATCGGTTATGCTGTGTCCAATCAAGTCGTGGAGTTGTCAAATGGCGGTACTCATCCCCTAATATTAAATCCTGAAAACTTGTGAGCCGAGTTGTGTAGACGAACGAGTCGAGTGCATTTTGTTATGCCTGCTTTTGATTGTGTCTATCTCTTCTGTCAAGGGGTTTGAGACAGAAATGACTGTTATGACTGTCAATAATAAGGGAAAAGGTTGGGACACGGGAGTCCTTCGGTGAGCAAGTCAAAGCGGCGGCGCAAGATATAAGGCAAGGTGACTTCTTGAAAGTCAGCGCTTCACCTTGTTGCCTTGTACGGATTCCTCGGGGAGGTTCTTAACTTGCTACGCAGAGGGTCGATGCCTGAGATATTAATTCTTTCGGTGAGGGGGTTGAAGGGTACGAAGCACTGGATCTGGATCGCGGACGCAGACACCATCCGCATCCCAATGGAAAGTAACTGACCCACCGCTTCCGTGACAAGATCACCAACCGTCGAACAAGCGACAAAACCAATTCAAATCCCTGGAAAACAAACAGATGTGGTCAGTTTGTTTTCCTAGAGAATATCAGAAAGAACTTCAATAAATACTCACCCCAACTCATATCCTCGAAAAGAGGCATCGTGGTAGGCAAGTAGGTATCTATCTACCTTAGGTATTGTCTCTCGAGACATTGACATTGGGCAATTGTGGCTGTTCTGCACCGCCACAGTATGGGCGCGCGGGTACCTACGTGAGTACTCAGTATGGTTTCTTGACACGTCTGCGCTCCAGAAAACCCACGTGCGTAACTCAGATGACGCCCGGCGCATCATTCGCAACAACAACTGAACTTCGCACGCCGACCTCCTGCTCCAATGCTGTCGAGTTTGCAGAACCCGCGGCAGGCAGCCGCTCAGCTGCTCAATTTCGGCCTCATCCTGAGCACGGCCTTCATGGTGCGTCCCGTCCGTCCCGCGTCTTCTCTTCGACCGTGAACGCATCAGTTTTCTGATCCTCCAAGGTGTAGATGTGGAAGGGCTTGTCGGTGATCACGGCGAGTCCGAGCCCCATTGTGGTGGTTCTGAGCGGTTCCATGGAGCCGGCCTTCCAACGCGGCGATCTTCTCTTCCTCTGGAATAACCCGGCCCCGGACCACGTTGGCAGCGTCGTTGTGTACGAAGTCAAGGACAAGCCGATCCCGATCGTCCACCGGATAGTCAGGAAATTTGGCACTGGGTAAGGCAAACCCATGCTTCTCTTCTTGTTCTCTTGCGTAGCTCTGACTAACCTGACTCCTGCATCCAGGCCCGACACGAAACTCTTAACCAAAGGAGATAATAACAACGCCGACGACACCGAATTGTTCGCCAAGGGACAAGATTACCTGGGGCCGGACGACATCATTGGAGGGGTGGTGGGATATATCCCCTTTGTCGGATACGTCACGATTCTACTCTCCGAATACCCTTGGCTGAAGACGGCCATGTTGGGATTGATGGGTCTTCTCGTGATATTACAGCGCGAATAGATATACCCATTCGAAAAAAATAAAATAAAAAAAGAATAAAAAAGCGCTCATATCCTGGTTTCGCTGGCAACTCTATATGCAACCCTAATGGTACGCGGCAGGGCTGTGCTTCTTCAGGAACAACTCGAATAGGTAAACAAGCGCCGGGCTGGGTTTTCGTTGTTTGCTTTTATCTTCGTTTTTCCCTCTCTCCCTAGCAGAGCGATGAGTGGCAGCTTCGACATGAGCGTGTGAGCGACGAAAGGCCGTGGTCATCAAAGTCTAGGTTCGAAGCTTGCTTATGTGTCCAATTGACGTTGCAATCTACTCCCTAAGGTAAGGTACCTTGGACTCCTCATCCAAGGCAAAGTAAAGTACCTTTTACCTTAGGCATCGGCGTATCGCGAAGGATAAAGGTACATGATGCAAACCTTTACCCGCCGGTACCCGTGCCACGTTCTGAGCCACGCTCGAGACTTTCCAGTATATGCTCCGTCGTAGAACTTACACCACGAGATCTCACCCTGGGCGCAGTTGATGATATTCCGGTTGATATTCCGGTCTCCACATCTGCGGCTTTACCTATTGGCATGACTCTCGGATGTTGATCGGCGTGACTGGGCCGACTCCGAACAAGCCCGGCACCGACGCTATCCTGCACGATGTGTCAACCGCTGGATTGTCACGACTCGGGTCCTGACCGACCAACTGACAACCCCGCCAAAAAGAGCCGCGGTATTGGTGTCAAAGGCGTGAAGAGGTTAACCAATAGTCTCACTACGATTACAGTACGGCTCCAATTCGCATCTCCACACCATCTAATCGCTCTTCCGGTATTGGCCGAACCAAAACCTCCAAAGGTACAATATTAGTGTACTTGTTGGTCACCACCATCGGAACCTCACGGACCATCTCGGGAACAGGGAAACCACGACGCTACATGCATGCATGTCATTCTTACCCAGACCTCGACGTCAGGATTTTAGTAGAGGCATCAACTTCCCCTCCAACGGTCGTGGATTCCATTTCGTCCCCCCATCTAAGAGCAATAATTTCGGCGAGAACAAAATCAATATATCACAATCCCGATCGCCACCACCATCACCATCACCATCACAAACGGACGTACCCTGCTATATTTCATGCCGACCTCTTCACGCCCATAGCAGACCCACCTGGCGATCTTACGGTACCCTTTCGGCCGGAAACGATCATACAACTGCATAGCAAGAACGTTCTTCTTGTCTGAAGATCAGAACTTGCCGATATCGCCTCACCTTTACCCCCAAAGACGGAATTTCTGGACTAGTCGCGCAACGCGGAGCGCTGGCGACATCACACGGCGAAGCTACAAGCAGGGCAGGCACCCAGCTCGACCTCGTCTGACCGCAACGGGAATACCGGGGACATCATCGGAGTTCGAAAGGCTCAAACACACCTTTTCTGCAACAAAAGACCCTTCAAAATGCCGTCGCAACGCCCCTTCTTCCTCTCTACCTTCTTCGCCTCCTTCCGACAAACGTCAAACCCCATTTCCCAACAACCCAATAAGCATACCTCCCAGACCACGCCATCCTCTTCCGCTGCCTATACCACGCAGCAACAGTCTAACGCATCCACATCTGCATCCGCACCGCGGGCAGTCTCCACTAACGCCCACCCCGGCACCTCCTCGTCGTCTCGCTCTGGAGGTGTCGTCAGCCAGCTTCCGCTCCACTCGCCCCGGGGCACGGCGGGGCCCAGCAGCCCCCGTGGAGTTCCCATCCCCGGGTCGCCGCCAGGTCGACGGCGCGGCAGCGACAGCTCCAGCGAGGGATTCCGGGAGGTCTTAGGATCGGATAAATGGTATATCGGCGGGCGGACGGCGACCGGAGAGGAGCGGTTCTTCAAACTTGGCGTCGTGAGGCGCGTTCGAAGTAACGATGGCTTGAGCTTGGACCGCCTTAGTTTATAGGACGAGGGCGATGACGATGACGACGATTAGCATGGGATGGGATGGGTCGGGTCGGGACACTGGGCCGGGTTGCCTGGACACTCACATAAACGCGTACATACACAACATCGGCACGGACTGTACGGGAGATGCATACGACTCCTCGGGGTTGGAAGTTGGGACCGCACAACAAACTGGGAAATATCAAACCGGGGGATATTGGGAATCGGCGTTCGGGATATCAAGGATCTCGCGATTCGCTCGCTTCGCGACGTGGGATGAGATGAAACTAGAAAACTGCCGAGTCGGCTGGACGTCTGCGAAGGCATTCGCTACCACCAGGAAGGACATATATGGCATGCACGTGCCCATCATATGAATTTGAGGGGTTTCTGTCTCCTTGCGCAGCTAGTTTCAACACTGTGGTCCAGGTTGCGTCACCTAGATGTACAGACTCCCGCGTTTTATATTGGCCTAGTGAACTTGGAAGCGTAACCCTTCTGCCACTCCCAAGTCGTCGAACGGAGCATAGTGAGCGCACAGTCCTGTTCTGATGTGCACACCTCTACTCATCACCACATGAAACGCTGCAGACGGCCGCCATCCAGCACCTCGCCCTCCTGGTTCCTCCAAACGTACGGGCGATGGATGAATATGTACATGGTGACCAAGTTGATAGCAACAAACCACAGCGTCTCGAGTACGAGGCGCAAGTCAAACCTGCGACCCCACTCGATGAGCCCGGCCAGCCCAGGAAGGGACGCGACACCACCGCCGCCATGGTGGCGATCGTCCTGCTCGGGGTACCAGGCAGGGACGAGGAGACGCCAGAAGACCCAAGGAAGAATGAAATACCGCGGCTCCACGAGCGGGGCCGTGACCAGAGACAGGGCGGTGGCGAGGAATAGCAAGACGACGGTAGAAGACGACGCGGGGTTGAGGGCGGAATTGACCCGACGGTCCTTGTTGTCGCGGGAACTGGCCATCTCGAGGGGCGATAGGGCGGACCAGCAGAGCCAGCCGCAGAACAAGTATACGCCAACTAGATACTCGCGAAAATGACCTGGGCGGCGGATGGTGTACCGAAAAATGTAGAACATGTAATGGCGGTTGTCGGCCAATGTGAACGGGTGGATGATGGTGTTTTGGACGACGATGAGCCAAGAAGCTAAGATGGCGAGGAGAACAAGGGGGGCGGAGTACGCTCGAGGGGATACGACTATTCTGGCGGCCTGAAGATAAGGGGAATCCATCGAGCTACTGATATGGTCCTTGGATGTCAGAGAGACGGGACCGGCAGTGTCGCCATCGTGGGATCCCTTGCTGCTGCCGGTATGGCCAGAGCTCGCGTTTCGGTTAGACTTATCGACAGAGGATAACTTTGACCTTTTCACGCAACTGAGGAGACGGAGGGTTCGTCCCAACAAGGTGGGGATGAAGAGAGGAGCCGAGAAGAAAGCAAAAAGAGGCCAAATATAGAGCATCTGGGTCAAGTGAATGGTCGCGATATGGTTGGACTTGTCCCCTGGGCAGAGTTAGACATAGTGGCCAGGTTTTGATGACTGAAAAATGTCTACTGACCGAGGACCACTCCCCCGTTCCAAGCCACGAACGCGGTGAAAAGACACATTACGGTGATATGAGGCCAGACTTGCTTCAGAATCCGGACCGGCTTATAGATGGCTGCCAAACCGATGCCAACAATGGAGTAGCACAGATCTGGGGGCACCGTTCTTAGTCGTTGTAATAACGCGGACAAGGTGAGGGACCATGGACTTACCATGCGGCCAAGCACGGTCGATTGGGGGGTCATGAATGTCGCCGACTGAGAATCTTTCGATGTAGAACCTTACGTGCTCTGACACGGTGTGCATGGGAGGTTGCTCGGCGGGCTTTGGGCGAAGAGTCTTGACGGCGTGAACGGCCTCAAGTCCACCCATGTATACGACAACCCAGAAGATGTTAGTCTGGCGCATGAAGAGCGCCGCGATTCCGAGGAGAATTGTCCAAGCGTCGCTGATTAGTGAGCTCCTGTCCCTACTGACACGGCTAAGATGGTGGCTGTAGGCCAGGAGGACGGTGAGAGTGGAAAAGACGTCGGTGTAGTACAGGCCCGAATAAAAGAAGAGAACTGGGAAAAGGGCTATATTGAAGCCTGTTTGAAAGGCGTAGCGTGACACGGTGTTGAGGGATTGTTCGGAGCGTCGAGGCGTCAGGCATCTCTCAATCTGATGCCGGGTGATGACTGCCAGGGGGAAGATCAAGACCGCAGCAATAAGATTGTCCAATCGAAGTCCACCCGCATCGCATTGTTTCTCGACGGGCGTCCAAAAGAGCCGAGATTTAACGGCTGCAGAGACTCTAGAGATGATGTATCTATATCTGGGTTAGGGATACACTCTGGAGGTTCACAGCTCTTCGGGTATGTGGCTTACAGGCCGGGAGGAGTGGTTATCTTGTCATCCCACTCGAAGAACCTGTCGCGGCAGTAGGTCTGCGCTTGCGGAATGTGGAAAACCTCATCCTAAATACCAATTAGCAATCAATACTGCTTGAGGCGAGAGGTTAAGACGAACTAAATAGGGGTTTGGGACGTGACGGTTGACAAAGGAATACCATATGGTGCCAAACGCGAGGAGACCCGAGCCCATGGCGGCCACAAGGCCCGTCTCCTCGAGGGTAAAGCGGTCCATGCCCTCCTAAAGGAATCCGTATTTGTAAAACAACTGGAGAGGACAGACGTCTGGCACTGTTTGGGGTTGCGGACCAATGATGAATGGCCTAGAGGTGCATCGAGGGAGATGGATAATGATGGAGAGAAGTGGTCAACGGAACCATTATCGACACAGAGAACGGGAGTATAAGGGGCAGTTTCACTCGAAGAGAATTCTCTGTAAGGGAATAAACAAAATCATCACCCGAATTCGCCCTGCTCTGAGAGCACGCCGCAAATTAGCAAGGCTGTGAGAACATGAAGACGAGCCAAGTGGTCAAGGATTGAGACGTGGCAATTGAGGTTCTCGGTTCGCACTGTGTGGACCATATATTGGGTGTGTTTATCGTGTGCATTCACAGTTCGATGAACACTGTGCATGGGAACGCCTGGAGATGAAGCGACTCAAGCTCATCTCGGTTGCCTATAGTCAATTGGAACGTAACTAGCGCTCTCAGATACATAGACTTGTCACATCAAAACGTTGAGTCTATAGAATCTATTTTAACTATCACGGGTAGGTAGTACACAGTCGCCCCGACTCTCGGCTTCCCGCTGCTACCATTGTCCAGTCTTATCATGCATATCTTGGATAATGTTGGGATGAACCCAGACATAGGGTCCTTAGAAGGGCTGCGCAAGCAATTGTTAATAACAAGACCGCAGGACTTGCGGCGCCATATAGGAATAGGGGATAAACTCACGTTGTCAGATTCGGGGATGGGCTCCTTGACGAAGAGGCCACCGACAACAGGGATTTTCTACCAAGTAAGGTCAGAATAGTAGCCAAGGTAACAGGACCTTGAGGAGACACATGGGACAGAGACACATACCTGCAAAACGTCCTTTTGTACCCTCGGAATGCCGGAAGCATAGAAGATGACGGCCACGAGCGCAGCGCCGCCCATGGCACCGGCCTTGATGCCCCTATAACAGCATTAGCATCATGCAGAGAGACAATAATGCAGTCCCGTATATGGAGTTGTCGATGGGGAGAAGGTCATGCTGGGTTCGAGATTCGGCCGTTGGTCACCGATTCGTCCATGGAGTTCGGATGCAGGCATCGAAGCGCCGGTCACACAAGGCCTCCCTCCCAACTATAGCTTCGTCGGACATAGCAAGAAGTAGGTATGGAACTCACACTCGGGAGAGTTGCCTGAAGTTCAGCCCGGCAAGGCTCGGCTGGTAATGGTACCTAGTGACGTCGAATCAGCCGCCCACGTTCCTCCATCTTCCCCAAAGGAAAAGAAGCTCTAAGCCTCGCTTAGATTATCCGAGACGAGCAAGCAGGGTATAGATCGGTGGAGATAATAAGAGTCGTGGACATACTTGGGACCATAGTTGCTTCGGAAAGTCGTGGGATAGATCGGGTTCTGACGCTGTTTCGCATGTTAGCACAAACATCCCGGTCCGGGTAGGAGTCGAAGGGGAGCCAGGAGTCCGATTCTCCGGTGTGTGTGACTGTCTCAGGTAAGAATATCACTTACGGGGCCGGCCATGGTGAATATCGAGCGCGTTCACGCGGATCAACAGGTTCAATTGCAGATGCGACTAAGGACGAATGGAGAATGAGGTTATCGCGAGCTCCAATTTCTCGAAGAAACCCCGGCCGAGTTCTGCCGAGTCACGTGATGTACACGCTAACCCCATTCCGAACCGCTTGGGCGGTCTATGTACTAGTACGAGTCCACGAGACGGTCAGGTACGGAAAAAGGTGATATCCTCAGCCTTGTCTTCCATCTTCAGCTGGAACCTACAATACCGGCATTCGGGGGTATCGTCATGGACAACTACATTGATGCCCGATTTGAGCGGGTTGAGAAGGCATTGGCCAGTCTGGTCGAATCCGTCTCAAAATATCACCCATACGCCAAACAGGCGCAGGACCTTCAAGACGCAGACCGGGAGCTTAGTGAGGGACTGAAACAAGGTAATTATTTGGGCTCGCAAGTCTTTTGACGTTGTGGTATGATCTTCTCTGACCCCTGTGAAGCAGTGGAGAGGCACCAAAATAATCACCTTCGCCTTCAAAAACTGCGAGCTACTTCCTCTTCCCTCGATGCACAGATTCGCGAAACCCTCACCAGTCTCGCCTCGACCCGAAAAGACATCACCACGACACACATCACCGTCGAACAAGACGGGCCCCATTACAGTATCAAGTACGATGAACTCCTAAACTATGCCCGCCGCATTAGCAAGACAACCCTCCCTCCAGCCGGCGTTACGAACGGTCTCCCTCCGGAGAGCGGCAACCTCTCTCAAGACCAGCCCGCTAGTGCAACCAGCGCAGTACCCGTCAATGGTATGCAGAGCGGCGCTACGAGCGCATCCCCAACACCAACCGCCCACTCCCAACAACAACAACAACAACAACAACAACAACAACAACACACCCAGCTACCGGACCCGCCGGGCGGCCCGAATGGAACCTCCTCCTCCTCCCAGCAACCCAGCGAACCACACACCACGCAACAATCAGGCATCACCTCCTTCTCCTCCACCCAAGGCGGCTCGCGGACCACCCTCCCCGACGGCCTCCGGAACGTCCTCGACCCGAATTTCGGCGTGCACTTCATCCCCTGGCCGAACGAGTACCAGATTGGCGGCGGCGCGCTGGCGGCCGTGCAGGACCTGGCGGGGCGCGGCATCGACCCGAAGGGACACGACCCGGAGGCGGTGGCGGCCGAGAAGCGTCGCCTCGAGGAGGCCGAGAGGGCGGCGCGCGAGGAGGAGGAGCGCCGGAAGCGCGAGGAAGACAAGCGGCGGCGCGAGGAATGGGAGGCCAACGCCGCGCGGAGGCAGGCTATGGACGATCAGCGGAGGGAGAGTGCCGTTTCGCCTGGCGCGGGAGCGGGTGCCGGTGGGCAGCACAAGAACACCCAGTTTCAGTTTACGAGTCTAGACGTGGACGATGACGATGACGACTGATCTGCCGAGGGAAAGAATGGGAGAGAAATGGTGGTATCCCGGGGAGACTTGCACTGTTCGTACGAATAACATCACTCGTGGAAGGGATCTCGATTAGTTCCGGATACCCAATATGATTAGAGGATTCCTTCCATCTCTATATCTGTGTGCTGCAAAGCGTCTAATGTCATGTTCCAGCCTTCTTTTTTTACTTCTGAACCGCGGTCAGCGAGTAGTCCCCCTCCCTGTTGGCCATTGAGGATTCCCGCAACCACACTGAACTGAAATCGTTACTCCCTTCCATAACGGCACGCCTTCTCAACAAAGCGTGGTGAGATGACCCAACCAAGGCGATGACAGGCATCGAATAGGAAAAATAAAGAAAAAAAAAAGAAGAAAAAAAGGCGTACTCGTACAATAAATATTGTCATCATACACGGAATAGACCAGACTCCAGGCTGCCAGTCTTCCGTTCTTTGGACATGCTACTCTTTTGCTCGCCGAAGCCGAGTGTGTTGCTGCTAGACTTAGTCAATCTTGATCGAGGCATAAATCCTTCGAACAAACCACCAACTGGCAAAGTAACCGATGGATCCTATACAAAAACCATGTTAGCAGGGAAAGGACGCCAGATGACGCCCCTTTGCGCGGAGGAACGGGTAGAGACGTACCCGTTAGAATGAAGAAGAGGAAGGAGATGAGGCCGCTGTAGCCGATGTACAAGACAGCGCCAGCGAGGCCGCTCAACTTCAACTTGGTAACGAGGTAAAGGAGGCAGTTGGCAAAGATGTAGCCTCCGCACGTGCCGGCGGCGAGGAAAGAACGCCACTGCCAGTTGTAGTTCTCGGCGCAGAGGAGGAAATAGACCATCAGAATGGTGACGGTGGCGCAGGTGACGATCATGAGGCCGTAGGAGAGGAAGAGGAAGCCGAACATGTAGTAAATGCGGCTGAACCAGACCGAGCTCATGATGAAGTAAAGCTCGACGAAGATGGCGCCGAACGGCAGCAAGCCGACAATGAGCATGCTGGGGATCGGCTTGAGGTAGGTGCTGACGGGGGGCACCTGGCGAGGAATCTGGTTGGTACGGACGGGGCTCTCGATGGCCGGCGCACGGAAACCTAGCCACGAGCCCGCAACCGAGAGGGGCACGGAGATGATGAACCATATGGCGACGATGACGAGCATGGTGGTGAAGGGGACGGCGCCCGAGGACTCCTTCGCCCAGAGGAAGAGGTCGAGGAGGAAGAAGGTGGAGAAGACGATGACGGGAACAAGCAACGGCGTAAGGATGATGTTGGCCTTCCACCTCTCGCCTTCCATGGCCTTGTAGGCGCGGGACGAGACATATCCGCCCACGAAGCCCAGCAGAGTGTAGAGGACGAGAATGATGGTGCCGAGAGAACCACGGTTCGAGGGCGATAGGAAGCCAAGCAGGGCAAAGCAGATGGTGAAGCCGGTCATGACGAAAAGCTGGGCGCCGCTGCCGAGAAGCACGGAGAGCAGGAGCGGGTACTTGGGGCTGCGGAAGACGTCGCCGTGGACGAGCTTCCAGCCGGAATCCTCCTGGACACCATCCTCCTCAAGGCCGGTGCCGGAGAGATCGTCGAGGTTGATCTGATCGAGGCGGTTATAGCGGGCAATGTCCTTCTTCAAGGCGCGGACGAGGATGGAGGCGACGGTGCCGACCAGGATGACGACGATGATGGCCGTGTCTATCAGCCAGAACCAGTGGATCTTGGGGTCGAAGACGTGGAGGTACTTGTCCCAGCGCGTGGCCCAGGCGGTGTCGGACTTGGTCCAGTAGACGCTGTAGGTGAAGGTGACGTCGCGCTCGAGGCCGTCGTCGGCGATGACGATGGGTTCGACGGCGCTGCTGCAGTCGGGCTCGCCCTTGTATTTGCGGGAGCTCGGTTCGACGATGACGCCGACGACGCGGTTCAGCGATTCGTCGCCGGTGACGGGGTGGTACTCAATGTTGATGTCGTAATGGTTGTTGAAGACGAGGTTCCCCTGGCCGTCGGCCCAGCCCATCAGGAAGCCCGGGTTGTAGAAAGTGGTGTTGGTGAAGTCGTCGTGGATCTGCTGGCCGGCGGGAAGGCCGTCGACGAGCCAGTTGAGGCTATAGCCCTGCTCGATGCGACGCTTGAGGAAGCCGATCGAGGCGCCCGAGTACTTCTGGGTGCAGAGGCGCTTGCATTGTTCGTTCTTGAGCATGAGCAGCTCAAAGGGCGATGTCTTGATGCGGTCCCCGAAGAGGATGCTGCCTAGACTTGCCGAGACGTGTTCGACATCTTCTTCTGGCCTGCAGAACTTGAAGGCCGGGTGGTAGTAGTCGTACGAGACGACGGAGTGCAGTCGAGCATCTTCTGGTGCGGCCACTGGCTTGATGCTGTTGACGTATAAGGGAACGCGGTCTCCCTGTTGGTATGATGTTGGGGCGACGCCGGGTAGGTAGAAGGCCGAAGCCAGCTGGGGCGCGGCGGCGAGGATGGCGGCCAAGAGGGCCGAAGGCGAGCTGATGTTCGGAATGTGCATCTCTCAACGGTTGGTGTCTATAATCCAAAAGAAGGCATGGACTAGGAGTCAAAGTGAGCATAGCCCGAGGGAGAACTAGAGAAGGAGGACAGGAGGATATAGCGGGATAAGCTGGTGACCATGCAACATACCGGTCTGACACCCCCAGTGCGTTATACGCGTGCCTTGTTCAGAGGCCGCAGTGAACTCGTGTTGCTCAAGCAGAAAGAATACAAGGACGTAATCCAGAAGTTGTTAGATGCCTAGCTTGATGTGACTGGGAATCAGATGGAAAACGGTCATGGGGCTCCGCTGGTAATGGAGATGGTATTGGCAAATAATTTGTAAATTTGTATGAAGTAATAGTTCATGGTCTCGTCTCCCTTCCCATTGATTCCCAAGGCCCTTTTGTTAGTGATCGAACAGCTGTCCCAATTATGGATCCTTAAATAGTGCTTAGTCAGACAGGGCTGAGGTTGGAACAAAGTAGCGCCAGCTGCCAAGTAATTGCGTACCAGGTGTCATTGCTGTGGATCCCTTCGACAGTTTTCATACCGAACAAATTGACAGAGGGGAAAAAAAGAAAAAAAATTCATGTTTACACGCGCTGTAAGGGTGCATTGCAAATTGGGAGCTTTCTCCTCTACATCACCACCATTTTTCGTCCCGCAAGAATTTTACGTCGCCATGGCTGCCCCAAGCTCCCTTCCAGCATTGCTGGATTCTCTCACACAGTCTCTGACGTCTACACTCGACGCTGCACCAAAAGTTTCCTCCATTCAGCAGCCCCAAGACGGCATCTCGCTCCTCCACGTGAAGAACGAACTACTGCTCGCTTACCTACAAAATCTCGTCTTTCTCATTCTCCTCAAGCTTCGCAACGCCAAGAGCCAGAATGGCTCATCCGACAAGAACGATGATGATACGGACCCTGTGGTCAAGAAGCTGGTCGAACTCCGGCTGTACTTGGAGAAAGGTGTCCGGCCACTAGAAGATAAACTACGCTACCAGATCGAGAAGATCCTAAGGGCGGCCGATGATGCCGAGCGGTCTTCCCGCGCCATGAACTCGACGGAAAAGGTGAAAGGGACTCGCAAGTCGAAAAGCAGGACAGACTCGGGATTCGAATCGGGGTTGGAATCGGGTTCACCAAGCGAGGACGACGATGACGATGACGAAGGCGGAGAAGGAGAGAGCGACGAGGAGAGTGCGGAGGAAGCCGAACAGCCCCAGGCGTCCCTGTACAGCGCCAGGCCCGATGCCTTCGTCCGACCAGCAGCCGCCTCGGCCGCCGTCGCCGCGGCCGAGAAGGACGGCATCTACCGCGCGCCCCGGATCGCGCCGACCATCATGCCGTCGGAGCGGCGCGCCAAGGCGGCGGAGAGGCGACCGCACAAGTCAGCCACGATGGACGAGTTCATCGAGTCGGAGCTGTCGACGGCGCCCATGGCGGAGCCCAGCATCGGCACCAACGTGGTCGCGGGCGGTCGCAAGGTCAAGACGGCGGCGGAGCGCAAGGCCGAAGAGGAGCGGCGCGACTACGAGGAGTCCAACTTTGTCCGCCTGCCCAGCCAGAGCAAGAAGGACAAGGCCGGGCAGGCGCAGCAGAGCGGGCGCAGCGGGCGCATGCAGTTCGGCGGCGAGGAGTGGAGGGAGCTGGGCGAGGGCGTGGACCGGATCAACAGGCTCACGGCGCGCAAGGAGACGAGCAAGGGGACCAAGGCATTGCTCGAGAAGAGCCGCAAGCGGGGACGGGACACTACGGATGGTCCTCGGGATAGCGGGCGCGGGCCGGAGATTGGTGACAGGTTTCAGAAGCGCCTGAAGGTGTTGGAAGCTGGTAGACGGGACAGGGGCAAGGGTCGGTGAAGCGGTGAAGTCGGTGACATGTGACATCGGTGACATCGGTGACGCCGGTGTAGAACGAAGTAGGTACCTACAACAAGACGGTGTCAAATCAGCCGGCCATTTCACATGCCTCCAATCGAGCAATGAGCTAGCTATGATGATCGACAACTCCATAATGGACCCCCTTTTTTCAATAATTGTCCTCTCCTTTTTCTTCCTTTTTTTCTGTCCCCCCCCCCTTTTCTTTGGCCCCATTGGAATACCCGTGGACACGCTCCGCTTAAAGTTTCGACCCAGTCCCATATCATTTGTATTTGATGACGTCAGTATCCTTCTTCACATGCTCCAGCGTTCACCTAATAGCAAACATGAACAGCTCTCGTTCCTGTCCATCTCTTAACGAGCACTCCCGCATTCCTCCCTCAACCCTTCTTCATTACCCTCGACCTTCATCCTGCCACTCGGTTTATCCCTGGAAGCCTGTAGCCCAGAGAGAATTACCATCAACCTTTCATTTGCTCGACGGCTTTCCTCCTCAACACTGTGATGGGCTCGCTATCAAGGATGTACAACCCGTTGTTTCATCCGTTTCTATTTCTTTACCAGTTGATGCAATGGTGCCTGGATAAGGCCTTGTCTCCCACGCCACCAGATCCGACTGCCAGGCTGCATAGACCCAAGGTTGCGGTCATCGGAGCGGGCATCACTGGCGTAACCGCTGCTGCTCACTGTATCGGTCATGGCTTCGATGTGGTCGTCTTCGAGGCCGGACCAAAGTCCAACCTAGGAGGAATATGGAGCGTAGGTTTCCTACCCATTTGCCCTTCGGTGGCTATGACAGGAGCTGTCTGCATATCCTTGGAATTCATCATCTGACATCTTCACCACAGAAAGTCAACAACACGTCCAGGCTGCAAATCCACTCCTTGATGTATCGTTTCCATCCATCCGTCAAGTGGGAGCAAGGGTACCCAGACCGACAGCAGATCCTCAGCCAGCTGGAGCAGCTCTGGGAGCGGTACGGCCTCGACTCGCGGACCCGATTCGAGACTCCCGTCGAAAAGGTCTACCAGGACGAGAGAGGGCGCTGGATCGTCAACAACACATCCAACGGACGCTTCGAGGGGATCATCGCTGCGGTAGGGACGTGCGGCGAGCCCAAAATGCCGCCGCTCGAGGGCATCGAAACGTTCAAGGGTCCCGTTTACCACTCCAGCCAATTGTCGGGCAAGGATGGCCACGGAAAGAAGATCGTCGTCGTCGGCGGCAGCGCCAGCGCCGTGGAGGCCCTCGAGTGGGCTGCCGCCGAAAACGCCGAGAAGACCTACATCCTCTCGCGCAGCGACAAGTGGATTATCCCCCGCAACGCCGTCGTCGACATGCTGCTCTCGCTCAACATCCGCGGCCAGCAGACCATCTTCTCGTGGATCCCCGAGGGCCTGCTGCGGCGTTTCTTTTACCGCGACCTGGAAGACATGGCGCCTGCGAAGAAAGGCATCTTCACCGACACTCCCATGGTGAACAGCGACGTCCTGGACAAGGTTCGAGAAGGCAAGGCCGACTGGGTGCGTGGTGACGTCCAGAGCTTCACGCCGGAGGGCGTCATCGTGAACCGGCGAGGCAGAGGTGTTCCCGAGAACGGACCGGGCAAAACGGAGGTCATACCCGCCGATATCGTCGTCATGGCCACGGGATATAAGCGACCTTCTCTCGCATTCTTGCCTGACGACTGCTTTGAGCCGCCGTATGATCCGCCCAACTGGTATCTGCAGACTTTCCCACCAACTCATCCATCCATTTCCGCCATCAATTGGTATGTGTCTCCCCCTCACCCTTTTCGTTTTGCTGGTTTTGCACCTATGGCACAATAATGTGGAAATTAACGGCCAAGTGCAGCACGTACGTCAACGCCATTGGGACGGCCGGTAACTGGCACATCGGCATCTACACTCGCATCCTCCTCATGTTCCTAGTCGACCCACTGACACGACCGCGTCCCTTCTGGATGCGCACCTGGATCGACTTCACCCGTCTCCTGAAGAAGGGATCTCCCACGGCGGCCTTCGACTTCTTCACCTACCTCGAGCTGCTGTGGTGGTTCGTCTTCTGCGTCGCCATCAACCCGTTCCGGTGGAAGTGGGCTCTCTTCGTCTTCTTCGGCCTGGGGTTCGCCCTGCCCAAGTATATCGTCGATGCTGAATCGAGCTTGAAGAACGGGGAGAGCAAGCATGAAGCGCATGGACGGGATGTTGGCCGCAGCTTTTAACGAGGACCGAGGTTTCTCCAGCTGCAAGTGGTGTAGTTTTGCTTTGAGGGTCTAAATGAATGCCCTTTTTACAACCCGACAAATGCTGGAACGCCGCTGCCGTTCGATGTTAGTAGTATTCTGACTTTCTTTCAATGCACATTAGGGCAATCGAGCCTTGGATCCATATCCCTGGCATCTCCCGCTCGAGTATGAACTTGTCGCGAGGATACGATACAGTGACCGCGACGGAGGGGGAGGAAAAGAAAAACCTGCCGAAATTCATGACGATTCTCATTAGTCGTATATTGCATCAGCATCCCATGGATGCAGATTGTCGTCTCTATAAATCGTGTACTTGATACTGATCCCAAAACTGATCCCAAACAAGAGCCGCTATGCTATGCGCAACTTCGTGACGTTGCCTCCCACATTTGACATGCATCTGTCTCCAGCCATTATACATGTATGTACACTTCCATCCTGTCGTCGTACGGCTAACGCCATTAGGTGTATTATGTTCGAGAAACACCATGAATAGAAGTTCAGCGCCTTAATGGAAGGATTCATCGCGACTAGGTCGCATCCTGAGGGTGCGGTGCGGCGGAGGGGGAGGCGGCGAAGGCGAAGGCGACGGACTGTCGTGACCTCGCCCCCGCGACGCATAGGATATTCCGCGCGGGCTGCTGCTTTCGTACTCCAACTTCTCATCGTCGCTTCCCATTCTCGGCGGGGACCCGGTAATGCCGCGACCGTACCTCGACTCCTGGACCCGGGGAGAGCTGCTGCTCCTGCTACTCCCGGGGGCCGGCCTCGGGTACTTATCGTCGCCGGAGCCAAGGTCGGAATCGGCACCTTCGTCGTCCTCCGCATCACCGCGTTGGCGCGAAGCCGCTTTGGACCGCGAGTCCCCCTCCACGAGACCGAGACGCTCCTCCTCCGTGGCGTTATTAGCCTGCGGCGCGTACTGTCCTCGCGATCCGAGTGCTAACCGCGCCAGGTGATGGTTGGGACGGTGTTGTTGCTGCTCCGGATACTCCTCTTCCGGCACAGGTGGCTGCTGGTTCCGCCGGAACATGCTGTGGAATGAGAACATCCTCCTCGTCGTGTGTGGTGGGGGCGTTGGGGCAGGATGGGAGCTACTGCTGCTGAAACCGCTTCTCTGAGAATCGGTCCGTTCGTTGTAGACTCCTCTAGAGCCCGTATACTCCGTGTCTATGAAGTCGTGCTGGTCGACCCCAGGCGGGAGGTCCCCTCCCCCTCGCGCGTTCTGGCCGGGCATTGTTATTTCCGTCAGGGCCACGGGATGCAGTGGGGATTGTGGCATTGGGTCGGCCGCGAATTTCGGCTCCGTGGACGATAACAATGACTTGGCCCGGGTCCGAATAGTACCTCCAATGTTCGATAGCACGCCTGCGGAAGTCGGTCGGTTTCTGTCTTCCTCGTCGTTGCGATCTTGGGCCGTGGGAAAGCGTGACATGCCGAGGGGTGGATGGACCTCAGGCGTCCGTGGCAGAGTGAAAAGGCTCGAATTTGTCCCCGACCTCCCGCGCGTGCTCTGCGACCCAACCCCGAGAGTTTTCCGCCTCCGCAAGCCGTCCCACTCGTACACAGGGCCGTCCTCATCTACCTGGTCGAGCTGCTGCTCCATCTGCTTCTCCTCGCGCAGCCGCCTCAACTCTTCCATCTCCATCTTCATTCTCGCGGTAGAAAGCCTGCGCACGATAGCAGCTGTCCCACGAATCGAATCGGCCTTGGGCTCCGTCTCGGGTTGCTCTTGATTGGCAATGGTATGAATTTGATCCAAGTTGCCGGCGAACACGGCGGTGTCTGGCACGTCTTTGGCTGACTTTGACAGTTGGAGGAGGACCACGCCAGCGCAAATTGTCAGGAATCCCATGACAATGCTCACGATTTCGCTGGGGCTTCCCCTGAAACCTCTGAAGAGCACGGCAGAGGTGACGATCGTGGTGGTAGTGAAGTAGACATAATAGGTAGGCGTTACCATGGCGGCGTTAAAGATATTAAGGGCTTTCTGCGATGTCGTAAGTATGATCTCTGATGCAGATAACACACCACGAAAAGGAGAAACGGGCTTTGTCACTTACATTCAGGTAGATGATTTCCACCAGAAGGGTAGCGATGACGAAGACAAGCAGGACGTAGAGGAACCACTGGTTGAACTGGGGCGTTCCCTCCGCCTGGGTGATAACAGCGGCACCCAGCCCCTGGGTGGCGACGACGCTCAAGCCGCCAACCCAGCTACAAATGGTAATGTAAACCAGCATGTTTTTCTTGCCCCACTTGGGAGCCGCCCAGAACGCACAGACGAAGGAGCCGACGATGATGACGCCTGCGTAGGTCAAGAAGGCCGGGTGGACGACAAAGCTCTGCATCTGTTGGATGGTGGCGACGGCCGACTTGGCAGGGGCGTTGATGGCTATGATGACGGAGCCCACGATGCACAGAAAGCACGAGACCTTGCCGATGAGGCTCAGGCGTTCCTTGAGGAAAATGGCGGAGAGAATGGTGGTGACCACAACAGAGAGGGCACCCAGGGGGGTGACGAGGATGGCGTCGGTGAAGGCGTAGGCAACAAAATTGCAGATTTCGCCGAGGATCATAAGTACCATACCTCCCCACCAGTAGCCATTCTTCAGGTAACCGTATCCTTCTCCCGCCTCTTCATTGTATTTCTCGTTCGCCTTGAGCAGGCCGACCTTCTTCAAGACGAAAGACGCACCGATGAAGAGACCTGAGGCTGCGGCAAGAACGATGCCAACGACCTTGTAAACAGGGGGTCGATCGGCGGGGTCAACATCGAGACCGCCTGCTCGAGCGTACAAGTCGTGGGCTGCGAAGAGTAGGTGGGCAGGGAGGGGTTCGTGATCGTTATCCATGACTTCTAACGCCGAACGTGGCACCGGTGAGCCGATCTAAGGCGGCCTCAATGCGCCTCGGCCGGTATATCGTCCCCTGGTCGCTATTATTCCTCCACTGTAGATATGTTACTGTATGATATAAGCGTTCAGAATTAGGCTGAATATGTCATCGAATGTCGGCGGGTGGAAGCGACGAAGAAAGCCGGTCGCATGTAGCAACGTAGAAAAGCGTCTGGAGTTCGATATTATAAACGTCGGATCGTAATGCAAGATGGGCCTCCGAGGCTGGACGATGGGAAGGAAGTATTGTCGGACTAATGGCTGGATGGGCGAAAGCCAAAAGGTTCTGGGCGCTGCTCGGTGTTAGCGAAGGTATAACGGAAAGGCCCAAAAGGAGCGTCCACGAGGCAGCTCGACAAGAGATCTCCCGTTGCGAATAGGGAGATGGGGAGTGCAGAGACGGACCAGTTTGTGCTTTCAGTCGGTAACATAGGCGCTCTGCAAGTATTCCTGTCGTCTCTGAAGGAAATGAATCGAGGGAAAGAAATGCGGTCGTACGTTTTTCATGGATGGAGATGTCATGCACCTCAGGCAGTAGTGTCGAAAACCTGACAATCTATCTATAAGGTGCCTTAGGTTAGAGCCAACGCAGGTAAGCTAACGCAGGTAACGGTTCAACGCCTGAAGCGGCTTATCTCCACGAATTTAAAAAGGATCACCTCAAAAGGCAAGATAGTCATGGGGGGGAAAGGGGTGATGAACTTGTGTACAAGATGTTTTGAAGAGGACGGGGAAGTGGGAGCTACTCATGGAACCCAAACACAACAAACAGGCACAAGATAATCTGACAAGTCTCCCGGTACCTTTACACATGTATATGTACTTGTGGTACTGGTGGGAGAGCGCCTGGCTGGGACATCACTCATTGGGCGGTAAAACCAGGGGTCTCGAGTTAAGCACTGGCTAAAAACACACCAAGTAAAACCGATCCGGGGTGGGTATACATGTAGATGTGGGGCGTTTAGTTGTCTCGTTGACGCCGCAGGGTCAATGTGAAGGCCGCTGTGCAACGTGCAACTGCTTATTCGCGCCACCACCCCCAAGGTAGCCAGCGCAGAGGTACTGCAGTTCTCGACTCGATACTTCGCACCTTAAGGTACGTACCTAGGCATACACAGCTAGCACATATAAACATTGACCAGTCATGTCGTGGATTATTTGAAATGCGACATCTATAATCGGACAGGAGCCTGTAAGGGTACCTAAATCAAGGTGGAGGAGACGTACGTTACGACGTTAGCCGGGAGGTCGTTCCGCGCGGCATGGCGCATGCCGGTACGTACCTTTATAGCCGTTGGATGTACCTCTACCTAAACCATCAGCTGATGGGTGGCAACACTAATTCGCTGTGACTGAGGCCAATGACGTGACGCTGTCCTCTGTCGTCATGTTCCTGTTTCATATTATAGGGTTATAGGGCACCAACGACATTAGTTTGATCGTCAATTTTCTTGCCCTGCCGTCATTTCTCCCTCCCATTCGCATTCTACTAGGTACTGACGCAACCACTTGAGCATCTGCAGGAGCAGCAGCAGAAGCAGCAGCAGAAGCAGCAGCAGCAGTAGCCAATCCCGACTTACCATCTAGAGAGTTCTCATAGAATACTTCGCGCACCCACTGCTACAGCGATAATAGCAGGAGTTCAGGGTCAGCCTCATCCAGAGCGATTGCTTCGTATCATCACTAAACATAGGGCCGCCGACGCGCCGTTTGCCCTTGACCAGCAGACCACGTACCTTCGTCATGTGCCAAAGGCAGAAAATTGAAGGTTGCTGTCGTCTCGAGCGAGGGACGCTCATCACAACACTGCGCACTATGATCGGTGGTGTACAGCTTTAATCCACGCCCACTCGCGTCTCCGAAATGAGCAGTCCAGGTCCTCATAGTCCAGTCACGTCGCACCGATTCCAAGACAAGCCATGCCCAGAGACCCAGGGATGAGTGGAACGTGGATGGAACGGCCCGGATGATCCAGGTCCAATGTAGTGCTTTGTACGACTCGGACGCAGATGCCCAACCCTCGTCTTCGAACTGCCTCGACTCTTATGTGTTTATATTTTAAAAATAACCTGCGTATAGTCGTATCAGTTGGCGCATCTCAACATGCATGCATCCCGTTCAGAGAACCTCGCGCATCTCCCGTTGTTCTGCTCTTTCTGCCATGATCTGCTCCTTCTCCTCGCCCACCTTTCCCATGAACGGGAAGAGAAGCGCCGGATGGACCACGGTCAAAAGCATAGCGGCGAGAAGTATCATGGCGCCGTCCAGGATGAGAAATAGCGTCTCGTTCTGCATCAGCTCGTTCGCCCAGCCCATGGACATCTCGGGGATTCTACAAGCACCGACAACCGTCAGTTACAGTTCTTCGCACACGAGACGGGGAGCAACAGGCAAACAGACGTACCGATAAATGCAGCGGATAATGATGGCAACGTAGGCAGTTGTGAGCCCCGCGATGAAGACTTTGGCCATATGCTCTGCCCTATTCGCCGTCTCGTGCCCGCGTAGCACCGCCAACAGACTCCACTTCTTTGAGCTACCGCCGTGCCCTCCGGCATTGGTTTTCTGCTTCATTGCCCTCTTGCGTCGCCAGACGTAAACCAGCATGAGCGCGCCGCATAACACCATATTGGCCACCTGGAAGGACACCCCTGCCACCAGCATGGCCGAGCCCGCGTCGTACAAGCTCCGGCCATCTTCCATACCGTTCGCGATGGCCGAGATTCCGCCTCCCGCGCCCTGGATCACGATGGATATGAAGTCGGTTCCCACGAAGACCCAGGGGTAAAGCCCGGGTTTGATCAGCGACCATTCCGGCCCGTACCACAGGACCAGGTGCTTGAACGTGACGGAGATGGCCGCCGCCGTCAGCGTCGGGCCGAGCACGAGCATCATGCTGTTAATGACGAGCCCTTCGAAGGACCAAGGGTTAAAGGACATGTAGATGCGCGCCGCGTAACCCATCAGTTCGAACGCGGTCCCGGCCGCTAGCCACGCGACGAAGGCCCAGGCTCTGGAACGCCATCCGAGATACGCCTGCGCGATGAGGAGTGCCCCATAGATGCCGACGAAGAATGCGCAAGCCCCCAGGGTGAAGTAGTCCCCGTACGTGGTCGCCTCGATCGGACAGCGCGCGGAAACCCCGTCGCAGGTATCATACATCGGGTAGAAGAACTCCTCCCCAGGTTGGTCCATTTTCGTCGGTAGATTTTGACGCACGGCGATTCCTCGCAGGCGACAACACTCCTAGATGCGAGGAGACGTCTTGTCGACGTTGATGGTCGTATGAAGACCAATTTCAATTAACCACAAGCATGGCCTAGCCCTCACCAACAACGCGAGAATCACCCAAAGGAAACTGGAGTAAGGAGAACATGCGCGCAAATGAGGGAATTCAATCCCCCCTTCTTTCCTTCTTTCGGGGCCCAGCCAACGTCCGAACGCGAATACGACTCGGATAAAGTCCCAACAGGCAATGTGTTCTTCTTCATGCGGAGCATGGCATCCTTGGCCTTCCCTTCTAGTTTATCGTCCAATGGCAAGCTGCCATTTTCCCAGGAAAATCCTCGAGGCCGTCTTCGCTTGGAAGAAATGTCCCGGGTTTCCAGTGTGGCTTGGCAAGGGTCGTTCATCCGTAAAATGTCAAAAAAGGGAGGAAAAAAAATTGGAAGACACGACAACGTCAGTTCGAGGCTGTGCTCGCTGGAGGGAGGGCCGCGGGGAGGACCCGAAGCGGGACGACGCGAAGTTCCGCCACGGCCCGGCAGGCACAGGCATTCTGACGTCCCCTCGCTACCTGTAGCATTAACGTGTCTCAGATTCCAACCGTGTCAATATGTGAGACACGACGCCTATAGCCGCCGCTCAAAAATGTCCTGGCGCTTAACAACACCTTAAGCGGCTGTTCGATCGAACTGTATCGACGACCAGGTTCGACTCTCGCGCCATCTAAAAGCAAACATGACAAGGGACGGACATTAAGTCATGTCGTCTTTTGTAGACAGCAAGCAGGCCGTCCGCCATTGGACTCTCGCACGTCTCGGCCAGAGACGACAGGTCGCTCACACTCTCTGCAGCCCTGGCTGTGGCATTGCTGCATCGCCCAGCGGCTGATGCCCATCGTGATTGGCGACGCTGGCCCGTCACCGTGCCTCGACCCCTCCGAGGTTGTCACATACCCTTACAGTTTACTTACTTCGCCTGTTCCTTGTCTGGCCCCGGTCCTCGTCCTACATATCGCGAGACCCTCAAAATGTAGCTGGGCTGCCCACATGATGCCTTGTGCAACTTTGCTCTGTTGTTCCGTTTCGCTCTAGCTAAGACGTTGAGATGTGCCGTCGTCTGTGATACACGATTTTGTACTCTCGTCATGCTGTGCGCCCCGAGTCGGTCCCAATCAACAGAGTGTTCAACGTTGAAGGGTTCAGGGATAAGTGATAGCGACAATGAGCACCGCCCTGTTCGCCTGCTTTCTCTCGGTCAGTAAACGTGAAACTTCGCCGACGAGAACTTGGTATCACTAAAACCGTTATTAAAACAGATGGGGGTGGCATCAGGGGAATCTCGTCTATCGTTGTTCTTAGAGAGGTGATGAAGCATGTCAACGCTGGTCGGGGTCCCAAAGATGAGCTTCAGCCATGGCAGGTCTTCGATCTTATCGGGGGCACGAGTACAGGCGGGTAAGTAAAATTTCCCTTGTGTGCAGAGGGAAGACGGTTGTGAAATTGACGGCGAGAGATAGGATCATTGCCATCATGCTCGGGTGCCTGCAAATGACACTCGATGAATGTCACGACGCTTATATCAAACTGGCCGAGTCCATTTTTAAACCCAAGCGACACAAATACAACGTCATTGGTCGTACTAGGGACTTCGTCTCGGCTAATGAGAGATACGACTCGTCAAAGTTTGAGCAGATCGTCAAGAAAATCATTGAGAAACGGAAGGGTAGCGGAAACGCGCCTCTGCGAGATCCTCACCAAACCTCACCTTGTAAAGTGTCAGTTTTACCGCCTCCATCACTTCCAGTGCTCCCCTCTTGACTGACTGTTGCGTCTAGTTTCGTAACCACGGTTAACGCCGACAAGAGCAAGCTCGTCCTCCTAAGGTCATACGATAATAGGGAAGCCAATATAAGGGAAGCTGAAGACCAGAAGCCAGGCCGATTCGAGCTCTGGGAGGCCCTCCGCGCCACCTCTGCCGCAAGCACCTATTTCAAGGAGTACCGCCATCACGATAATGCAGGCTACCTCGATGGTGCGTTCAAGTGCAATAATCCCATCTTCGAGGTCTATCATGAGGCGAAGGACCTGTGGCCAAAACGCGATGTATTCCTCATCAGCATCGGGACCGGTACAAAGCCGTCCGAGCCGCTGGGGGGACACGTTGTAAAGCTTGCGCGCAGTCTGACGAAGCTCGTGACCGAGACGGAGGATACCTGGAGCGATTTCCATCGGACGTACAACAATTTGGTTTCCAGTGAAATGCTGTATAGGTTCAACGTTCCGGGGATCGGCGCCGTGAATATGGGGGACTATAAGCAGATCAAATACGTCGGGACGAGCACGGTCTCCTTCCTCCAGGGCGAGGCTCAGGAGGCCGTCAAGAAGTGCGCCGAAAAAGTGGTGAAGATCGAGACGACGGATTATGCCGCTCTGCGAAAGGCAGATCCATTGGTCCTCTCCGACGAAGAAAAAGGTGAGCCGTGTTCGACGTCGGTGAGATTGCTTCTGTTGCTTCTGGGTGCTAACAACTGTCCACCTTTACTGCAGCTTGCTTCAGGGCCCTCTACTGCGCAGCTGTGGACAACGAGTCGCAGAGGCTGGAAGTCGAGAAGGCCGTGCCGGGGACCTGCGAATGGTTCATCGAGCACCCCAAGTTCGCCGCCTGGCTCGCCGAGACGTCTGCTTCGATGCTTTGGGTGACTGCCAACCCGGGTTGTGGCAAATCCGTCCTTGCCCGGTTCCTGATCGATACGTTGAGTGGGGAGTATGGCGAGAATGGCCTCGTGTGCTCGTTTTTTTTCAAGGCCGGTGAAGATAGGCGTCATCAGGCGGATCAAGCGCTTTGCGCAATCCTCCACCAGGTCCTGACCTCGCATCCCGAGCTAGTCAAGCTCGCCATGGAAGACTTTTCTCGTAAAGATTCCCTGTCATTCACTAGCAGCATCAAAGGGATATGGAAACTGCTATGCGCGGTTTCGAAACGGCTTGGTCATCTGCAGATCATTTGTATTATCGATGCGCTTGATGAGTGCTCCGAGTCGACTCGAGATAAGTTCTGCGACGTACTGTCCTCCAACTTCCGCACGGAGAACGGCGAAGGCGAAGAGGCCCCGTCCAATCTAAAATTTCTCGTCACCTCTCGACCCTGGCCAAGTTTGGAAGCCCGTTTACGGCCACTGCGATCGATCCGACTCCGAGGTGAAGACGAGTCGGATGCCCTTGCGCGAGACATCGACAAGATGATAGAGTGCAAGGTGCGAGAACTTGAAGACGCCTCGGAATTGTCAGCGAAGGCAGCTCGTACCTTGAGAAGGGAACTTAGCAAGGGGGCCGACCAGACATTCCTCTGGGCTGCTTTGGTCCTTGATACTATTGCCCGCATGCCCTCGAGAAAACTAAGCTCCATCAATGAGACGCTAAACGGTATCCCGCTGAGCCTTGATCAGCTCTACGAGAGCGAGTTGGCTGGCTTCAAGAACCAGCCCGAGTCCATCAAGCTGCTCGAAACTCTGCTAGTGGCCAGGAGAGCACTGACCCTTGAGGAACTCAATATCGCACTGAACATCACGGGCTCGACGCGGTCAGTTCGAGACCTCCAACAAGACATGGAACCAAACATCGAATGGACCGTCAAACGACTCGGTGGGTTCTTCGTCCGCATAAGTAACGCAACAGTCTCCCTGGTGCACAAGACTGCTCGGGATTTCCTCTTGAAGATCTCAAGAATGAATGGTAGTCCAACCCCCTCTCTCGTCAGTGAAACAAGAGCCGAACTTCAATTGGCGACGTCTTGCATTCGCTTTCTCCTTCTCGGAGGGATCCATCTGAGAGAAGGGGGAGTCCCGCCAGTAGTGGGACAATGGGCTAAGTCAAACGAGGACTATCTTGGCGCAGCCCCCCAATGGCTGAGAGGATATCTCGAGTATGCCTTGACAAACTGGTTCCTCCATTGCGAGGAGTGCACATTCTCCGATATGTCCTCGGAACTTGCTGGGCTCGTCAACATACTCTGCGATCCTAAAAGGGAGCATTTCGCCAAATGGTGGCCATTCCAGGATAGAAGGATTTTTTCCTGTCGTGTTCCCCCCCATACAGAGTCGTTACTCCTTCACCCCGATCGGCACTATGCTCATCACGCCGCCATCAGGGGGAGATACGCTATCGTGTATGGCCTGGTCGAGTCCGGGTATTCCGACGTCGCTGATGAGAATGACGACGAGCTACCACTGTTTGCCCTAGCCGCAATCAACGGTACATCGACCCTGCTCAGGTGGATGCTGGGCCGTCCTTGTTGCGAAACGGAACTCATCGGCAGTGCACTTGTCACCTCGTTGGGCGCAAGAAATTGGGCTGCCATTCAGCTGCTGCTCTCTACCCGCATTGATGTGAACAGGAGGTACCGTGTGGGCAAAAAGAATCTGCCGACGAGTGAGGCAGCTCCAGCCGAGATGGTCATTCATTCTTATTTTGAATTCTGGGAGCACGATCCGGAGTGGGTGATACGCCCTGAAGAGGACGAGGGAAGTAGCACGGACTTGCGTCTCTTGCATATGCTCATCGATAAGGGGCTTGCCATTCGGGAAGAGCATATAGTCAGGGCCACTTCGCGGGGCCTAAAAGGGTGCCTGAAAGTGCTGTTGGATCGAGATACGAGACCGCTAGAGACGAGGCTCCCAAGCCTGAAAGCAGCTTACACAGAAGCAACGCTGAAAGGGTGGCCCACATGCCGGAGGCTCGTCCTAGAAAGTTCAGAGGGTAAGCTTGCGGACGATATCGACGCTTCGAGTGGATTGAATGCCGCCGCTGTTCGGTACGACGTCACGGCCGTTGAAGAAATCCTGCGTTTAGGAGCCCGCGACGACGGCGAGGCCTTATTCGCGGCCTCTAAATGGGGGGATGACATCTTGACTGAGATGCTTCTGAAGAGCCAGAACTATAACCAGTCTCAGCTCAATCACGCTCTATCGGTATTCTTCGACATGGCCAACGATAGCCACATAAGGAAGCACGTGGAGAAGGGAGGAATGAAAGCACTCGACGGCCAAGGTTGCCGGCTTTTCAAGGCATTTCCAATTATACCCACTTTCGGCGAGTCAGAATTCTCGAAGTACAAGGTGGTCGAAATGTTGACGGAAAGAGGAGCACGATCAGCGGGAACCGGGCTCATTCGAGCTTTGGTGACCGTCACCCCGATGGACGAGGAGTACGGATTGTACCTACTGGAAAATATGCACCGCCTGCAAGAAGAACCAGCACCTTTTCGGCGAGCGGATGTTCTCCTGTTGGCCTGTTTCTGGGGAAAGGAAACGATCGTCCGCACGATACTGGACGACGAACCGGATATCGAGGTCGCCAACAGCTTCGGTATCACACCTATCCTTGCGGCGACGGCGTCCGGTTATTCGCGAGTGGTCGAGATGCTGTTGAATCGAGGAGCGAGTGTGACAGTCAGGTCCCGTCCAACAAATCCCGGAGATATTGGACCTGGGACGACGTTAATCGACAGTGAGATGGCGATCTGGTGGCGTAAGATCGACTTGCTCCTCGGTGAAAGCGAGCTATGCCCTGTCACGTTGGCAAAGAAGATGGGGTATGAGGATATCGAGAAACTTCTCAGCTGTGAGACGGCGACTACGACTACGGACAATACGGTATGTTAGTTTATTAGGTCATGATTCCGAAGTACACTAGGGAGTTAGGTAAGCCTACCCAGAGGCAAGGTACAAGTCCGAGCTCGGAGTAACGGGGTGAGATTAATAATAACTCAAAAAGTTCCACAACCTTGGTGGCATGAACGAATGGCGTCATCCAAAATCCGTGACAAATCAAGCCAAGACCTTAAAGCTGCATGTTCGGAGTATTGTCCCGATCCGACTGTCTGTCTTGCGTGGATACTGGTAGTATTAATTAGTGGGCAGAGAAGAATCTGCACCATTCCTGCTGGTTCCCTCTACGGATAGGTACGTTGTAGCTCGAAAAGCGCATTAGGAAGCAGTTGACAACCCTCAAACGTGACTGGCGTCATTCATTATTCCGTGCCTTCAAATAGTATTCTTATAAATCCGTCACCCCGCACTTCAGCCCGCCCCTCATGTCAACCACTACCCTGCTATCACGTTCCCTTCGATCTCTTAGACCTGTTCAATCTCATCGATTTCTTCGACCTCTTCGACCTCTGCTTTCACGATCGTATCCAAGAGTACCCGCAAACTCTCCCATCACGTCGATTAAATATTTCCACTCCTCTTCTGCCAAGATGAGCGACGAGACGAAGCCGACCGGTCCCGAGGCCGTTGTTCCCGAGGCCACCGCTCCCGATGCCGCCGCTCTTGATGCCACCAACCCCGGTGCCGCCGCTTCTGATTCCGAAGAAGCTCCCGTTCACACCGTTCACAACATAAGCTCGTAAGTCCCGGCAGAAAAGTCCTCCGAGGGTCATTAAATGCAATGCTCAGAAAACCGCGTTGATCATTGGTCAACGGTCAACCCACTACCCCGCTGCCCGAGGAGCTGGAGCTAATGTGTACTCACAGGAAGGAGGAGTTTTACCAGGTGATCAAAGGCGAGGTTGTGACGCTCAGTGCAGGTGGCACCGTGCTCCCCTCCAAGAAGGTCGTTATCCTGGACAGCTTTGCCATCTGGTGCGGTCCTTGCAAGATGATTGCCCCGGTGTTTCAGGAGTACGTCGGCCTCTCCAGATCCTTACTCGGCACGACAATTCTGCCGATCCCTCCCCAAGCTGGCCCTAGAGTGAATAGGATGCTAATGTGCTCTTCCTCTCAACAGTATGGCGAAGGAGTTTACAAACGTCCATTTCATCAAGTTCGATGTCGACCAACTGCCCGATCTGGCCCAGGAGCTCGGCGTCGCTGCCATGCCGACCTTCTTCATCTTCAAAGATGGCCAGAAGGTTGACAAGATTCAAGGTGCTAATCCTCCTGCCATCAAGGCTGCCCTCGTGAAGTATTCCGCCGGTGCATAGGTTCTCGGCTGGCGTGGGGTCGGGTCATCTGAGTGCATTCGCAATCAGATTAGAAGTCAAGAAGGTGCTGAAATTAGCCGAATATGAATCCTAGAAGAATGTCTTCAGGTTGAAGGCTACAACTGTGGTTGTGGCTTGTGTAGGATGTACTGGTTCGACGTTTTTCGATCCCTCTGTAAACTGCTTCGGATCCAGCTGATTGTGTGCTGGACGTTCCATATGCTGCTCCATCGATATCGTTTTATGAGAGGACTCGCAGTTATGACCACGAATATTCCTACATTGCTGGGTTATTAGGCAGCAAGTGAAAATACGCAGCGTTGCTCCGGCAATGCTGGCTGCTTCAACCGGCAGGTAGGTTCTTGCCGGATAGGGGAGCGTGGTGTGTGAATAGGTAGGAAGGCACTGCAACTTCGAGTCTCAGGAGTGATTAAGATCCTGCCAGAGAAAGTTATCGGGTTGTCTATATATCTTTCTCTTCAAACACATTTCTGGAGTATCTATTTTGCTCGTTACTCAACTCATCTCCACTCGAGGCTATACATCATCATTGCATTATACCCATAATATTCGGACCTACCTCTTCACTGCGCGCGCACCATGGCATATCAAGCTGAACCAAAAACCATCAAAACGCGTATTCTCTGCCTTGCAGGCACCCATAACAAGGAACTACGGCACCTACCCCATGATGAAGTGGATTTAGTTCTGCACTGCGGCGATCTCACAAAGAATTCCAAGGTTGCAGAGTACCAAGAAGCCATCCAGCAGCTCGCGGCCATCAAAGCGCCCCTCAAGATTGTCATTCACGGGCCCAACGACATCACTCTTGATGAGAACACCTGGATAGGGTGCGGTGAGGCAATGAGACCCCGTGCTCCCGCCGCCGTCCGTCAGTTGGTGCAAAGGAAGCTAGAGCGCGAGCACGTTCTCCAAATGGTCAAAGCCGCTTCGGAAGATGGAATCAGGCTTATCACCACGAGAGGCACGCAGCAGATCCTTCTTCGAAACGGTGCTTTTCTCACATTGCATGCTCGTCCTTACAACCGCCCGTACGGTTGCTTCGCAGATCTCAAGTACGAACCGAGCCAGGTTTTCGATTTCGACATCGGACACGACGTCGATGTCGTCATGTCAAGCTACCCACCCCTGGGCGTTCTCGATGAAGGGCGCGACGGTGCGCTGGGGGGTTGCCCCAACCTCTTCAGCGCCATTGCACTCGGGAAACCCAAGGTGCACTGCTTCGGCCACGCCCACGGGCACTGGGGCGCGAAGATGGTCAAGTGGCAGGACGGCAGCACCTTCACCATGAAGGCCACGCACTTGACCGCCATCAACCACAGAGAGTCCTATCCCATCGAGCTGGCACAGCATTTCAAGATCGACAGGGCTGATTCTCGACTGGAAGCTCAGCGCAAGAAGGAACACAAGCGGCACTGCGAGGAGAAGGGATACGTCGAGACGCGGTATCCCGAGGGAGTCACGTCGCCTTTCCAAAGCCCGACGCGTACTCTTTTTGTCAACGCTACCGTTCGGGGAGACTCGGAGGACTCGGAGGAGAATTTTCCATGGCTCGTGGAGCTGGACCTTCCGTGCGTCGAACACAGGACACCTATTGATTACAGTTGGTTTGAGCGGGGGGACACGCCTGAGTCGTTCTATTAGGTGATTGGATTTCTTCTGTCGCGGTATCTGAGACCTAGGCGTTTTGGCGAGGGCCGTTGTGTTTGTTAAGAACCGGCATGGGAGGGCTCGGGGGCATTTTCTCGGGGTCTCATCTAGATATGAATGAAGTTAATATTGAGACTCTTCATTTGTGCGACATAAGGGTGGTGATACGGTAGGTAGATCGATCTGCAACGGGCCCAGGGGCATCGGCATGAGCCCCCCTATCATGATATTCGGCGTGACGAAGAGGAAGCTTATCAGCCAGCCACGTTATACGTAACCCCGCATGCTCACGAATCCCTGCCGATGTCCGGTCACGGCGGCAGAATGAGACCACTCTCACTGTCGACATGTACACCGATGGACTGACCGGACACTCCTGTTGTTGTCCTTACCAGATACTTGGGAAATAATTGTTGTTAATCGGCACGGGGTAACGGGTTAGGTAAGGTAGGCGGTTATTGACGGAATTGACTAGCCCGTCCCCGCGTTATCGCCGACCTTCCTAGGTACCTTAGGTACCTAGGTCCGCCTTGTACTACGCTGTACCACTCGTATCTTCACTTCTCCTCTGAGACTAAGGTACAGGTAGACTCATATCCAAACAATAGAGCGACGTTTTAAAGGCCGTATCTACAAAAGATGACGAAAAATATTGTGGTTGTTGGGTGAGGTGTCACTCCAAAAGATCGAAATCGCATTATTCCAGCGAGCGGTGTACTGACATGGTAGCAGAGCCGGGGTGATAGGCTTGACCTCCGCCCTCTTGCTCGCTGAGGACCCGGCCAATTCGGTGACAATCGTTTCCAAGCACATGCCTGGAGACTATGACATCGAATATACATCTCCCTGGGCTGGTGCCAATTTCATGCCGTAAGTGGCAGCCTGAGAGAACTCCGTTTATCAAGGGGTGCTGGCTATGAGGAAGGTGGTTCACATGGCTCACCCACTTTGGCAGCATGTCATTCGAGGAAAACAGCAGGTGGGAACGGAGGACATGGCCGGTGCTAAAGAAACTGGCCGAGGAAGTGCCTGAAGCTGGCATCCATTTTCAAAGTGAGTCAATTGGGCCTATCTCATCAAATCCATACCCTGCGACTCTCACCTCTCCTTGCAGCCACGCTCACCAAAAGACAAAACAGGAGTCCAAGTCTACCGCCGCGATAAGGACATAATCACAGGAGCCGCCAGCTTCGACGGGCTCTTCGTCTCGAACCCATGGTTCGGCACCCTCTTCGACGACTACCGCGAGCTTCCACCCGACGAGCTCCCCCCGACCGCCTCGTCGGGCTGCGAATGGACCTCGGTCTGCATCAACACGGCCATCTACCTCCCCTGGCTCGTAGGCCGGTGCCGCCGCCACGGCGTCGTCTTGAAGCGCGCGGTGCTCTCGCACATCCGCGAAGCCAAGGAGCTGCACCACACCGGCCGCCCGGCCGATGTCATCGTCAACGCGACGGGTCTGCTGGCGTCCCGGCTCGGCGGGGTGGAAGACCAGAGTGTGGTTCCGGCTCGGGGCCAGATCGTGGTGGTGCGCAACGAGGTGTTGCCCATGGCGACCATCAGCGGCACTGAGGACGGGGAGAAGGAGGTTTGCTACATGATGACTCGGGCGGCGGGTGGAGGGACGGTCCTGGGAGGCACGTACGACGTTGGGAACTGGGATGCCAACCCGGATCCGAACATCGCGGTGCGAATCATGAAGCGGTGTATCGAACTGAATCCGAGCCTAACGGGGGGGAAGGGCATCGAGGCTTTGGATATCATCCGGCATGGGGTCGGGCTGAGGCCTTACAGGAAGGGAGGCGTCCGCATTGAGGCGGACAGGAGCATCTTGGAGGATGGCACGCCGGTGGTGCATAATTACGGACATGCTGGCTGGGGTTTCCAAGGCTCATTTGGCTGTGCTGAGAAGGTCGTAGAGTTGGTCCAAGCGATCCAGACGCAAGAGAAGGCGAAGTTGTAGTGGAGGTGAGGCGGACAGGATATCCAGGCGACATATACAGATTCATGACCTTTCTCATATACTAGGCAGTTATTACATTGAATAGAACTTTTGCATTACGTTACCCATTCAGGATCTTGATAAGTCCAAGGTGAAGACCACTGAAGGAGGCAGACATTCACCGAACATTGCTGATCCTCACCGAGAACATTGAACACTGTGAGAGTCTTCAAAACATGGGGAATAAGCACAGTGTTAATACTGTGGAAGCTCCAAGAATTCAAGGGTCCACCAGTACCAACGTCCCCCAATTCCACTTCGTGTGACAAGAGCTATCCCAAGACCCTTCTTCCTTGTTGCCTTTCAAAGTCTCTAACAACCACGCGCACTTTCGGTGTGCGATCTCTATATATATGTAGGTTGCAACAATGGCCGACGATCAGCAGCCTTCAATCCCGGCGCAGGTAGCAACACTGGTCCTCAACATCGCCAATGGCCGACACAAGCTCTCCAAGGCCATCCCGGTGGTCCTTTTCGTCCTCGATGCGCTTCTTTGTGCAGCCATTATCTTGAAAGTGCCTTGTGAGATACAACCTTCCCTGCGTGATCCCAACCTTTTCGTATCAATTTATCTTTACGGAGCCCTTGCTAAGCTCAAAACATCGTCCACAGACACCGAGATCGACTGGGTCGCATACATGGAACAAGTCTCCCAAATCGTTGCCGGCGAACGCAATTACAGTAACATCTGGGGCAGCACCGGTCCTCTCGTCTACCCAGCCGGACATGTCTACGTTTATACCGGGCTCTACTACCTCACCAACGAGGGGAAGAATATTCTTTTGGCACAATGGTTATTTGCAGGGCTCTATCTGGCGACTCTGGCCGCTGTCATGGCATGCTACTGGCAAGCAAAGGCAAGCTAACTGTCCCCGTCTCCCCTCTTTTCTCCCAAAGGACCCTCATTTGCTAACTTGGGAGCGCCTTTTTCTTCACGCCAGGTGCCCCCCTACATGTTCCCTCTCCTGATACTTTCCAAGCGACTTCACAGCATCTACGTTCTCCGCTGCTTCAACGACGGCGTTGCCGCCCTTTTCATGTGGCTCGCCATCTTCTTCCTCCAGCGCCGCAACTGGGTCATGGGTTCCATTTTCTACAGCCTCGGCGTCAGCGTCAAGATGACCCTGCTACTCTCCCTGCCCGCCGTCGCCGTGACCCTCTTCCTCGGCCGGGGTCTCTGGGGCAGCCTGCGCCTCGCTTGGATCATGGCCCAAGTACAGGTCGTGATCGGCATACGCTTCTGGCCCGTCAACCTCCGAGGCTACGTCGGGCGCGCCTTCGAGCTGTCGCGCAAGTTCCTCTTCCGGTGGACGGTCAACTGGCGGTTCGTCGGCGAGGCGACCTTCTCGAGCCAAAACTTCTCGCTCGCATTGCTGGGAGGCCACGTGGCCGTCCTGTGGCTCTTTATCGTCACGCGGTGGCTCCGGCCGGCGCAGCGGCCCCTCTCCGCCATGATCCCGTCTTTCCTCCAGGCCAAGTCGCCCTTCACGCCCGTCGAGGAGGCCCAGGTGTCCGGCTACGTCACGGCTAAGTACATCACCACCACCGTCCTGTCCGCCAACGTCATCGGCCTCCTCTTCGCCCGCTCCCTCCACTACCAGTTCTACGCCTACCTCGCCTGGTCGACCCCGTACCTGCTCTGGCGCAGCGGCATCCCCTTCCCGCTCGTCTACCTCCTCTGCGGCGTGCAGGAGTGGGCCTGGAACGTGTACCCCAGCACCGAGGCCAGCTCGGCCGTCGTGGTCGCCATGCTGGCCATCACGGTGGCGGCCGTCTGGTTCGGCACGGCGAACGATGCGCTCGAGATTGCGCCGCTCCCCAGGCCTTCTTCTTTGAAGGTCAGGCCCGAGAAGAAGGAGCGGTGAGAATTCGTGCGGCGGCCGTTGGCGTTTGTCGATATATATTTGCACACGTTACTGCTCGTCTTCCGAGTCTGAAGGGGGCAATTTCCCGACGGTAGAGTCCTCGTCATCCTCATCGTCCAGTCCGCTATTTTTGACGAACTCTTTGGGCCTGGAAAGATGAGGAGGGGGGAAAAAAAGAGGAAGCCATGTCAGAAACTAGATGATCGCAGCGTTTTCTTTTTCGGGGGGTAAGGGGTAAGGAGCGATATCAAGGCGCAAGCGCACTGCAGGATCATATGATTTTGCGACAAGGGGGAGACTCACCAATACGGCTGCTTGCGCCAGGTCTTCTCGTCCCCAACCACGTTGACGATCTCACCTACGAGGCGACTGGTTTGTTGCTCTTCGGGAAAACGCTCGGTGAGCACGTAACCACCGCGCTTGACCCATACCGTGTTGCGGAAGCGCTGGGCCAACTCGACCAGGATCTCCTTTTTGTTCGGCAGTTGGCACGTGTAGAGGTTGTTACCCTCAGCCTTGACCACGCGAGCGAGGGCCTGGTTTGGCTGCAAGGCGTCCGGGGGCGTGGTCGACTCCTGGGCCGCAGCAAGGATGTTCCGCTTGGCTCGCGCCATTTCACGAGATTCGTTTGTGAGATGAGAGAATCTAGAGAGGAGAGATAGGAGACAATTTTAAGTGGCCGAAATTTCCCAATTGATTCTCAAAATGAAAATCCAATTCCTAGGGGTGATGTGATTTATATCAGTCTTTTCTTTTCTGGGCGCGTAACTGATTAAAAAAGTGTTTCTGCGGTGGGTTCATTTCCGGCGTCAATTGGGTTACACTATATTAGTAAGCACCTTAAAGAAGACATTGCTTTGCCCTTTATGAGTGACAGTGGTCAAGATCTGTATGAAAGCAGTCTCATGAGCCCGATCACTTTAACCCTCAAACAATTACATTTAGCCCGGTCTTTCTGGGATAAGGTTGTAATTGAGACCCTAGTTGATTCTCTCTCCATCGGCAGATGAGGACCCTACAAATCTGTCACCATTTCTCTCTTGAATGAAATATACACGTACATACACTAGAAATACTTCGCGAACGATTCAGTGGTGATCTATTTTCCAGTCATCATGGGAAGAAACCCAATTTGGTTTCATGAAACCCCCATATATGCCCGTGCCTTATTTACTAAGGTAGAAGGTCAAATCTATGCCTCGTCTATATCGAGCAAATCGCACCTTTCCTAGTCTAATGTCGTTAATCCCCTTCCTGGTCTTCCCTTTCCTATCTGCGCAGAATGAAACGGAAAAACACCCATGCAGCATTACTCGTGAATGCGCCCCAGCGCAGCGTCCTTGGCAGTCAGCTTCCCTTCGTGAATCTCCCTGACGGTCTCATGGATAGTCGTAAAGTCCTGGAAAGTGACGAAGGGAACCTTTTCCATCTCACAATAGGTAACTAGGTCTGAGAGAAGAAAGCACAACACGTCAGCCTCAAGAGATACCTTGGAAATAACTCGATGGAGAAATGGTGAGATCAGAGAAGAAAAAAGAAAAAAACAAAAAAGGAACACACCTTTCCCCGCCTTGGCAAAGAGAAGATCCGTCTCCTTGGCCGCAGACAAGTCGGACACGCCATCACCGGCATAGAGCATGACGGGCCGGTCGGGCAGGGAGGAGTACTTCCGGATCTCGATGCTCTTATCGTGACCATGGATGCTGTCGTCGTGGAAGCGGATCTGCCAGCCGCCCTCGTCGTTGATGGACTTGCCCTCGCGCGGGGCGACGTCGTTGCTGACGACCTGGATGTGCCGGGCCTCGTCGCCGAGCCACATCTCGAGCAGGGAGCGGATGACGGGCTGCATGCCGCCGGAGAGCACGACGATGGGCACGTTGTTGGCGCGGCACCAGTCGAAGAAGGCGCGGAAGCCCGGGTCCAGCTTGATGGTGGCGCGCAGCGTGGCGATGCACTGGTCGAAGGGGAGCTTGATCGAGTCCATCATCTCCTGGAAGGAGTCGCGGAAGGGCCGGCCGCGGAGGAGCACGTCTTGGTTGCCCTGGCGCCGGAGGGCGAGGCCGAAGCCTAGGTTGTCGGTCATGTAGTCATTGGAGTCGTGGGTGGTGACGGTGCCGTCGAAATCGGTGAAGAAGATAAGGCGCGGGTTTGTCGCCAAGGCTGGTGTGTCGGAGGAAGTGACGGAGCCCATGGTGGTCGATAGGAGGGGTTAATGGTCAAAGTAGAGAGAGAGCAAGAGGGAGGAGAGGTCGGATTACAGAAAAATGAAGGATGACAGAAGTAGGGTGCTTCTCTCGGGTTATAGGTATTCGAGATGTTAAAAAAAAAAAAAAAAAAAAAGACAAGATTGGAACCGTCTCCCCGGCTATTATTTAAGGACTAATCTAGGGTGGCGGGAGATATTCAACCAATTTAAAGAAGATGGAACAGAACGACAAGCAGAACGACAAACAGGAAGAAAAAAAAAAAAAAAAGGCGAGAGATCGACACCAACTAATCCACAGCCATCTCCCAAGACAAGTCATGTCCGTGTCCTGTATTCAAGGATTAAAACATTCAACTTGTTGGTCTCGGGGGAATTCAAATGTTGGCTGCCCCTCCTTCTTCCCCCCTCCATCTCGCATCAAATTCGTTAAAACCCCGCTGCGTAATTGCCAATTGCCCCTCCATCCTAAGAGAAGTGGGCTGCCGCCAAGACCCTTCGCTATGCGACATGGCTTCAGGGACCACAGTGCTGTTGAAACGCTGAAGATCTGTCTCTGGATTTGGGATTTGGGGTCTGAGCAGGCTGAGAAACGCCCAGCCATACTTAAGGTACCTAATTAGCCAACGCACACCTTAATGCAGGACCCCTCTCCAATGGCCCCACGTCATTCATGTACGTGTATGTAATTATGTACTCAGTACAGTACCTTACGAATCAAGATTTACACAGGGTACGTACCTCTCACAAGTGCGTCGCAGATTGGAAGGCGGTGAAGAAAGGTACGAAGTATATCCCCGGCGTCCCGGAAGCCGTGAAAATCCCACCTCCACGTTCCGTCCTCTCAACGGCCTCGTACCGAGGACCATCCTCCAGTCCTTTCCGACTCCTCGGTCCTCCACTCATCCCACCGTTGTCTGTCGATTCGTTTTCAACCACTCCCTTCTCGGCACAGACCCGAGCTCGAATTGGCTTGAGGACAATCTGGACTCGAGGGGTCGTGGATAGAGATAGAGTAGACATGCAACCATTGACGCTGATGCGGCCGGCGTCATGGCGCCTCGTCTCCCGCCAATTGCTCTATCCGCTTTCTGATCCTCCAATACGGACGTTGAGCACCACATCACTTGCTCCGTCACACTCTCAGCTCTTTGCAGATCTTCGGTCGAACTCCCGGCGGCTATACTCTTCCTTCCAACCGCCCCGAGCGCCAGACTCCGAGTCGAAACCCCAATCGCCTTCTCCTTCTCCCGATCCCACTCCATCGTCCACGAACGACAGCTCCTCTCCAGTCTCGTCTGCCGAATCAAATCAATCAAAATCAGGAGCTTCGTCCTCTCAGTCCTCCGAGAACCATGCCGACTACCGTTCTTCTTCCGACAGCTCACACCCGTCCTCGTCCTCGTCGTCCACATTCTCGAAATCCTTCTCCTCGGCATCGAACCTGTTCACAAACTCCATCCCCCGCGTCATCGACAACCTCCAAGCCCGCCTCCTCACCGCCTCCCAAACTCTCAACGACCTAACGGGCTACACCGCCATCGAGTCGATCAAATCCCAAAACACCGCCCTCGAGGCCTCCCTGTCCGAGGCCCACGCGCGCCTCCGCGCCGCCCGCAACGCCTTCAAGTCCGCCACCTCCACCCGCGCCGCCACCCAGCGCGAGACCACCACCCTCCTCGCCCGCAAGGAGTCCTGGGCCCCGCAGGACCTCGAGCGCTTCACCGACCTCTACCGCCGCGACCACGAGCTCGAGCGCGAGGTCGCCCGCGCCAGCGAGACCCTCAGCGACGCCGAGGCCGACGAGCAGCGCCTCAGCCAGGCCCTCGTCTCCGGCATGCTCCGCCGCTACCACGAGGAGCAGATCTGGAGCGACCGCATCCGCCGCGCCAGCACCTGGGGCACCTGGGGCCTCATGGGCCTCAACGTCGTCATGTTCGTCCTGCTGCAGTTCGTCGCCGAGCCCTGGCGCCGGGAGAGGCTCGTCCGCGCCGTCGTCGAGGAGGAGAAGGACGTCCTCACGAGCGTGAGGGAGGAGCTGGAGGCTGTTAGGAGCGCCCTGGCCGCGAGGGGCGGCGCCGGAGAGGGCGAGACTGCTGCTGCAGTCGCCGTTTCTTCGGAAGATGCCACTGCGTCTGTTGATGATGGTGTGGAGGTCGCCATGGCCGCCTCGGAGCCACCGGCAGTGTCCCCCGCGGTGGCAGCAACGGAGGCGACCCCTCCTCCGTCACCAGCAGCCATAACCTGGGAAGAACTGCTCTCGGATCCGACCTTGTTGAAGGTCAGGATCGCCGACTTGTACAGTGACCGCAGGATTGACCTCCGCATGAGGGATGCGTCTCTACTGGCTCTCCAGGGCGCCGTAGCGGGCGCTACCATCGTCGGAGGGGCCGCTTTTTTGCTTCTGAGATCAGCGTAGAACTTCTCTCTCCCTGCACATACCTACATCCGGCCTCTCCCGCCTTGGAATACCGTAATGATCCACAGTCCATCTTCACTGTACAATAATGCTACCACCTGGAAGACAATAGACACAAACGTTATGGTTTCGTCCCGTGTCACCATAGCCGCCATGGAAAAGAAATGACAACTCATCTATGTGTGTTCTTTTGCTCGCTATGGAAGGAATTTTTTGTATCCGGTATCATAGCATACGTTTTCGCCCAAACACATCACATCATTTGCTTTTTCTCCTTGGTACACTGCTTCGTACAATGCTTTGGTATGTCGACAAAGTATATTCCCATTGCCCAGGCATGCATGTCGTCGAAGGGTGCCCAATATCCACCCCAGTCTTTTCCTCCTCTCCTAACTCAAGCTGTGTACGGAGAGAAGTCGCTGTCCAAGAATTAACTCTTTCGTTCTTCATCTCAGTCATCGCCTCGTCCTAACATCATCAGTCGCTCTCGACTCATTCATCTCGCGTAGCCAAATTAACCAAACCCATCACTTTTAAAGGCCCAAGGATTAAGCTGCTTCACTGGAAGCTTGCGTGATATGCAGTTAACCATTCTTCTCGCCTTATGTCCAGTATGTCCAGGAGAGTCAAACACTCAACCAACGGTGTCGTCCAGTTGACTGGCTGCCTTTATTCAAAGTCGGCAGTATAAGAGAATCCACGGAATTCTTCTTGCATGGATTGCGTGAGAACTACCACAACTGTCAGTAACTTGTCCACCGTTTGGGGGAGGGAGTTGGATAGTATCGTCTTCTGAGACTAGACAAGATATGGGATGGAGTATGTATATATATAATCAAGAAAGAAAAGGAGAGACAGAGACACATACCAGACTGGACTGGAGTCAGAACGGGAGGTACACTAGTAAATTCGGAATCGAAATTGCTCGTGTCGGTGGCGGTTTTGATGGTCGGAATGAAGGGAGGCTGCACGCGCTTATGGAAGATATCGTCCCAGTTGATGTTGCGGAAGAAAGGCTGGCTCATGATCTCCTGCGCGTCGGTCGGTCCGCTGCCCAACCGCTGGTCGGGTTCCCGAGTGAGCAGCTTCTGCAAGATGGAGACGCTGTCCCTGGGCATGTGGATCGGGTATAACGGCTCGTCCGCGAGAATGGAATCGTAAATCTCGTCCTCGTCTTCGCCACGGAATGGCGATTGCTGGAGAAGCATCTGGTAAATCAAGACGCCAAACGCCCACCAGTCGACTGCTCGTCCGTATTTCTTTTCTAGAAGAATCTGTTGGTCCAGGGTTAGTATCTGGAGTAGGAGGGTTGAAAGGTCGTTGCCATCGGGTTTCCTACCTCAGGCGCCATAAACTCGGGTGTACCGCAAAAAGTGCTGGTGGCCGACCCAAACCACATATCCTCCTTGCACAGACCGTAATCGCCAATCTTGATGTGACCATCCAGAGACAACAAGATGTTGTCGAGCTTCAGATCACGGTAGATCACGCCATTCTCGTGGAAATACTTCAAGGCCAAGCAAACTTCGGCTGCGTAAAATCTAGAAATGGGTGTGTCAGATCATTGCGGTTTACTTGGTAGAACCAACAGTCTCCTGAAGTAGAGAAACAACTTACTGGGCACGCTTCGTCCCGAACTGCCCTCGCTGAATATGAAGCATAAGATCACCACCACTGACGTACTCCATGACGAAGTAGACCCTGGTTTCGGTCTGGAAGCACGCATGGAGGTTCGTCAGAAACGGATGCCGTTCACGGTTGGCGATGAGGAACACGCGCTTCTCGGAACGGATACTTTCCACCTCGTCGTGCTCAATGATAAACTCCTTCTTGAGCACCTTGATGGCATATAGTCTCTTGGTTCGCTTCGTTTCCGCCAGCATGACCTTGCCAAAGTTGCCTTTACCCAGCACGGCCAGGAAGTTGAAGTGATCCAGACCGATACGCTGGCCAGTCCCAGGATCCGTCGCCGAGGGTAGCGGCTTACGTCCTCCGCTGACAGCGGACGAGGACGGTGAAAGAGTGACGGGTTCCGTCATGGGCGTCTTTCCAACTGACGCCACTTGTTGCTGATACATCGGCGACTGCTGATGTTGCTGCGGTACTCCTTGATGGTGCTGATGATGATAAAGCTGCTGTTGCGGCTGCGCCTGCTGCTGCTGCTGCTGCTGCTGCTGCTGCTGCTGTTGAACGGGGCGGCCCGCTCCCTGAGACTGGCCGGGGTAGGCATTGACGTTGGCGTAGTCGGCCGGGTTATACTTGCGTTGCTGCGAAGCGTATGGGCCATAGGAGTCATCTTGGGGCTGCTGCTCGGGCAGGGCGGCGTAGGCACTTCCGAATCGTGCGTAGTCGGGCGACTGTCGTCCCTGCCGCGCAGAAGTGGGCGTCCCGCTCATCGCGGCGGATGCTGCAGCGGCAGCAGCGGCCGAACTGGTTGACGTGCGGTCGGTTTGCTGAGATGGCCTCTGAGACAACGCCTGCTGCTGTTGTTGTTGTTGCTGTTGTTGTTGATACATAAGCTTGGCCGCCTCGGTCGCCTCGACAGATGATCCGGTTGTGTACGATGGCCCAGTCGATCCGGCCAAGGTGCTCGAGCTCATACTACTAGTCGGGCTCGCCGATGCCTGATTGCGAAGTGTCCGCTCGCTCAATGACGTGGCCTTTTGCTTGTTGATCTGTTTCGTCGTGCGAATGCCTTCGAGAATCTTGTTGGCGACAGCCATGGACATGCCGCAGAAGTCTGGTACGAGGTGCACGCAATGTGCGTGAGCGGTGAGACCGCATTCTAAGAGGAGGCCAGGTCAGTCAATATGCCGAGGGTGCAACGGGCGCGAGGGAACCAAAGCATTAACGAAGGGATGTGGACGTTACCTGAGCATTTCCGGCAGTTCTTCTTCCCGAAGGGCAGGATGTAGCCACAGTGACAGCACCAGTTGGCCGTCATGTTGGGATACGCCTGGAAACGGTGAGGAATGCGGTGGTTGATCTTCTCCTCGTCGGGGTCCGTTTCGGCATTGCTCTTGCTGATACACTTGGTGACGACGCTGGTGTAGCACTTTGTATGGCAGGTGTACTTGCAGTCCTCACACTGCATGCCGGCAGAATACTTGAGGAAGTCGCCGCAAAGCGCGCAGCGCATGATGTTGTAAAACTGATGCTGCACAAACTTGTGCCCGTACATCTCATGAACCTCTTCCTTGCGCTGGCGGATAGCGCCCTTCCGGCCCAGGCCGAGATCAACGGGACCCCGTTCCTTGTTTTGCTTCACAAAGCCGAGGGTGAGGCGGATCTGACCGGCGGGCTCCAAGTTGAACCAGCCATCAATGGGCTGGACGACGACCTGGGGTACGGCGGCGGCCTGGGAAGGCATACTGCTACCGAACTGGCCACCCACGGCCCCTGGCGAGGACGGCGGCGGGCCAAAGGACGTCTGTTGCTGCGGGCTCATGGGGTATTGGTTCGGCGGGGCGCCCATTCTGTCGGCGGACACCCACCCGGAGCTGTTGATCTCGGCCTCGATCCTCTTCCTCCTCATCTCCTCGGCGATGTCGGATATTCTGACCCATAGCATGGCGATGGGAATGGCGTGCTCGCCGGACTTGTCATAGACAGTGAGCTCGATCTCGTTCGCTTTGTCGACGTCGAGCTGGAACTGCTCAGCCTCCCACCGGTCGTTTCGCGAGGTTCGGGTGCGGGCAACGACATTGTCCTCGACCTTAATGGCAACAAAGGTTTCGGGGCCGCGGCTGAATCGTCCGGTAGAGGCGTGGTCGACATCCTTGATGCTGGAAACACGAATGGTCAACTGACCAGTGAGGGGCTTGCGCAGGTTGGGCATGTTGATTGAGTCATCTGTGAACACGAGCACTTCTTAGACAACGTTGACTTTGGAAAGGCGATGAAGAAAAAAGGGGGGGGCTCGCTAGATCTCCGAAGACTCAACTCACCGTCTGTGCCATCGGATTCAAAAACGTCGGCAATGTGTAGCTCTTCGTACCGCTTCAAGGCCTGCTTGAGCAGCAGAATCTTTTGCTTGCTCTCCACCCTACGAGCAGCGGCATCGGCTTTGCTCTTCCTATCGCCCTCCATGCTATAGAGCTGAACCATCTTCTCAACACCTTTCAAATACTGTTCCTCTACCTTGAGCTTGAACTGAATCTGGGAAAGCATGAGCTGGATACGCGGACCGAGGTAGGGGGTATCATATTTGATCAGATCTGGCGAGGAGACGAAGGCATGCTGGTCAGCAGTGGATCTCACCCGAAGAAGGCACGAACAACAGGGGAGACAAGCCAGTAGAGCGTCGTTACGAACCTAGTTTGGTGTAGTTCGGACGGGCCTTGGGGACCCCGGCGCCCGGGCCGAGAGGGGCATAGGGGTGGCGGGGGGGCATCAAGTCGCCATGCTGGCCGATCTGACTGTATTGGGCAGAGCCGTAAGAGGCCGTACTGCCGGAACCGGCCGCCGAGGCGCCCCAGGCGGCGGAATCTTTAGGCGGTGGGGGAGGAGGGCCCGAGCCACCATCGCCGGGGCTGTCGGCGCTGACTCGGCCAGTTGAGCCCGCGAGGGACAAGTTGTCCATACCCGTACTGACGCGTCGCATCTGGAGCTCGCGAAGCTTCTCTTCGAAGAACTGAAGGTTACGGCGGCCATCGCGGATCTGAGAATTGAGACGGGAGCGGACCGAGTCGTTGTCGGTTTGAGCCAGCATGGCATTGGCGGCATTCATTAGCGCCTTCTCCCGCTCAATCTTCTTGAAGATACTCTGAATAGGGTCTTCGTCGCTCATGTTGGGCAGGTGTGGTGCGCGACTCCACGCGCGGGGCCCAGGCAAAGGTGAGGGTACCGGTAGGAGAGTTGAACGGAAGGTTGCGGTACCGTCACGGAAAGACGGTATTATTGGTGCTTATCTAGGGAATAATGTTGTTCGAGATACTGGCCATGGGACTGCAAATCTCGAAGCAAGGGCGGTAAGAGGACTTGGATCCGATAGCTGGCTACCTAAGGTAGGAAGGAGCGATAAGTCGAAAGCCACGCAGCGCAGCAGGGATAAAATATGCCCCTCAAGGACGCCGTCAAGTTTGGTTTTCAGGGGCTAACGTAGGGAAGACGCGGGTTCCTGGTGACTGCGGAGGCGGTGACGGTGACGGTAATGAAGGCGCAAGAATGTGTGATATCTCCTGGTGTGGGCGTGACAGGACGTGTGTGGGTAAGGAAGGGTTCGGCACAAACATAAGAAGTCGATTGCGAGCAAACGAGCGAGGGTCGGAAATCATCCCCCAACTGGAAGGAAATACTAGGCACGCGGGGCCCCTGCTCCGCCTGCAACACACGGCAGTTTGTTATGAATGTCGACAGCCAGAGTGGACATGAACTGAATGAAGATGGTTGTCTATTGTGTGCGTGTGTGCGTGTTGTGCGTAGGTGCGTGGGTGCGTCGTTGGGGGGGTTGTGGGTGGGTGGATGTTTGTGCCGGGGAGAGGAGGAGGAGGTTGGATAAGAACGTTAATAATTTGGCGGCAGTACGAATACTGAATAGAAGGTCATCGACGACCGGGAAGATACTGACGCATTCCAGAGAAAGCGGGGCGGGGGGCTTTGCGATGGAGGGGAGGGGCCGGAGACCGGAGTACCTTGCAGTATCTTCAATGCAAAACCGTTACCGGGGCTGGTGACGAGTACACGTAGGTACCTCACGAATGAGGGGAGGATTGAGGCAGCAAGTATTGTTGCCCTCCGTACCCAGTTATACACGTAATAAAAGAGTTGAAAAGTCCTAGATATAATATGTCTAGCCAACTCCGTCTAGGACTTGGTACTTTTACTTTTTTGATGGGTCATGACTTAAAACCAGGCCGGGTAAACTCTGGGTACCTGAGTATTCCACAGCCCCTGTACCTTCGTTGCCTTGCTTGCTCAGATGCCTACCGAGTCCTTCCGTGCAGGCAAACACCTGCCTTCCATTTAGTCCTGACTGGTGGTAGGTCGAACTTGTATTGTGTGGATCCAACCTCACTCGTACGAAGGACTTCGTAGAGGCAGAAAGGCATCATCCCTATATCCCGTCGTCGCCTTACACCGGCAATACCCAGCATTGATGTCAGACTGGAAAAGCTTATCTTTCTAGCTCTCCTGCGGCATCTTCCCAGACGCTCGTAATCTGTTTCCTACTCTCCTTGATAGTCAAGAGCCGTATGGCGGAAGAAGAAAAAAAGGGGCTCCAAAGCGGTTTGGCCGTCTGCCATGACTTACACAGTCAAGTCCTCGGCCACCCTCCGTGACTTGCCGCATGGTAAAAGCCAGGACTATGAAAACCACATCTTATTTATTATGTCATTCCGTAATAAGAGTACGGAGGATCTCACTTCAACTCATGCAGACGGTCTTTTTTATGCAAACTCCACTCTCGAAAGCCACATCTTATCGACTCGCAACCTTACGGTAGTAATCATCATTGATCTCTAACTAGCTTGATATAGCACATTCGCCAAGACGATACGTTCTCTGTAATGCAGGTCGGTCTTAGAGGTGGCGTGTGGGCGTTTAGACCGTGTCTCGAACAGTTACAAATAAGTGCGGATTAGAGCGACTTAATAAACCGAGTAAAAGTGTCTAGCTCTGAGCACGTACTCTGAGCATATGGGCCTAAGGTATTGACAAGAAAGGTGCATTGTGATCTCGTGTGAATACAGGACTTGTGGCATCATGGCGCTATAGGAGATAATACTTGAAGCGCTATCTTTCCTCGAACGTGAAAGACATGGATTCCTATTGCACTCGTAGATATTTCTACTTCTGAAACTTCTACGACGTCGGTTCGACCTACACCATTTACTTTGTTCGAAGCCAATGGTCAACAAACTGGGACTTGAAACTTCACGGGATATAGACGCTGCATAGAACCCTATTCTGGGCAGAGGACGAATGTGCCGTAAACTTCCAGGTAGTAGCCAAACTTCTATTTATCGTTCATAGACCGTTACTTTAACGAGGCGGAGTTTCCAACCTTTACCATGCAAACAACTTCAAAAAAAACACATCATAAAGTACAGCATGGCACGCTGCAAACCGAGCCCCCTCTTCAAATCCCGATCCAGTTCCCCTGTGCCAGCGTAGGGCGGGGGTATTGCCGCATCCGCACCTCGTCTAGAGCGAACCCCTCACGTAGTGTACTCCTTCTGCAACAGTTTCGCGATGGTGTTGAGCTGAATGTTGCTCGTGCCCTCGTAGATGGCCCCGATCTTGCTGTCCCGCCAGAACTTCTCTGCCGGGCCGTCCCTCACGAAACCCATGCCGCCCATCCATTCAATGGCCAGGCCGCTCACACGGCCCGCCACCTGCGAAGCGTAGAGCTTGGCCATCGCCGCATCCACGACGAAGTCCTCGCCAGCCTCCTTCTTGCGCGCGGCGTTGTACACGAGCGCGCGTGCCGCCGCAATCTCCGTATACGACTGCGCAATCTGGTGTTGCATGCCCTGGAACTCGCCCACCAGCTTGCCGAACTGTTTGCGGTCGTTCCACACGTACCTGTAACTGCTGTTAGTACCAAAAAAAAAAAAAAGGGGGGGGGGGGAGACAACAAAAAAGAAAAGAAATCTACTCCTCGGGTGAATGCAAACTTACTTGACGGCGTTCTCCCACGAGCCGAGCGCGAGCCCAGTCATCTGCGCCGCAATACCGATGCGGCCCTCGTTGAGCAGGCTGATGGCGTACTTGTAGCCCTGGCCCCTCTCGCCGACGAGGTTCTCCTTGGGGATCTTGACGTCGTCAAAGTTGATGACGCACGTGCTGCTGGCCCGGATGCCGAGCTTCTTCTCCTTCTTGGCGATGGAGAAACCCTCGGTGCCCTTTTCGACAACGAACGCCGTGATCCCCTTGTATCCCTTGCTGGGGTCCAGGTTGGCAAACACGATGAAGAAGTCGGCCTCAATCGAGTTGGTGATCCACATCTTGGACCCCGAGATGGTGAACCCGTCCGCCGTCTCGGTCGCCTTGGTCGCCATGGCGAACGCATCGGATCCGCTCACGGGCTCGCTAAGGCAAAAGCTGCCCACCGTGTCGGTGGCGAGCTTGGGCAGGAACCTCTTCTTGAGGCTGGGGGAAGCGTGCTTCATGATGGCCGTGTTTACGAGAGTGTTGTGCACGTCAACCATAACGCTGACGCTGGGGTCGACACGCGCAAGCTCTTCGATGGCGATGATGGCCGATGTGAAGTTGGCGCCGGCGCCACCGTACTCCTCCGGAATCTCAATGCCCATCAGGCCCTGCTCGAAGAGTTGCTCAACCACGGCGGGGTCCATCTTCTCGGCCTCGTCCATCTCGCGCACTTTAGGGCCGATTACGTCGTTGGCAAACTTGTTGACCGTTTCCGCCATGGCGGATTCCAGCTCTGAGAAGTGGGTAATGGGGGTCGGGGGAATGTCGGTGATGTCGGTGTATTCGTCGTTAAGGCGGCGTGGCGTCGTGGAGAGGGTCCTCGCGGTGCTACACGGGAGATTGTCAGCAGCTATGGGCTAGACGCATAGAATCAAAGCATCATGCCTCTGAATTGAGGGCATCTTCGTCCTCGCTGGTACACAGTTCCTGGTGGGCGCCATCGCCGCCACACCTCGACTCCTCCGCAACGCGGGGCGAATGATCCGCGAAAGCGACGACATGACGCAACTGGCGAGTTGAGCTGGACTGGGGTTGGAAAGGTTGGCCTAAAGAGATGTAGCAAGTCTATGACAATACACGAAGAACAAGATCTAGAGTTATTCGGACGTGTATCAACGACGGGTGGGAAAAATGAAGAAGAAGAAAAGAGTAACATCCGGACTGCCGACTTATCGTGTCGTGCGGCGATACAAGCGGGTAGGTCTTCAGCCGAGGATAACCATCCCCGAACTCCCCACACTTGGCTTGTCAACGGCGCTGTTTGGTGGGGCGTCTACCTCAACGTACCTTACCTTACTCAGTAAGGTACTTCCAATAGGTAGGTACATACCTTGCTTTTGAGTGCCGGACATGTGATCCACGGAGGACGGCCTTGGCGCGAGGGCGACAATGTCACGTGGAATGTACAAAAATAACGATTATGTAAGCCGTGATGTAGGAAGTTCGAAAGATTCCTCTGGAGAGTCGAGGTCAAGAACCAGGAGACGCAACCACAAAAGCTGTCAGACTGGAACAACAGCGCCCACAATGGCCAGCACAATCTTTGGCCGACTTTTTGTTCCCTCACTAAGGCGGTTTGCGTTTCCAGCCCCTGTCTCTCACGCCCCTTTGGCCTCTTCCATCACCAGTTCCATCCGCCAAACGCGTCTCTTCTCCTCAACTCCTGCCCAAAATGCGACTGTAATGCAGGTCCTCAGGGTTCGTGGCCACCCCTCATCACCTTTACTCTCACGTCTCTGCCACGCGAAGACGACTAACAGGGTTTCAGGGCTGCCGTAAGGGCAAGCGAGCTCGCCACGCCGTCTCCCCCGCGCTTGCCGAAACCAAATCACCTCTCCTCAAGGGAGTCTGCATCAAAGTCGGCATTCAACGTCCCAAGAAGCCCAACTCGGGCCAGCGCAAGACCGCCCGTGTGCGTCTGTCCTCTGGTCGTCAGATCACCGCGTATATCCCTGGCGAGGGTCACAACATTCAGCAGCACAGCGTCGTCCTCGTCCGAGGCGGACGGAGTCAGGATTGTCCCGGTGTGAGATATCACCTTGTGCGTGGCGCATTGGACCTTGGTGGTGTGGCGAACAGGACAAATGCCCGTAGCAAGTACGGCACGCCTAGGCCGAAGAAAGCGACGGCTGGATAAGATCCTCGAGACCAGAGAGCATACTTTCAATACGACTGGAGAAGGTCAGGAGAGATGTCACCTTGAGGGTGGTATATGAGAGGAGGACATCGCTATGTATTTTTTATTGTAAATTCACACCGCAGGTTATTTGGGAAATGCGCCCGTCGTCGTTACCAGAGCAATCTTCCCTTGCAATTGCTAGGATTGTATGAGCAGTCCATGAAAAACCCTTGACGCCTCCCACATAAAAAAAAACCCCCAATACCTCGATCTGCCTATTGTCCTAACCATTCCGGACGAGTATAGGACAAATCCCATTTTCATAATAAATGTAATGTTAGTACAACCAGTTGCTCTTATCTTGTGCGGGATGTACCCGTCTTATTTAGGCTCGTCCTTCCAGCCCTCTGGCTTCTCTAAGCCGTTAAGGTCGAAGTACCGACTCGTGCCTTTTTCATCAAGTCAGCGAACAGTGTATGGAGCGATGAAGAAAGGGAAGGGAATTGGGAATAAGTGCATACAAGAATATCCCCTCCAGTCAAAATTATCTTTGGGGTTACAGTGACAGCGCAGGTCCAATTTGCGTTGCTCGCCCGTCGGGCAGTGCGTGAAGGGCCCATGAAAGTACCCAATGTCGTCGAAGAAGTGAATCTCTTCCTTCGGCAGCATGAGACCGGCGGCGATGGAGTGCACGGGCGCATCACCCCAGCGCTCGTAGAAGAAGCCACCATCCTTGTCGAGCGATTCGAAGAAGTCGACGTAGGCCTTAGACCGGAGCCAGTCTAGGCTCCCAATCTCAAAGTTAGACCACTAGACGCCTGTTAGTAATGGAACCGACCTGCACGAGACGAGACGGCAGGTTCACTAGACGAATCAGGGGAGGACGTACAAAATGGCAGCGATTGTACGTCTCACCGCCATCGTCACTCAGGAAACGCATTGAGTTGCCCGGCGCAATGTGCTCGGGATGGTTTTTCATAAACTTCTTGGTGCTGTCCCAGAGGGTCGGAATGGTCTCCTTATACTCGTACAAGCTCAGGACGAAGCTGTACTTTTTGTTGTTCTCTTTCATGACACGGAAAGGGTCGTAGTGAAGATCACAGAAGAGCGAGATGGAGGGCTCCACGCGCCAGTAGTATTCGTAGTTCATAAGGAGCGGTTGACGGAAGAAAAATCCCGATTCGAAGCGGCACATGTGGCGATAGCTGACGGAGTCACCGTAGATGACTTTGCGCTCGCGCATGTCCTCGCGGACCTTGCGTGCCTTTTCCTGGTCAATCCATTCCGGGAAGGACCAGTGCTCAGCGGGGATTTCGCCGTAGAAGGTGTTGCCGGACACGAGGGAGGTGGTCACCTTCTTGAAGGTATCATCGAACGGCTTATCGTTGAGGAAGACCCAGTCGTAATTATATCGGCGGTTGAAGCGATCTTCGACATCGCGGATGGAGCGCGCAATATCCCAGACATCGCTGTTCCTTGCCAACGACACGAAGGTGGCGTTGACGCGCGGGCCAGGGGCGATGCCGACAAGGTCGTTCCAACCGGGATCGTTCGGCGTCATGGCCATCGGGTACTCTTTGGGATCGTAGTCAGACATGACACCTGGTCGTTCAGCAGGAGGACTGTTGGGCTGCGGTGACGTCTGCTGGTCTCCGCTCGCTGTCCCTGTGTCGCTGCCATGGCCTCCTTGTGATCCGCCAGGAAAGGTGCCATCCTGCAGCCGGATGCCTTGGTAACTCGAATGTGTGATGAAGTAGACAATCGTAACGGCCTATGACGATGATGTTATCAGCAATTGACGCTATATGGGACTTACTTCCATTGTAACACACTGGCATGTAAGGGGGGGGCAAATACGCGGCATCTTGACGGCCAGGTACTCGCGAGCATTAGATCTTAGCGTAGAACGGGACGACTTACGACGAAAGCGAAGACAATGTATCGCACGTATCGTGCTGACCCTGCCGCCATCTTGACGGATCCCGACTGACTGAATCGATGGATGAAAAAAATTAGAAAATTGTTGACAGCGTATGAAAGGTTGAAGTACAGGAAAAAATCAAGGGGGGGGAAGGGAAAAGTAATAATAAATCCAGTTTGAACCACCCTCTCAAGGGAATGCAAGAGTTGCTTGGGCGAAGGTGGTACACGACCTACGTACAGGCAGGCAGGCTATTAGGGGCGAGACAGACAAGCTGAATTATTAGCAGGCACGTAGTTACTCCGTAGTAATTAATCCCTACCGCAGGGAGAGAATGTGAATCAGCTGCAACTTTGGAGACACTGGGTAGAACAGAACGGTCGCGCAGAAGTAGTGTACGAAAGTACAGCCAACAACCTGGAAGCTGACATCAACAGTGGGCCGCGTAACTTGCACTACCCAATCCACCTACCGTGTGCGGATACGAGGGATTCAGGGGACATGACCATGGCATGACGTTTAATGTGATTACATAATTGCTTATACATTAAGCAAGGGCGGCCTACACGTTGTAGTGTGTGTAAGGGTGAACTCGGAGAAGGAACATCACGTGATCCTTCTGATACTGATACTGCAGTCTGATTGGTTTGGAGAATTTTCGGCAAGAGAAGACACCCCCCTTCCTTCGTAGCTCTCCCATCCCCCTCCACAACCGACTGGGCCAAGGACTGTTTGCATCCCAAGCTTTTCGGAACATCATCGCCCAACACGATATACTGGAAACACCATCTCTCCGGCCCTTCCTCAGTTCTATTAGGCCTGGCGCATTTCGCCACTCTTGTTTTGTTTCTTGAAATTTACTTTATTGCCGACGCAGCTTGGGTGAGCACAGGCAGTATACCCTCCTGGATCATTCCATTCGCCTTCGGTTTCGACTCCGGTCTCGCTTCGACGGCAACATGTTATATTGGAAAATTGTGCTTCACCGAAATACCGATCTTTAGTGGTGAGTATTCATCTATCATCTGGTTCCTCGTGTTACTGTGTTGTTTGTATCTCGTGGGTTCCAAGGATGGATTATGCTGCTTTCTCTGGCCATTCACTGTGAACTTGCGTACTTTTTGCGTACCTTACCTTCGTCCCTCATTTATGCCATGCCCTTGCCCTATCTATCTATGCAAACCGCTTCGCTACATTCCTTCTAAGGTCACTCCGTCGACCACTAACCAGCTACAGCACGAAAACAGCTCCCTTGGCATTCACGAGAAGGTCATCCGACTGAAACCTCCATCCAAAATGTCTTTCTTCGGGTTCGACTCGCAGCGCCACAATGCGGCAGCGCCGGGGTTTTCTCAGGCTCACGACCCCTTCGCCGGCCTCTCCCAGCGAAATGACGAAGACGACGATGCTGTCGATTTTGACGATACGTACGATGGTCTGGGAGACCAGCTGGACGAGAGTGGTGATGCTTTCAATGACGACACTTTCGGTGGTGGTGATACTGGTGCAGCAGCGCCAGTCGGCAAGGACTTCGATTTTTTCGGCCAGACTGCCAAAGTCTCGAGCGCCATCGAAGAGGAGCACGTGCTTTTCACTCGGCAGCAGCCAGCTCCCAAAGCGGCTCCTGCGTCTGCTGTTCCTCCTGCGCCCGCCATGTCCTCTGCGACCAGTGTTCACTACACACAGTCGTATCAGCCATACAGTCAACCCGTCCGGACTGGCTATGAGAAGTACAAGGAGCCTGAGGCCGAGCCCATCCCCGACCTGCATGTTGATGCTTCACTCTGGGGCATGCCCGCCAAGAAACCCGCCGCTGAGTCTGCCCCCAAGCCGCAAACTCAACCACCCACGTCCGGTCGCAAGGTCATGAGCTTGGAGGAGGTCGAGAGGGCGATGCGTGAGCAAGCCCAGCGCCCGAGTCAACCTTCGGTCCAGCCCGCCCCTCCACCACAGGAATACGCCGCTGATCGTGTCGACTACTATGCGCGTCCTGATTCCGCCCAGAGGCAGCAGCTATATGGCGCGGAGCAGTCGCAACTCCCTCAGCCTCCTGTACATCACGGCCATGGCCATCCCGTCACCATCCTGCAACGACCTCATTCTCGCACGCCACAGCAGACTGGTCCCGTTTCTAGTGTTCCTAGCCCCCAACCTCGGAGCCATCACCAGCTACCTCAAGCTTCACCTATCCAACCCACTCAGATTCTTCAGAACCCCAACCGTCTTTCTGGTGATGCATCGCGCATCGGTCTTCCCACCCAACCTGCGCACCGTTCTCAGGGCTCCGTAAACCGTAACCAGCAGCAACAGCAGCAGCATTTTGCCCAGTTATCCGAGGAAGACAAGGCCGCCTACCTGGACCAGGAGACCAAGCGAGCCAAACGTAATCATAAGATCTGGCTTTTGTCCAAGGACAATGGGCTCATGACGCCGCAAGACAAGAACTTCATCACTCGCATCCAACTGCAGCAGCTGGTGTCGGCAACTGGCAACCCCGGTGAAGTGGGAAACGAGGGTTCTCTGGCAGAGGACTTCTACTACCAGGTTCTCTTTCAGATCCGTGGAGGTCAGCGTCAAAATCCCAACCAACCCCTGAACAACTTCGCGCAGACATATCTCTTCCAGACGGGAAGTCGACAAGGCGGGATGCGACGACAGGGTCGGGCCGCCGAGAACCACGCCCAAAGAATGGAACAGCAAGTGCAGCGGGCCGTCGAGGCTGCGAAGAACAAGCCCAAGAACCCGCAACTTGTCATTGCGGGCAGCCTGGGCAAGATCTCCTTCAGCAACGCCAAGACCCCGAAGCCGTTGCTTAATATCAAGCGCGGTGGGGATGCGGGGGATGGTCACCGAGCTGCTTCCAACAAGCGAATGGGTTCCTCTTCCACTGCCCTCGACAGGAAAGCGATCCTAAGGAACATTGAGCGTGTCTACAATACCGTCATGCTCATGGAGGACCACGCGAGACTGGCGCCGCCCCCGCCTACGAACGGAAATCACGAGGAGTTCCACGCCAAGCACGGCGAGTGGTTGGCGACTGCGCAGGCTTTGAACGCCAAGCTCTGGGATGAGCTCAAAGTCCACGAACCTATCCGCGAAAACACGGTCCATCCTTTCATCGCATTTCTAACGTTCCCCAAGGGCAAAAAGGTGTTCTCTCGTGTGTTCCGCCATATCAGCTTCGAACAGCGGACCACCATTCTCACCATGATCATCTTCCATCTGGACTCGCTGGATGTCGTCCGCGACGCACAACTTACTCACGGAGAGAAGAACCTCAGTGCTCAGATGCGCGAGAACATTGAGCTTTTCTCCATGTCTGTTATGCCCAGCCTCTTTGCATACTTCAATGATACGCAGATCGATATCGTTACGGGCGTCCTGGGCATCATCACGAAGTTGAATGTTGACCAGATCGCCAAGACGCGCGTTGGCACGTCTATGCTGACCCTGGTCTTGAGCCGGGCTGAGTTGCTCAAACAGGCTGGAGGAGGCGATCCTCGACTGTGGAACGAATGGTATGTTTATTCCTTGCAGCCTATTGTCTATTGTCTATTGCCCCCGCAACCATGCCCTCTGACATCAATGTAGGGACCAAACATTCGACGCCTTCTTCAACGTCCTCGAGCCCACCCTGCCACATATGTTCCCCGGCAGCGTGAATGCCGGCGAAGACGTCCTCGTTTGGCAGCTCCTGGCCGCCATCGGTGTCAGCGCCAACCCCGAGCAGCAGCAGCGTCTTGTACTTGCTGTCAAGGACCGCGTCCTGGATACGGTTGCGCATGCGAAGACTCTGCCCGCATCTCTTGCCGCGCAGCGCTTGGGAACGGTGAATTTGTTCATGCACTCGATTGGATTGGACGTTGAATTGTTGCAGTAAAGGCTACATACATAGCCTTTGATATAGGACTTGCCTTTTTTTTTTTCTCTTTTTCTTTTCGTTTTCCAAAGTATTTATTACTGGGCCAGATGCTTTGCATCGACGTCATCTGGCGTAATTTGCAGCATTCCAGAAAAAGTAAAGTTCCATTTCGGTCATGCAAAGCGGGCTCTATTGACGAGGGGTACGGCATTGGAATTTGGCTTGCGGGAGCGATGCGGGTTTCTCCGGACGGGCACCTTCCATGATATTGGTAGAGGGATGAGACGGACTCAATGACACGATATCGGGACATGGTTTTCCAGGCGACGCGTGGACGGGGAGATTTCATCCCGAATCCATGTACTGTACTATGCGATGCGACCTACATGGCAGCTTCTGGCGTGCGTGCTAGGCTTATAACGAATCGGTGAGTGCTCCATGTAGCACGCACCCGTCTCACGACTTGCATGATGCCACTGAATGGTCTCAATCCTGCCTCATTGCTCGGGGTATCAAAGCAGAAAACGTAATTACGTATGCCAGTCCTCCCTGCACTACTGCCATGTTGTTATGTGAGGTCCATAACAGAGCTTCCCCCCCGTCCCGGAGCCCCCCGTCCTCGACCACCACGACCACGAGCCATGGGCGCACCGCCTCTAGTCTTTTGGCCTGCCCTTCTCGCATCCATTTCCGCCTTTTCCCTGGCGGCTTGCGCCGCAGCGGCCGCCTCCTCTTCCGCTTTCTTTTGCAGTTCGGCCTTGGTAGGGCCCCTGGGCTTGACAATGCCGCTGACGGCCTCAAGCAGCTCCTCATCGCCCCAGGTGGTGTACAGCCTCCCCGCACGGTCGGCAGGATGGACTGTTTTTTCTTCGACAGCTTCCTTGGTGGCGGCGGTCCCCTCGGGGGGGAGGTCCTCCTCGGCGGTCGTCGCTTTCGAAGCGTCCCTGTGGCGCAGGATGAAGCTCTCGTTGTAGACGTCCCATGCGGCCTCGTCGTTCTCGTCCGTATACCGGAGCTGGCGCCACGGTTCGGTCTGCACGGCGCGGAGGCGGTCCAGCATGGTCTCGGTTGTGCTGACCTCGTTGTCGCCGCCTTGCTTGATGGTCATGTGGATGGCTTTGGCGGGGCCGGTTCCCGCGCCGGTGCCGCTGCCGCCTGCTGCCCCGTCTTTTGTGGATGAGGAGTTGGTGGAGAGGCGTTCTTGATAGGTTACGGCGTCGACGTGGTGGAGCTGAGGACGGAGGTGTACGAGGTTGGAGACGGGGGTTAGGTGAAGTTCGTCTAAGGAGAGCATCGAGAAGTTAGCCGCGGCGGCTGACGTTTTGCCTACTTGTGGATGTTTCTTTCTCTGGGCAGAGTAAGAAGAAAAGAGGAAGAAGAGGAAGGGGGGGACGAACTGCCCTGAAAGACGCCAATCATATGCTGAACCTCTTTTGTTTCCGGACAAGTACCCCCTAGGGACTGCGTCCTCAAGACTTTATCCTGTCGCAAAGCCTCTGTCCAATCCATCATGAGATCGTCATCGCGGTCCTCATCGCGCTTCTTAGCCCTCGGGGGCACTGCACCGATACCAAAGCCGCCGGCGAGACCGTGAGATCCACCGTTCTTCGCGGCGAGCGAGTTCTTCAGATGGCGGCCCCAGTGCATGCCCTTATCCCTATCGTAAGAACGTTGGTAATCGAGGGGAATATCGACCTCGACCATGCCGGAACGAGGTTTTAGTCGCATGGCCGAGGGAGGCGCCTGGTTCATGTCGGTGCGGTTGGGTTGTTGGAGTACCCAGAGTTTGCGGTTTCCGGGGAGAGACGGGTTGAGAATGACATCGTAGGAGGCGACAATGGGATCGTTTTCGGATTCTTCGGGCTCCATGGTGCGTGGAGATGACTGTCTTTTGTGATTTTGAGTGAGCTGGAGGGGAGATGAAGAGACGATCGGTAAATTGGTAAATCAAGGACAGTTCATTTCTTGCAGCTGCGGCAGATTCGAATTTTGAGTTGGGTCCGGCATTAATTGTACGAAGTAAGGTAAAAGGTAAGGTACGGAAAGGTACCTACTTGGACATTTTGACATTTGCCCCGCGATAAATGTTATCGATAAGAGAGCTATGGGCGGGACGGTCAAGCAGCTTAATAAGCAATCTCTTTTTATCTCTTTCATGACGTCCTTCTTCCTCCGTTCCCATCTTCACTCTTCATCCTGTCATTCGCTCCACGCCTCTCTCGAATCACCTATGATTGTTTGTTTCCTCTTCTAAGTAGCGACGAGAGACTCACAATGCTGTCATTTCCATTCCATCAGTTGTGTTGCACGACAACTTGATCCGAACCCCCCGATTCTCAAAATCGAGGTATTTCAAGGGCTGTGGCCAGTCCGTCTCGCTTGCCATGGTCTCACCATCCAGTTTCAACGTGGCATGGATGACGAATGGGTCCCAAGTTTCCGCTTCTGTGTTGAAGACATCGTCGCCTGGGACTTCGGCCATCACCCCAAGCAGGACATCTGTCGTCGCGTTGGGTTGAACCAGGACTTCTCCGTTCCGCGGCTTCCTGACCTCCCTTCCGGCCTTGACTGATATGAAGGAAGCGGATATTGACCTCTGCGTCCACGGTAGTAAGCTGGCTGTTTACCACCCACATCGACGTTGTTAATGCGGAATTGGAAGGACGTCCCGTAGGCGTCGGGTTCTTGCACCGGCTCGGCGCGGCGGAACCCGACCATCTTGGACGAGGAACCGACCACATCGCCGGATTCGCGCAACAGCGTTGCTTCGAGCTCGTACCGGGCCTGGTCGCCATACCCACGGGGATACCAAAAGCCGGGGTGCCTTGGTGCCTCGAGCGTAAACCTTGTTCCGGACCGCCCGGCAGCGTCGATTTCGCATTCCTCGGAGAAGACGGTTGTCCCCTCCAATCTTAATGCCAGCAAGACCCGATCACGACCACAGTTCGCCTCTTCTGTCTGCGCGAATACTTGAACATCACATGTGGCGAGGTCCTGACTTACCTCGGCGTGCAGCCACAAGTCCGCCACTCTGCCGCGGTGGGACTCGAGGTACGGGTCACAAGGATGGGACCCCGAGTCCCAGCCCCAGTGGTACTGCGCTTTGCGCACCGGAAGCCTCCCTGGTTCCGTCTGTCGGGCTAGAAACCGATGCTCGTGAGCATGTTTCTCCACCAGTCTCCTTCCCCGACGAAGGGCCGACGCGAATTCGACAACCAGCTCGTTCTGTCCCTCGGCTTTCAGGAGACGCGTGACATCCATACGGTGAGTGAGGAACATGTTTTCGGACGTCCTTATGTCGACTCCATTGAGCTTGACACTGGCGAAAGTGTCTAGACCCTCCGAAACGAGTTCCGTGATGCTGCCATTGTGCCTGGCTTCCGTTCAGGGCGACTTGAATTGTAGGCGGTAGGTCCAGTCGTTTTCTGCGACCCATACGGACGGCAAGCTCGTTGAGGTCAAGAAATGGATCGGGGATTCCAGAGGAAAAATAAGAAAAAAAGAAGAAAAAAAGTGAGCAGCACGTTCCCTTGTTTTCACTTTGCATTCGAGTCCTTTGCCAGGTTGGGAGTGCGGGTTGTAGGGTCACACCTCTTATGTGCGAGGAGATCGGTATGGACGTTAGACGGGACCTGGGGAACGGAAAGCCAACTATCGCCAGGGTCCTCTACGGCTTTGAACTCCCAGTTGTTGTTCAACTCGAGTCTCCTGGTGGCCATTATATCAATTGTTTACTGGAGATGTTTTGTTAGTATGTTCGAATCGCATGGATATAGTTGTAAAAGAAGACTTATTACAGATTTGAAAGCCACATTGAATACTCACCTCTTGAATCCGCCAGCCTGATAACTGACAAAGTCAGTCCTTTGTTGAATACGCCCCAAGTATGATCGTCATCTTCGATGGTGAACATCGGTAGAAAAGGGGATGGTCTAACTTGGCCCACAATATGAGGAGTTGAGAGTAAAAGGGGGAAAGGGGAAAAGGGGAAAAGGGGGAGAACCAACTGTCCACACAGCAAACGACCCCCTTGACAACTACGCCTGCGCCGGCGCCTGCACCGGCCTTGCGGCCCAGCCTTGTGCTAGTCGTATGTTTCTCCCAAACGTCGAACAGCTCAATAGTACGGTGTCACATCGCTCTCCTCTCCCTCGTTTGGGCTTCTCATGTCGCAAGGTGTAACTACAAACGTGGATTGATGACCCTAGATAGTCGTCGGCAGAGGGCTCTTCAAAGAATCGCATCGTACATGTTGATTTTCATTAACGTTAACTACCACCCGTAGACATACGGTGTATCTAAATCATGCTCCCGCATCCTCTCTACTGCCTACCAACGAAGTGAATAGCGAATAATGAAGATTGAACAGTGGATTGTAGAACTGCCCCTAAGCCAGCTCATTCAGTTTTTCCTTCTCCTCCTCGTTCAGCATTCCATACCACTCCTGGAAGTTGGCCACGTTCTCCCTGGCCGCCCGGATGAAAAACTCTGTAAGGTACGCCTGCGTCTCGTCGTCACGTTGGCGCGTCCCACCGAAGTCGATAAAGGTCATTAGATCCTCCTTCGTCGTGCCTAGGCTGAGATCCAGCGTGTCGTCGTCTTCCCAGCCATCGTCGTCCTTGTCGGCATCGTCCAACTGCGCTGCAGCGGTAGCGGCCGCGGCAGCCGTTGACGACGCCGCGGTGACGCCAGAGGCCGAGAGTAGCTCCTCGATGAGCACTTTGATGATCTTGAGGGTGGCCGGAATGACGGTGTACCGATCCGGGTCTGCGGGTTTTCCGTGAGCATGACGAGCGATAGAATGGGTTTTGCGAGGGAAACAGTCTGGACGGCTTACTAGCTCTGGCGCGCGAGCGCGTCATAATCTTTCCATCGTTGATGGTGTTCGGAACCAGGTCGCCCTTAACCATGACCTGGGAGAGGCGGGGGTCGTTCAGAGAATATAGCTTCGAAAGCGCGATGACATTCTGGCGAATCTCGTCGTACCCGGCAAAGTTGATCGAGTTTTCCAGCCACTTGCTCATGACCACTTGCAGTCCGCTCTCGTTGTTGATCTGGATCTGGCCGAGGAACTCTACAACATCGTGAGCGCCGACCAGAGACAACCGCGCAAAGACAAGGATCAGCGACTGGATAAAGGGAGCCGCTTCCGCCGTGGCAAGTCTTGTGGCGACGGCCTGAAGGAGCTGTGGTAGGAACGGGCCGAGGCGCTCGTTGCCGGCCTTCTCAACAAGCTCGGCGGCCAGGCCTCCGACTTCTGATGCCGAGTTGTCCTCGATGGATGGGGTTAGGAGCCGGTCAATGATGCGCAGGCACACTTCAAGCCCGGACTTGCCGTCCTCTTGCCAGGCGAAGACTTGATGATGGTCGTGCATGAGGAGATACTTGACGGCCTCGGCGCCGGGACGAAGTACTTCGCCCTCGTTCGACTCCATCAACAGCTTGTTAAGCTTGGGCAAAGTGGCCGCCACGAACCCTGCCGGGAGTGGCTCTGAACCGTGTTCCACAAGGGAGGTGAGCAATTCTGCGGCAGTCTCGTCGGACGTCAGCAAAAAGAAAAAAAAAAAAAAAAAAAAAAAGGAAACGGCAAACGAAGACAGGACTTACAGTAACTAGTGGATCGTTCTCCGTCACGGTGGCAGTATTAAAGGCAGCCGTCAAGGTCGGGAGAACCCTAGCACACAGCGCGGCGTACGAAGCAGAGTCCGAGAGGCTACGGACAATGTCCCCGAACGACTCGTTGACGATCATGACCGCGTGGAAGTTAGACGCAGCGTGCTTGGTGATGGCAAACAGCAGATCGACGGACTGGACATCCGGGGCCTGGATGACGACGCGTGGATTGAGATGGATGGCCAGGCGGATGGTCTCGGTAAGCGTAACGACGAGTTCCTCGTAAACCTCGAGCTCTTCGGGATCCTTGTTCTGCATATACTGCGAGAGCGCCGCCAGGATGGGGATTTGCCGGTCGGCCTGCACCCGGTTGGACCGCATGAAATACTCGAGAGCCTTGACGCACGATAGCTGCACGACCTCCTCCGTCTCCGAGGTGATGCAGGCGATGGTGCGGTCGAGCAGGGCAGGCGGCGTCGGGACGGCCCGCGTCAGGTTTCCCCCGAGGAGATAACCCCTTGCCCTCAGGAATGGCGCCTCGGACTGGTTGATTGTGTAATCTACCAGGCTCAGGTACGCCTGGGTGATCTGGTCGGGAATGGACTTGTCCATGTCGTGGAAGTCGCTCAGAAGCATGCTGAAGAGGAACAGGGCGGCTTCCTGGGTGCCCCACGAGGTCTTCTCCGGGCCAAAGAGCGTCTTGGTGTAGGCGAAGAGGGCGTCGATGATCTTGTGGTTGTACCATTCGCCGAGTTTGATCAGGAGGTCGCTCGACGCGATGCGAGCCGTATAGTTCGTCGAAGCCGACGTCTCCTCCACCAGGTAGAGGGAGCAGTCGATCTCCCACATCTCGAGTTCTTCGCTGCCAATGCGCGAGTAGGACACGAGCATCTTGATAATGTCGACCATCCAAGGGACCTCCTGACCCGACGCATGCTGCTCCAGCTGCCTCGCCAGCTCGGCAATCACGGGCGGCGCGCGGAAGCACTGGTTCAGGAAATCCAGCTCCTCGACGACGAGGAAATCGAGGGTGAAAGGGATGGCGTCCGCGTCCTCCATGCGGCCCTGGGCGCCATTATTGACATAGAGCTCCTCGTAGGGCCCTTGCAGGTTCTGGAGCTCCGACCAGACGGCGGAAAAGAGAGCCGTGCTGTGGGGCGTCAAGAGGTTGGGGAAGACCGTCTTGACCTTGAGCAGTGTCTTGACCACCTGGATCTTGATGGAGACGACGCTATTCCAGGCTTCGGGTTGTCGGAGGTCGGCCGGGTTAGGCGGGGACGACTCGGGAAGGGGCACCTTCAGGACCTGGAGGAAGTAGGGGAGCCATTCCTTGAGGGCCTCGTCGGCAAAGGCCTTGACTTCGACCGGGTGGTCATCCTTGACGATATCCATGAGATCGAAGCACCCGCGGAAGATGGAGATGGCCAAGGCGCGCAGGTTGGGTCTCCGATTCTCGTCGAACGCAACCTGGGTTACGGCCTTGACGATCTCCCTCGCCATGCTAAAGAACTGGTCCTCGCTGAGACTCTCGTCGATAACGTCGCTCAGTATTTTCAGACCTCCGTATATTTGTGCGTCGGAGCCGCCAGGCACGACGGTGAAGAGGGTGGTGAGGAGGTTGGGCCATCGTTCGGGGTAGTCGTAGGCTGCGATTTTACCGACAGAGTAGCTGGTCCCAGTGGTGTCAGTGTGTTGCAGCTCGCAGAGGTCGTACCATATAGCTCGAGGGTGTCGAGAAGAAGAGCGCATGAGAAGAGAAGGGTTGGGAGGGGCGAGTAGGTACAAATAATTACTCCCTAGACATGTGCGTACCTGGTTAATGCCTTAATCTTTCGGTTATCCTCGTTATTGAGAGCAAGCTCTAGGAGGGCATTGCGAAGGACTTCTCTGGTCGCGTCTGGAATCTCGATGAGGGGCTCATCGGTGTCTTCGTCCTGGGCCCAATTTCTCTGGATGAACTTGTTCAGGGTGGTCATAGCCAAAGACCTGACGGCGATGTCGATCGAGGCATGGCTGCCGACATTGATCAGGGCTGTGGGAAAGGCGGGATTGCCGCGAGCGTGTTGTAGGGCGATCTCAGCTTGTTGCCGTTTCGCCTGGCTCCCGGCCTCGGAGCTGGCGTGTGCAATGTCTTGGAGCTGGGCAATCAGCTGGTCCTCCATGCTTTGACAGGTTCCGGCTCGGAGGATGACGGGCTGTGTCTTGAAGGAGGTAGATGGTGTTTCAAGGCAGGTGAGCTCGGGCTTGGTTGTGATGAAAGAAAACAAAACAAAAACAAATTAAAGTTAGAGTAAAGTTTCCAACGGTGTGCGGAGGAGTTGTTGTCGATTACTTTGGAGGGGTTCACATTCGAGTTTACAAGTACAAGTACTTCATATGTACCCTACATGTACTCTGTACGTACCCTTCACTCCTTCACTGGGGTGGTGTCGAGTTCGGCCACTTTCCACTGGCGGGGTTCGTCCGGACAGGTACCTTGGGTAAGAAACAGTGCAGTGTTTCTACTCTGGGCGGTCTGTGCGCAAACTACTCGAAATCGACACCGAGACTATGGTACACCGTACCTTAGTGTACGACCTGTTGTCTGAAGCTGTAGACATGATACGGGAACAAGAGGAGACAATTCGTAGCTGGAAACCCTGATGTTATTCATACTGTCATTAACCGGTGCAGTCATGATCACATTATACATCTCATACACAGCGTGGCAGATACCGAGGCGCTATTCCTCCACGAGGTCCATCCTAAATGATATCACCGCCAAACCCACCACCGAATGCTCCTCCACCAAATGGGTTCTGTCCCCTTCCGGACCCTCCCCTTCCACCTCCCCTACGAGGAATACCTCCACCAGGACCGACAGGATCCCATCTTGCCCCAGGAGGTGCTTGAGGATCATATTCGCTCTGCGCCCCCGGTCCGCCAAACAGCGGATCGTCAAACGTTGGATGCATCCCTGAACTGCCACCCGGACGGGGTAATCCGCCACCGACGAACGACGGCCTCAAGGGGTCATGGGGTCCCAGACCAGGGGGGTTCAGGTCATCATGCCCAATGTTGTAGGGTGACCGTCCAGGAACCGCCAGAGGATGGCCCCTGGGTGGGCGGTTTATCTCGTACTCGTCCTCGAAACCCGGAGGCGGGAAGTCCCCGGCAGGTACAGGTCGCGGCGGTGGTAGTGGTTGAGCAAAAGGATCGACGAGGGGGTACGGTCGCCCCGGCTCGGGAGGTCTGTCGTAGGGGAACGGTCTTCCCGGCTCGTCGCCGGCTTGTCCACGCGTCCCTCGTTCTGCAAACCCCCCCGTTTCCTGCTCATCGGGGGACTCTTCGTAACCCTCCATCTGCAGTTTTGGTACGAGCTTTTGGATGATGTTGACTTTGAACAGCTCGATAATCTCTGCCATCTTAGCCTCGGACACAAACGCAGCCTTGAGCTTGTCGGGCAGGTCGGACCGGTCTTCGGAGCCATCTTCGCGAAGGGTGATGCGCAGGGGCAGCTTGGCCGGGTTGACATAGTCGCGAGGAACGACTTCGAGGCGGTGGATGACATCGTGACCGATGGCGAGGCCGCGAATCTCGGCCTTGGACCCCATGCGGGTGACGTTGATGAGATCGGTCATGGACGTCTGTTTGTGCGCGTACACGAAGGAGAGAGCGCCGAAGCCGGCGTTCCACGAGGGCGGCAGTCGTGGGGCATGGGTCTGGATTTCTTGCTCTATTCTCTTTTCCTCGTCGAAACCGAGCAGACGGAACTTGAGAGAGGTCATGCAGGCGTGTGTGAGAAGGGCGAGAAGCTCGTAGGTGCTGCTGATATCTGAGGTCGCGTCGCCTGGCGGGTGCGTAGGAGCGGCATCGGCCATCGTTTGCAGGATAACCTGCACGTCCAGAGGGTTCACCATGGTGGTACTCTGAAGTGGGCGATCTGGATCCTGGAGTGGCGAAGAGAAGTCGACGTCGGGAAATGAGGAGACTTTCTTTTTCCGTACAGGAGGGTTTGTGAAGAAATCGTTAAAATGCAAAGTCGTCGCGTCCAGCGCAGGTAACAGCGCAACTCCTTGATTATTACTCCGTAACTGCCTGACTGGGCTGGGGCCACATTTAAGTCGTGAGACTAGGGAATCGAATCACCTGATGTTCGAGGATAGCTCTTGGAGGCTTGTTTACGGTAAGGTAGGGAGGTACCTTAGGTAAGGTAATTCGAGCTCCTGGACCGCGTCATACATGTTATACTTCGTACGTACTCTGTAATTACGTACCATTGCTGCCTCCAAGGGTTCAGGAAGCTCATCAGGCAAGTAACTGGAGGGGTTGCTGCCTTGACCTAGCCCAGCGGGGGGGATTTACCCGCGCTATGGTTCTTATCTTATCACCACCCTTACAAAGCATAGGGGTCCGACCTAGTAAGCACGTGCTCCGGTGTTAGTTTCGTGACCCTCGATACTCCCTGAAACGCGTCGCACTTACGGATACATCTCGACCCCCCCAGCCCTACTCTCAATAAGCAGTCTCCCACAAACTACTACCCAACTCATAACTTTCTCAAAGTACGCCTACACAAAATTTAAGTCGTCTTAAAACGACTTCAGGCCACCCTACGACAAGCCCCCCCCATGTCGTCTCCACCGCACGAGCCAGACGAACCCGGCCCAGCCGTACCTCACCAGCAAGCCCGCACCCTCCTCTCGACCTTCACAACCTTTCTGACCCTCACACTACACACCATCCTCTACCACCGCGGCCTCTACCCACGAGAAACCTTCCTCCTAGCCAGACACCACAACCTCCCCGTCCCGCAATCCCGCCACCCGGGTCTCTGCGCCTGGATCTCCGACGCCGTCGAGCAGATCCAGCCCCTTCTAGCCGCCGGCTCCCTCGCCAGAGTCTGCATCAACACCCACCTCCCGCGCACCCTCGCCGTGGCCGAGCGCTGGGTCTTCGACGTCGCCCAGTTCCCGGCTTGGGCCGAGGAAGGGGCCGACCCCAGCGCCTGGGAGGAGAAGGACCGCAGAGAGCGCAGGACGCGAAGACCCCTGGACGAGGAGGAGCTCGACGAACTCGAGCAGGATAGGACCGTCAACTGGGTGGATGTGGACGAAGCCATCCGTGGTGCCTTGAGGAGGATTGCCTACGCGGCTGAGACGAAGGGGGCGCTGCCGGAGGGTAGTACATTCACCGTCGCTGTCGAGCTGAGAGACGAGGCGCCCGCGCCAGTTGGGGTGGGTTTGGCTCTTTTTTTTCTTCCCTTTCTCCCCGCTTCACATTCTCTCTTGACTCTTATTTTTTTGTGAAAGAGGGGGGGGGGTTCTTTTTTCTTCTTCTTTTTTTTTCTCGTGATTTATCCAACTGACAGGTCGGCCCAGTATTCCCAACCCTGGATCCCTACCGAACCTGCCCTTCAACCGGCGTCCCAATCCAACCCAGTCCCCGGGTCTGCAATAGGAGGCGCATCCACTACACCGTTGCGAACCGTTCAGGCTGGACCACTTTTCTTCGAGTGCTGGGTGGAAGAGGCCCAAGCCCCTCCGCAGACCGCCGAGCCGTCTGCTCAAAACTCGGGGTTTTCATGACCGAGGAACTGTCAAGAAGTTTTAATGTCCTTCATCCATTTCGTTGGTGTATCGTAATGCTCGTAAAAAAACAGCTATTGTCATCCCTGACAGGACGTGGGTTCCGTGTTCTCTCTATTCACCGCCGCGACCCTGCCGCGCCCGAATAGCCAGTCAACCAACCAACCCTCCCAAATATTAATGCACAAACAAGAGCAATCCGAAACGCCCACCTTGGCCGGATCCTGTCCCTACCAGCTTCCGTCCCAGTCCCAAACGCCACGCGCCTGGTCCAGTAGAATGAGGACGACCCTTGACACGCTATCCTAAGCGTCATCGCCTCCTACCCCACCCCCTTTCAACGCCGACCGAAGGCTGGCCATCTCCCGCCGCAGTCGCATATTCTCCTTCTTCAACCGCGCCGTTTCCTCGCTCTGGTCGCGCAGCTTGGCGACCAATTCCTCCTTGTCCTCGCGCCCCCTGCCCCGCAGCGCCTTGACGATTTTCCCCAGCTCGCTGTTGAATTTTTCGTACAGGAGCTCGTTCTCGGCCGTCGTCTCCTTATAGAGCTGGTCGATCGCCTTGACCTTGGCTTCCGACGCCTTGAGCGTGCTGTCCATGTCGCGCTGGATGGCAGCATGCCGCTGGTCGAGGTCGGCCATCACCGCGGGGACCCGCTCTTCCAAAGCGGCCACCGACTGCGCCAGCCGCCTCAGGTCCACGGTTCCGGTCCGATGTCCGAGGCCGCCGCTGTTGACGCGTGACATTTCCTCCGCGATCTTGCTGAGCTCCGACTTGAGCGACGCATCGACTTCGTCGACCGCTTGTTTTTCCGTCTGCAGCCTCTCCCGCAGTTTCTGCGGCGATTGCAGACGCAGCTTGCCGGAGCCACTGGCTTTGGTTGGGCTGCTGCTGGTGGTGGGAGGCCGAGTGGACGACGCTTCGCCCGTGGTGGGAGGCGCGCTGCGTGCCGGTTTCAGGGTCGGGATCTGGGATGTTGACAATGCTTTCGAGTGCCGTCTCGGCGACTTGTCGCTGTTCGTCGACGACGATGGCTGGAAGACTTCCACCAGGCTGAGGTTTTCCTTCTGTAGCCGCGGGGTGCGCAGGCTCTGGGTCGCCGGGCTGACTGGAATTCTGGACGGCGTGGGTGGCTTATTTACAGGGGTAGAGTTAAACTTCTCCGAAGTTTGTTTATTTATGCTGAGGGGCATGACGGCGTCTTCCTCTGCGTCCCGGATGGTCGCAGCCTCCATAAGGCTCCTCAGATCCGATAGTGAGCTGCGCCGTTTCTTCCTAGGCGACTTGGCCGGGTAAGCCTCAGGACCGGGCTCACCGATCGTCTCCAAGCGGGGGTCGTGCCGGTGAGAGCTAGCCGGCCGTGGTGGCTCCTCGAAAGCTCCGGCAATGGGCGGCCTGTCTCGCGAGTCGGGACGCCTGAGCTTATTGGGCTGCGCATAGCCAGTCCCCATGTCTATGGATCTCGTCCTGCCCATCGCCCTGGACAGACTACCGTGGTTGACGTCTCCTGTCGCTGGGTTACGGCTGTGCTTACTGAGCGTCCTCCAAACAGAGGGACGGTCTTCGTTCTTACTGTTTTGGCGCAGAAGCGTGTCGAAACCGAACTTGCGACGGATCGACGAGGTGTTGGATGTAAGAGATCCGGTTTTGACACTGCGTGTTGTCGGAGTCACCGGTTCGTAGGCTGAGGTACCGGGGCTAGGATGTGTCCCGAATCCGATGTCCTCGAAAATCCGGTCGCAATCGTCGACGAGCCGATCAAGGAGGTTAATGTAATTATGGGCTGTGCCGTCCGGCACGAGCAGCTCTGCGAATGCCACCGTCAAAACGCCGCGATCACCGTCGTTACCGCAACCTTCGAGCAGGTCTGCCAGCAACTTGATCAATGCCGTAAAGGCTCGTCGGTTCTGCGGCGCCATATCGCCAAACATGTAGTTGACAAAATCGGAGAAATTCCCGGGCACCTGCCTATTCACCCGCTCCTGGAGGGTGTCGAGGGCTTGGATTGTCATTACCGGTCCCATCTGCTCTCGCCAGGCGATGTGAAGGAACTTTTCAAATGCGACGAATATGACATCGGCAGTGAGGTCGGCCGAGGCTTCCAGGTCAAACGGGCTCTCTATAAGTCGGTTGTACAGATCGTTCACGGCTAGTTCATCGACTACCGCTCTATTCAGCAGCATCCGCCCGACAATGCTCCCTTTGCGGGACTGTAGGCTGGCTACGTATCCCGTAAATGTTTGCTCGAGTCGCATGAGGGGGTTGTCGGGCTTGTCGTCCACATTGGCACGGACACCGTCTCGGCTTCTTGCGGACCCGAAGATGGAATTTGTCTCGCTGTTCCCGCGGGACATCGATGGCGGGAAGGCAGTGGAAACGGGCGTTCGCGCCTGCTTGGGACCCTGCTCCGTGTTCGAGTTTGAGCCGCCGCCCCAGATAGTCGACAAGAGTCCCTTGACGGGCGAAGAGGCAAGGAACGATCTTGTTTTCTCGGCCCGGTTCGACAGTTGCATTCCTTTGAGGACCTTTGTATAGTACGAGACCAAGGCAGGCGCAAGGCGCAGGTTAGAGACGTTAAACTGCATGCTTAGGAGTTGGATGACTGTATTCTGTGTTAGTTGTGCCATGACTTGGGATCAAGGGGAGCGAGGAGGAACCGGCTTACTTCGACGGGAAAGCGTGGGAATGAGGTCTTCCACGGCTATCTCATCAGAAAACTGCTTGCAATTCAAGCCGGCAGTGCGCATGCTCACGCGCCTCATGTCTCCGCAATATATGTCGATGGTAATCTCTACGCCGTAGTGGCCCACTGGCGCGCCTTTGGTTCCCTTCTCGTGATCGACGACAACGCGAATGGGCGCAGGCTCTCTCCTCCCTTCGATCAACTGGTCCGCACCTTCCTGGAAAACAGCGGCGAACATGCCAAGGTTGTTATCCGGCATCTTGACGGACCGCAATGTCCAGCAAGGGTCATCGCGCTCGGCTTCGGAGAATCGTCCCTCCACGCGGGCTTTGACAATGTCTTCCGTCCATTTCGCAGCTTTTCCTTCGTAACTCTCCAGCAGCATGAAGCAGCGAGATGTCACCGCCGTCCCAGTCACCCACTCTCCCGCATGAGCCCCCTTCATCTCCTGGGTCGCAGTCATCCAAACCAGGGTTCCGTCGGACGACTCGGTGAAACGAACATCGGCGAGATTGTGCCATCCCGTGAAGGCAAGCTCATACGACGCGGGGCCACCGGCAGCGTTCGTCATGGACACGAGAAGTCCGGCGGCAGAAGGTTTATCGATCTCGCGTAGGAGGTCGCGTCCGGTTACCACGTTCGGGGCCAGTTTCTTGAGGATGACTATGCAGTCGGAGAAGAGGAGAAAGATACCGGAGCGATCGGGGACCTCGGACTGGTCGATCATGCGAAAAGGTGCGGGCAATTCGACAAAGTCGGCGGCAAGAAGAAGCCTGCCCTGTGGCTGGAGGTCAAGGGGCCAGCTCTCCACCATGTTGCGGAGGCGGTTCGCGACCTGGGGCTTGTCGGGTAGCGGGTCGTCCATGGAGCAGATGTTCGTGATAATGTCACGCGCCTTGAGTAAGGGCTGCAGGGCCGGGTGCGTGATAGGTAGACAGCCGACAACCTGGTCGATGAGCAGGCTGTATCGTGGCAACCTTTGCACGGGTTCGATCAAAACTGATCGCACTGTCTGCTCTCCTGCCTGTGTGACTCTCTGACGGAAGCTTGACTGGTGATTGAGGAAAGAGGTGAGCAGGACGGGGAAATGCTGGCTGGCACGAATGTAGTCCTGATAGCAATCCGTAAACTTGGGGAACCAGTCAAGAAATACCCTCGCCATGGCCAGGGCACCACTCGGGTCCTTTGTCCGCGCGGAAGCCCCCAGCTTGGAACCGGTCAGGGCGACAGTCGTGGTCTGCATGTCCAGCATAGCCTCCTCCTCGGTGTCGTCCATGATCTTGCGCAGCTCTTGCATAAAGGCGGAATTCACTTGTAGAATACGATCGGCGGAGCGGGGAAACAGCCTCTCCAGCTCCTCTTCGGATGGACTCAGGCTGCCCGGAGCGCGCTGCTTGGCGCTTTGTCGGAAGTCGTCGGCAATGTGTTTGACCAACTCGTACAGCTTCGCCACGTATCTTTCCTCGGTAGCGACGAGTTCGCCAAGCTTCATTCTCAATTCCACCTTCTGTTCTTTGGCGAAGGACTTGCTTCGATTTAGCGACGTCGGTTTGGACGGGGCTCTGCGCAGTCTGGCTGTCGGCAAGAAGACAGGCTCCCCGAAGAGTTTGACCAACGGCGTGTAACCACCGTACATGCGCAGAGTAGGATCTAGTATGTCGTCCTCATCGTCCGGCACTTCCTCCAGGTCCTCCGGCCGCAAGGGCACGATGGCACCCGGTGGTAGGACAAGGTCGATATCCACATTCGTCAAATGTTGCGTCTGGAGCGCCGTTTGCAGGGCGGCAATGACATCGGCCGTGTTATCGCTCTTGACTAGGCCCTTCGCCAGATCGGCGGCATGTTGTTCCCCAAATAGCGCCGGAGCGCTCCCTGGGCGCCTGCCCCTAGTGGTCGGGTATGTGTTTTTGAGATGATTCTTCACTACTTCTGGCAACTCGGTGAAGTATTTGTAGAGACCGAAGGCGAGGCCGCGGTAGGTCTCATCGCCCTGCCATTCGCGAGGCAAGTAGTTGACAACGCTATAAAATGGCGAATTGGGGCTGATGGTCAGGCGCGGGAAGGACTTGAAACCGGCGGGGCCATAGACGTGGACTTGAACGCGGGAGCTATTGAGCGTAAAATTGGCGGTGGTCGAAGGCCCGTGGAAAACAAGGACAGGGAGATGGCCGAGAAGAGGGTCGGTTGTGCGGTAGAGGGTGATGTGCTCCGGCGAGAGAGCCAGTTCGTCCGTGACACGAACCATGGCAGTGGTTGTGTTGCTGGGTGGGTAAGGTCTTGTTAGCAGGCCGCCAGGCGCATCGCTGGGTTCGAGGACGGGCAAAGAGCTCAGTTGCAGGTCGGGGAGAAGACAGCGATTGGATCGTGGGGCGTCAAGCTGCTGGTGTCGAGGGGCGAAAGACCAAGATTAGGTCCAGTAAACAAGGTCCAGAGATAGAGAGGATATGACCGAGACGCGTCGCCGTGCCGCCGTTGACCTTGTGCGGGATTTGGCAGACAAACGAGGGGACATGGACCCAAGTTATGGCGATACGGAATACAGCAGCAGTGCGATGCCGTGTTGTCGTGTTGCTGTGTTGCTGTGTGGTCGTGTTACCGTGTTTCCGCAGTTCTTGTGTCGTCCCAGAACTGAAGTTGGTCAAGCTTGTGCTTATCGCAAAAGCGGGGGCCAGGAATGTTGGGTCTCGGATAGAGCCTCAGAAGACGGTAGTTAGGACGGGACAGTCAGGTTGATTACTAGGTAAGGTAGTTGAGCCGCATTGGGTTGATGGCGATTTTGAGAGGATAGGGTAGAGTCATGATCCAAAGTCGGTCACGAGCATCACACCGCCCTGTCGCAGTTCTCTGTAAGGTACCTACCTACTCCATAACTACACCGTATTTGCCTTGCACTGCACATTTACACATCAACGTACCTTAAGGTACCTTATGGAGTAAGGTATAAATACCTTAGGTACTTCGTATCGTACACGGTGCCTTGATTGAATAAGGTAACCTGGTGCCCGGGCCAACCAAGAACCTGACAATCCGGGACCTTCAGCCACTAATATTCAACGATTCGACCCCACAGTAAACACACCATCCAGGTACAGAGGTACCTTGTGTCCGTACTCGTGCACTGTGGGAAGCTGGCCCTGACCCCTCCCCCACAGGTGACCTCATCAACCCCCCTGGCTCTTTCCCAGACGCTTACGAAGTACATAAGGTACTTCGTATTACTGATCGAGCTCCGTAAGGCAGCGGCCTTGGAAACTCCAGCTTACCTTAACCTTCGATCCCATAGAGTTGCCGCTGAAGACGATATTAGCGGTCTAGTTATTCCCAACTGAAGGCCACACAACGATACCGGCACGTTTTAAGAGATCCCCCCTCCCCCGTTTGAAACCAAATTACTCAAGCTTCTCGATCCTTCTCTTGCCTATCCTTCAACATGTCCAGCCAAGACAACGCTGGCATTCGCCTCGACTTTGCCCCAGACGGCAGAAACTACAGGCTGTTTGAGCTGCCACCCGAGCTCGAGAGTCTTCTACAATCTCCCACCGCACCTGTGTAAGTGTCTTCAACCTTACATAGGCAGACAAAGCTGCCTCCGCCACAGACCTTGCTAACCCCCGTGATTCAGTCTCTACCTGAAGCAGCCCGAGAACGAGTCTTCCGCGGTCCTCACGAACGTACAAGGAAAAACCTACACCCTGCAGCAGAAGAACACCTCCAACTCACTCCTACTCCTTACTCCTTCCTCGACGACATCTCACCCCTCGCAACCAGGAGAGTCGACTCAGACGACACATCATGGCCTGACTGCTGTTGCTGCATTGCATGAGACCATCGAGCTCGTCACGCAAGCACCGACAGCTGAACAAAAGGCGAGGGGGAAATGGCACGAAAGGTTCGGGAGGAACCGGTGATCTGGTCTTGCTGTATTTTCCTCCACCCCACGAGTCGAAATATTTCTTGCATTTATCTGGGCAATACACTCTACCTTATTCCACGTTCGGGATTATGACTCGACGACATTTTCTCGATTCCCTAGATTGGGGTTTTTTTTGGCTTCCATCATCTCAGATCTCTCCCACATCCCACCTTCTCGTGCGCCCACGCCATAGGTCTCATGGCTTCTGAAACCATGGGTTTGGCAGATAAAAGCCCCAGACTGGACAACTCTCCGTTCGAATACCCGATCGATACCATGTGAACTTGCTCAACTCTGCACGGAGGAATCAAGCTTTGGCCCCAAACTCCGCCAGAAAAACCGCACTTGTTCCTTCCTGCTTGCTCTGAACAGGGACACAAGTGACCACTGATTCAGGGGCGGATATTCGCGCCTTCGCGCTCGACTCGCGGCATCTACCAAGGACCAAGCGTACACCACGGGGTAATAAATCCGGGTGAGAGGCTGTACAGGATATTCGGGATGGAGATGATGATTGAGGTTACTGCCCAGGAACTAGCACAAGCCTGAGGCATGCAGCGCGGCGGCTAGTGCCTCTTCATGGCGTCGACGATCCAATTCATTCTGCCGTCGACGATCCAGTTCATTCTGCCGTCGACGATCCACCTTCACCGCCTTCTTCGACATGCGGAACTGCAGCAACCGCGGGTCCACGGCGGGATTTTCTGCCATGACCTTGCGACGAGCCTCTTCCTCGGCTCGCCGCACTTCTGCCTGGTGACGCTCCTCTAGGCTGTCGAACAGCGGACAGTTGCCCGCTCGGCCGCCTCGACGTTCGTCGTCAAAATGATTGTACGCGCAAGACTGGGAGCAGACGTAGCATTGGACGTTGTGACAGCCCGGTTGCGGGCAGGTCATCCTGTTACATCCCTCTATTTTGACGAAAGGAGTTTGGCCTGGAGTTAACGGTTAGTATAGGTTGAAGTGAACGTGAATTTATTGCCAGTGCAAGGCGACTCACATTTGTTGCATTTTCGGATGAGAGCAGCCGACATGGCCTCCTCTATCTGCCTTCGAGCAGATATGCCAGAGTCATGGGCCGCTTCCTGACATGTCTTGGGTATGTGAGTGTCTTGCCTGCAGAGGCGGCAGCTGACCAAGAGACAGTCGGGGTTCTGGCACCGGAACTCCTTATTTTCTTCGACGGGAGGATACTCGGCAGCATAGGGGCATGACGGACACGTCTCCAGGTTGGTGATAGCAGCCATTCTGAGCACGGCTTCGTCTTCGATGCGTTCTAGAGCAGCTGCCAGCTTAGGGTCGATGAAGAGGGCGCGCTGGCCTGCGCAGAAGCCCGCGGAGCAACCATCCATGGACATGCACTTCAGTTCGTATCTAGACATGCCGACGACGGTTTCCGCATTTTGTCTCGCGCAGCCGATACAGAACCACTGCTTCTCTGTTAGACTGACGTATCTGTTTGCCAGCACGCATCGCACGACGAGGGAGGGAGGGAGGGAGGGAGGGAGGGAGGGAGAGAGGGAGAGAGGGAGAGGGAAGGGGGGTCTTAAGAGGACGACTTACATGCTCCTGGTCACCGTTGCAATGAACCATGCGGTTTATGGGGAACTCGTCGTAACAGCATGCACACCCCATCATGCTACCTTGGGCCTGGGCCAGAGCAATGTTGTCTTCTTCCTGTTGCTTCTCCCTGTTGGCGGCCTCTTGCTTCGCCACCCGCGCACGGATCACCCATCTTGCTGCCCGTAGTTCGCTCAGGGCTTCTTTCTCGTGCGGATCAGACCAAACTACGATCGTCCTATTGAGGTGGCGTGGAGCATAAGCCGGATTCACAAGGGTCAAGCTCCTCTTCCTCTTCAGTCGGGTGTTGGCATCGCCACCGTCACGATCCCAGGTGGCAGAGACCTCGTGGAGTTCCAGATAGGCCGGCAGCAAGAGGTTGGCGTGTCGGTTAAAGACTGAGATAACGTCTTGGAGCTGAGCACGGGGGAACTCCTCGCATAGGAGTCTGCTCCTGCTTTATGGTCAGCATTCTGAAATGTACTTGGAAGTAGGACTGTGAGACGGATTTGCGAAGAAAAGAAAAGGGGCGAAGGGGTGGGGGGAAGGGGATATATTTCCCCTTTTCCAAGTGCATTGAAACAGCAGAGTAGAGCAACACGGTCTGACTTACGACATGAGACAGTATTTTAGCATCTTTCGGTTCGCCCTGCGGATTGGGTTATCGAATTGGGATATATAGGCGGCGATTTCATCGACTGGTTCCGGCTTCGCTTCTTCACGCTTGAGTTGCCGTGCCGTAGGGCGCTTCTGGTAGCCAGCACCGCTCTCCTCCAGTCTGAGAATGTGCCTGACAACAGCCCTTCCGTCATATGTATGCTGGCGGGCCATGTTGTCCAGATAGTCGGGACATATGTCTGGGAAGATGGAAGCCGCGAGCTCTTTGCACGCCTGTTCATCTCGCTCCGGGAATGATCCTTCTAGTTCTTCTACCACGGCGGCGGGGACATCGGGTGGGGTCTCTGCATGTTGACGGCGCAGCTTAACGTGTTTGTTGCGTGCCTCGATCTTGGCCCTAAGCTTATGTGGAACCAAGCGTTCGAGACGGCTGGGCTTGGATGGAGGGCCTGTGTCGATGGCTGCGGACGCAGGGTCCATTAACGAGTGCGGATGTAGATGACTGTCAAATAGGGGGTGATAACCAGCGGGCTCCATTGGGTGCATACCGAAAGCCCGTAGAATTCTAGTGAACATGGCGGCTCTTGGTGTATCAGTGAACCAAGGATCAAGACATTTCGGGAGGTCGACTTGTGGTAGTATATGGGTGTCAGTTGACTTAGATGCCAGAAGAATACTGGAGCATGCCGTAAAGAACGTCTTGGTATTAGGGAATCAAACGTCTGGGGTTCAAAGAGTTTCTTGGTTCGAGAAGAGAAAACAGAGGGCTTCTGATGGGAATGAATCGGAGATCTAATGTCACTCAGTAGTCAGTCCGGATCCTCTAAATATATAGGCATGACGTGGCGGATGGACGGGACGAATGCAACCCGAAGCTATCTATCGTACAGTGCCCTTATAGTCCCAGCCAGGGCTTGGGGAGGCTTGACGCCTCATCGTCTTATATGGCGAGGCAGTTCAGGACAAGGGAATCCAAACCGAACGCGTACGTACTCGGTGGTGAGTGGTATCCGTTACCAGTATCTTTGCAATGTTCTCAGGCCACTTTACACTCCGTGTAGGCATCAAAATCCCAGAAGATTAACTAACGGTGGTTGAATTTCTGTCGCAGAGATTCCCATAGGGGGCTCGTGATAACCATGCAAATAAGCCTTGCCTTGGTATGGACTACGGGGTAGGCCCAGACCAAAGTGCCAAACCAGGTCGAAATTACTGGGTACTCCCTGCAGCAATTGGTGGGTGTTCATTCCATTGTGAGATAAAGTTTGAGATACGGATCACTTAGGGCCGCCGGGGACGGTGGCGCTGAGGCTGAAGGACTAAGTGAGGCATGTCCTTTGGAATCATCTACTACGAGGTTAGTTCCCCCTCAGGAACCATCTCAGTAAATAGAGAACTAAGGTAGGGAGTCCTTCTGATCAGGTTGTCTACGGATACCAAGGCCTTCATGCCAATGTTGCGTACTCACATTGGTACTCAGGCAACTCATCTGGCCGGTGATGCGCGTTGGGCGGCAGGCCCCTAGGGTATACTTATATTCAACGATCCGGTCGTCGATGATACCCTGGATGATGGATCCAGTCCGACCAACTTACGGACAGGGTAGGCATCTCGCAACTCTGTCATTTACTAGGAGGCAAGGCAAAGGGGGTGCCCCCCCTGTGGAATTCCTATGGATTGTACGAGTACGGAGTGGGCAACATGTGTATAGTCCTCGTAATCGGCACCTGGACACTTGTTCGTCTCCTCGCCAATGCCCACCTCCAACATAGGTTGGAAAGTCTCAATATTTTGCTCTCGTCACAGGGTGGCAATTTTCAAGACGTATTTACCACGACATATTGTTAAGAAGGAGTTGGCAGTTTCTGTGGTAATTACGGGCTATTTCAGCGCAGTAAATATGTTTCTCTCAACTTCCTAGGCCCAATGCTAAATATATACAGCAACATCGGAGCAAAAAGAATGTAGAAGACCTCTGAGCCAAAAGTATGGACATGAAAAGAATACCATAAAAAACATGAAGCAAACATTGAGCGTAACTAAGCGACCAGTGAGCGGGCGCGAACATGGGCACAGGTGGCGGCGTTGAAGTGGCTGCCAGACATGCTCAATGGACCGCATGCCAAACGCCCGATAATTGCCGGCGACCAAGCCCGCTACATCCATGCCAGCTCACACGCTGATACAAACCGCAAGCCCGATGACGCCAGCTTAAGCGTTGATTTGCCGGATCAGCCACCTGGGGGCGCTGATACGGGCATCGGTAGTGTACAGGAAATGCGCAGGAAGGATGAAGAGAGATCCATTGCAGACCGCATCCGTGATACGGCAGTAGATCTCGGTCTTGGCCGTGGGGAAGTTGGGGATCATGCGGTTATTCTGCCGGTTCTTGGTGTATCCGAACAGGACGACGCCCTTGATCTGGTCCTGGATGGCCGAGCCAAGTTCGCTGACGGCGTTGGCGATGACCGCGGTACCCTGGCTGTGTGGAGTTTTAGCCACGGCATCGCGAGCATGGAGGAGTGTGACAAGGTGGGAAGAAAGCAGAACAAAAGACAAAAAAAAAAAAAAAGGAAGAGGAAAAGGGGCGAAAAGGTAAACATACCTATATCCACCGGCGACAACTGCCGAGTTGGGGCACTTGGTGTTCGCCAGGGTGAAAAGACGCTTGCCCTCGTCGATCGAGGCTCGGTCCGTGCCTGCGGGCAGCAGGTTGGGAGCCAGCTCGGCCGCATAGGGGCCTCCGACGCCTTGGACCCAGAGGTCGTTTCCAAATTCATTTTCCAGGCCGCTGGCAACCGAGGGACCGGCGCTCCCCCCCTAATTAATGTAAGACAAAAGTGGTCAGCGACGAAAAGGGGTCATCATACCATATTCCCAGACTCTCCACTGGCACGGGCAAAGATGAAGATGACGCTGGGGCAGTTGCTAGCGCTCCCATTCTCGAGGTCGTTGCGGGTGTTGGATTGACGAGCCTCGAGCGTCTGAACCGCTCCAGAGCTGATATCAGTCGGCAGAGCCGAAGCCAGGGCGGCAGCGACCGAGAGGAGAGTGAGAGTCTTCATATTGTCAACGACAAAGAGTGGTTGGGGATTGTATCTTCGGAGGAACGGGCGATCGGGAGAGTCGATTCGAGTCGGGCCAAAGATGGAGAAGCCTGTGGAGGGTGCGCCTGCTGGAGTCTGAGCTGAGGACCTGGGGCTATTCCAGAAGCCGACGAAGATGGACCACGGTCCGTACTTATTTATACTTCTCCTGGGAGTCTGTGGCCCTTGTCGACGGCCGCTGAAGATGGCATTCCAACTCCATCACGAGCAGAGAATTCATCCGAGGCTATCTGACCGGTAGCTCCTCTTGGCCTGGAAGCAGGCGTCGTTCGTTCACGAACTTCAGACTCGCTCTCCAAGCACGCACGAATAATCGATCCCGTAGGTTGGGGACCGGGGTCATGTCGATCACGGCGGGGAAAGTGTGAGACAAGACAGAGAAGACTTCGACAGAGAAACGTGTGGGAAACAACACAGGAGCCCCTTCGCAAGGTAGTCATGAAACAGGAAAAGTCCATGGATGATCCTCTCCTCTCGATGTGCCGGATCTATGCCGAAAGGAGTGGAAGTCCTCGTTGTCTCAGCCTGAACCGAACCCCAGACTGCCCCACCCTGTCGCCGTGCCTGGCCGATCTTCTAGCTTGGTACCCCGCGTTTTAAGGCCCCACATTCCCCACACGGGCCATGGGGGTAAATTGGGTTAGTCCCGAAGAGGAGAACATCTGTCGAACAGACCATAGTCTTTTCGGTTACGTAACGGGCCGGATTGCCAAGAGTATAATCCGGGTAGACGCTTGCAGAATCTGCACTATATAAAATACGGTAGCAGCGATTCCCTAATAGTCCTTACATATTTATAATTATATATAATTACCTTAATTAATCTTAACCTATTTTATAACGATTTCGACTACGCTTTATCTGATAGTTAAGAGTCTTACTTACTAAGTAAATAACCTACCCTTTATTTTTACCTTTACTACTACCGATTTAAGAAGCTATGTAGCCGCGCCGATATAGCGTGTTAATCTATAAATAACCATTAAAATATCGGAATACTAGCTAGTTACCTATAAAACCTATCACGATTAGGAGCTCTAGCGTAGTCACTACGAAGCTATAGCCATTAATAATAAAGTCTAGGAATATCTACGCCCTAATAATCCTATTCCCCCTCCTTAAAAGCCTCCTTTACTTATCTACGGTGTATTCTAAGCGTTAAACGTAGTTATCTAAGTAGGCGCCACGCCTACGCAGCTTATAGACCTAATAGCCAGCGGTTAGCGCACCTACGAATCTACGATATAGCGCTAGAAGATATAGAGGGATAATCACTATAAGTACGCTAAAGGTATTAACGCCGTACTAATATAGCAGACTAATACTATCGATAAAAGCCGTAAGCTACTCCTACGTAACACCACGCCTTAAGGGGTGTATAAAGCTATTTAACGCGATACCGCTTACTACGTAACTATGTGCCGCGTGGATATCTACGAAGAGTATAACGAATATGTCCGCACTACTCCGAATAGCCTTAAGAAGCTATAGGAGTGGTTAGTAAGATAGCAAGAACTATTAAAGCACCTCGAAGAGATTAAATCGACGCCCGTAACGTATATTTAGGTGGTAGACTTCTTTAAATGGATCCGCGGGATAGCTAGCCGCGACTAGACCGAGGCCGAGAGACGCCTCCTAGATAAGAAAATAGTCTAACCCGAGGATCTTTATACCCTTAGATAACGATATATTAAGACTAGACTTAAAGACTAAGGAAAGCGCGGTAACTATCACGCTATAGTATTCCCTGCACTATATACTAGAAGCGAAGAGAATAAAGATACCTTAGAGACTACGGCTAAGCCTAAAAGAAAGGGCGGCCGTAGAAAGAATAAAGCTAAGAATCCCACTCCACGGCATCTATAGCCACACCTTCTATTACTTTAACTAACCGCTCTTCTTCTAAAAGACGTTAATCTGCCCTACGATAAGGGGAACCGTGCCGCGTATATACTACGCCTAGTCACGATATTAACGCCTACTACTACCTATTCTCGGAAATAACAACGGACGGTTAGATTACTTACGATAGCAATAAAATAACCGTCTAACGGATCCTTAAATATAACCCCACAATACGTGCGGAAGTAGAAGAACTACGTGTCGTAAAGAAAGTAAAAAAGAATACTAGCCGGGACTTTATATAGCTTAAAGAGACGTGACTCGACTATAGTAGCGTCTGCGGTATCTGTAACGGCGTCTCCCACACCGCTAGCTTTATAGCAGGAACCGCTACTACTAACTACCCTCTTCGAGTATCTACTATGCTTAATTCCGGCGCCACTATGTATATTTTTAACGATTTTTCCCGTTTTTCTGATTTTACACCCGCCACGTAAGGAGACTATATAGTCGTCGGTAGTTCGTCCCTGCCTATTAAAGGTTATGATAACGTAACCGTAAGATTAAACGGACTAATAGGAGGCCTTGATTTTAGACTATTAAACGTTGTATACTACGAGGATTTTACCTATAATTTAATCTTGAACTAACGGTTATAACTACGAGGATACTAGTAAGATTAGAAACCACTAAATAATAACTGTCTTCGCCGTGCTAACGGATCTATATTATACTAGCTAAGTTATCACTTCGATTAGACCGTTATTAAGTATATGCCCTACGATTCTAACTAATCTACAGCTACTTTTCTAGGCTTTTCTTCTTCTTCCACTACCAGAAAAGACGTCTATAAATCGATAATACGGTATCTAAGCACTACGAAGGGTATCTTATAGTATCTTCGACTAGGGTATACTAGCCCTAAGTCACTTCGGCACCTAGGAAAGCAGACACAGGGAGTTAAAATCAAAGGACTAATAATAATCGACTACAAGGCCTATAAGCTTATAAAGATAAAGCGCTATATTAGTAGGTACTCTCGTAATACACCTACTTCTGTAAGGGAATAGTAGACGATTAATTTCACGGATTTTAACCGAACATCCGATAGGGACTCGAGGTTTATATTTTTTACCGACCGTTACAGTAGTTTTACGGCTACCTACGTTATAAAAAGTAAGCTAGTAGTGGATATCCTTATAATAATTAAGGAATTCCTCGCCTAGGTAGACCGTTAATTAGGCTATAAGGTGCGCGTTTTCGAATCTAATAATAAGCTAACTTAATCTCACGATATCACCTAATTCCTGCGCGAAGAGGGTATCCTTTTAGAAGCATCTGCTACCGATACTTAAGCGTAGAACAGGGGTACCGAGTACGCCGCTACCGTAGTGATTTCGAAAGATTATACGATAAATGTCCACGCTAAGCTACCACCGTTTATATAGCCTAAGGCTATTCTTATGGCAGTATACATCTATAACCGGACGCTATAAAGACAGTAAAAGGGTTAGAAAACGCTATATAAGGTCCTCTTTAAAAGGAATCCGATTTTATTATACCTTCCAGTCTATAGCTATAAGGCGTACGCGATAACTAAGGATACCTAAAAGGGCGCTAATAAGCTATTAAATCGTATCGCTCCTCCTGCCTATATCGGCTACCTTATCGGCTACGATTCTACTAATATCTTTTGTATCTAAGTACTAGGCCAGCGCCGCCACCGCGTTATTCGCACGCGCGATATAGATTTTAACGAATATACCTTTTTTAATGGCGATATTAACGCCTTTAAGGACGACCTCCGTTAATTAACCGAGGACTAACTAAACGACCTAATTAGTTAGATTGAGCAGGAGAGGGCTAAAGAGTTATAGCCGTTTACGGATATATAAGCTAAGGACCCCCCCCCCTTTATATAACTGCTTATTTTAAATTTAACCCTTTACCGGGGCTAGTTCCCCCCGGATCCCCTTCCTCGACGGCGTTACCGTTAAGGTTATAGTCCGTAATACCCGGCTATAAAGGGGTAAAAGAGGCTATCTTAAGTCCAGGAGGATAAGATTTAGGCCACGAACCGTGTAATTTAGCTAGTATAACGCTTAATCTCCGTTTATAGCAGCCTATAAATCCATAGCTTCCTACTCTACTAGTAACCCCGCTATCGGTTATAGCGCTAATAGCAGCCGTGATCTTAGGTAATTATCGTAAAGCACCTACGGCTATAGGCTTCCTCGTGGATAGAGGAATATAATACCGCGATAACCTTATAGCGACGGCTATAGGGCTCCTTATAAATAAAGGAGCGCGCCCTAACCGATAAGGTAATAGCTAGAAAAGAGACTATTAGGTAGTAGTGTTGAATGCTGGCCGTTATGCCCCGGATATATATGTATTAAATAGGACTCCGCTAACTAAGTTACGGTTAAAAAGGTCCACGCCTATAACGCTATAACGACGTTTAATAGCACCTCGTGAATCCACGGCCCCGGTAGTAGCCTCGCGAAACACGATATCCACGGCTACTCCGGCGGTTATTCCGGCGGTTACTTCGGTAGCCGTAAAGATCCACCGTAAATAACTCCCACCTCCTCCGAAAAACCCTCGCGATATACCCTTATACCCTTACAGCCACTTATTCTAATAGGTATAAGAAGACCACCTATAAAGCCACTAGGAGATAGGGTTATAGATATAGGTATCGGCGTCTATAGTAGATAGATATTAGGTTCTTAATTCGATATAGGTAATAATATATAACTTCGATAAGTATAGATTTCTATATAAATATAAGGTAAGGCTTATAGTACAAGGAGATTAGCAGTATTAATCCTCTCTTAAGGAGATATACGTAGTAACGCTAGCCGGACGGTCATTCCGTGCGTTAATAGCTATTATAGCCTGTTTTAATCTTATGCTATTATAATTCGATATTATAAACGTGTTTATACATACGCCCCTCCCCTACAATATCTTGATATACCCGCCGCTAGGTTTTCTAGCTCCTAGGAGCCGTTTACATCTGAAAAAAGCATTATACGGGCTTAAAGAGTCCTTATTACTACAGTAAAAGCACTTTTTGGCTATCCTTTTAGCGGACGGCTTTTAGATAGTACCGTAGGAACCGTGTTATTTTCTGCGTTACGGTTTAATACTGTTTTTCTACGTTAACGATATCGTTATTACTTATAAGGAATAATATAAGGCATAGATAGAGCAGGCTATTAATAACCTATAACGCCACTATAACCTATAAGGTAGCGATCCTCTATAGTGGTTTCTTAGTATTAAGGTTATTCGCGACCGTGCCATATATAAGATCTAGTTATTGTAACGCGATTATATTATAAAATTAGAATGCCTATTAAAGCCGAATAGTAAGTATAGTAGTAATTATCGCCTAACGCACCTAATTAAGATTATAGAACTATTACCCTATTTAGGGACCTCGACTAATATTAAAAGCTATCAATGGAAGATAGGATCTATACTATACGCCGCTATAATACCACGGCCTAATATCGCGTTTATAGTATTAAAGCTATAGCGTTTTAATATTAATCTAGGGCCTGTACACTATAAGGCCGCCGATTATCTAATTCTTTATCTAATTAATAGCTAATTATTTATATTAGAACTAAGGGGTGGCGATACTATCGAAATCTATACTAACGCCTTATTTACCGATAATACCCTTAATCGTAAGAGTAGTTAAGTGTTCGTGATATGCTTATTTAGCGGTATAATCTCATAGCGCGCTAATAAGCAGGATATAGTCACGACGTTAATAACGGAAGCAGAGCTATTAGCGTTAGCATAAGATATAAAAGAGGGTATCTTTATATAACGCCTATTACTTAGTATAGGAGTGGAATTTTACGATCTGGAATTAAGGATCCTGTACGATAATAACTAAACGATTCGGTTAGTTAATTAAAAGATTAGCACGTTAATAACACGCCTCCGCTATATCGATATCCACGGCCAGTAATTATATTAAGTAAAGGAATAAGGGTAAATACTCGTAACGTATATTACGAGCGCGGAAATAGTAGTAGACGGATTAACGAAAGCGTTATACGGCGAGAAATTTAAGATATTCAGGTCCTAAGTAGGAGTAATAAATATACGGGAACGGCTATAGCAAAAACAGCTAGAGGAAGTCCGGATAGAGTATTTAGAGGACCTAGAGGATAAATTTAAGGGCGGCTATAGCGAAGAGATTATATAGGTTATATACCTATTATGTCTACCGGTTACGAATAGCTTTAATCGCCTAACTAACATTTAGGGCGATTAGGGGGTATATTGAATAAACCATAGTCTTTTCGGTTACGTAACGGGCCGGATTACTAAGAGTATAATCCGGGTAGACGCTTACAGAATCTGCACTATATAAAATACGGTGGCAGCGATTCCCTGATAGTCCTTACACAGTCATAATTATACATAATTACCTCAATCAATCTTGACCTATTTTGTGACGATTTCGACTACGCTTTATCTGACAACATCTGCCGCGTCGGTCTTGCTAGTCAGTCTTTGGTAGTCAGTAAGGTAAGGTAGATATCGCTCCGCCGTTTCCCATATCATTTTCCTTATTGCGGATACACAGCCGCACCCGCAGACTCCAAACTAGTCCGAATATTGCCCCTGGTAGCGAGTCGTATCCCGTCACCCATCAATGCAGAAACCGTTAGGCAAATTATCCGATAGGTGGGATCCAGGAAAGCTCACGCACCTCCTAATACAGATGCCGAGGTTCAGAAATCATGATATTGTAATCATCAAGTCCGGCAGGAGCCATGTCCAACCCGTTGATCTGACAGTGAAGAAAAACTGTACGAAACTGGTTGATGGTAGATACAGGGCTTCATTCAGGCGTCAATGTCCCGTTTGGGTCTTGGTTGCGAATGGGATGCTGCGGCTGCGAGGGCATGATCATCACGACAAAATGCAAGGCAACCAATATTTCGACAGACCGAGACGATGGCTTTACATGTGAAGAGCTAGGCGGAGTGGGAGGGCTGAAGATGGAGAACGCACGATGAGGTTCAGCACCTCCTGTGATACTCGATAAACCTGCTGCATCCTAAGAATTTCTGTTCAGGCTTTATCAAGGGGACTCCTCAAAACGTCCCTGGGGGTTCGAAACCCTTCGTGCCTCGTGTTTCCTTGTTATGGTTCTGTTCCTTTTGGTTCTTAGTGAATAACTTGAGGTAATAGCGCCAAACGTCCGAAAGGCGTTTGTCACTGGTACAAGCCACAAGACATAAACCGAGACAAGGCAAATGGTCTAACGTATTGTGCATGGCCAAACGGGTAAGAGGCCAAACGAATGACCAGCCATGTGGGGAAATAGCATGTATCCTGGTACGTATCCGTCGAATCCTGTCTCCCCTCTAAAGTACCTATCCGTAAGCACGCCTGGGAACGCCCTCCTTCTAGACCTCGCCCCATTCAACCTCTTCGTCAACATCTTCCTCACCATCCTCATCCTCCGTCAAAGGTAGTCTTCGCCGTCTTCGTCTTGAGCCTCGACTCGCAGCAGCAGCTGGAACCTTCCTTTGAGGCCGTGGCTCGGCGACAACCGGCGCCGGAAGTCCCGAACTACCCTCTTCTTCGTTTCCCACCTCAGCGCCGGCGTCCAGATGACCATGTTTGTCATGATCCCCGTAGTCTACGAGGAGGTCATCTGCTCCATCCTCCTCATCGTCGAGGTCGGGAAAAAAGCCGGACGTGTGGCGAACTGGCCGGCTCCCGGTTTCCTCCGGTGAGACGTGTTCCTTATCGTCATGTCCGTCCGGTAGAAAGCCACCAGCCATATCCTCGTCCTCGTCTTGCCCTCTTTTTGACTGCTCCGCTTTCTCAACTCCGGCGGCCGTGTGGTCGATTCTGCGCCGCCCAAACACGTGCACATCCACCACGTTGTCATCAATATGCCCGTATTCCTGTCGGATGCGTTCGACAATTCGTAGCCCCTTGATGAACTTGCTCCACAGCCGGAGCACCTCTTTCCTCTTCTTCTCGTCTTCTTTCCGGGCTCGCTCGGCCTCGTCCTTGCGGAGCTCCTCCATCACTCGGTCGTAATATTCCTCGGCAATGACCGCGCCCTGGATCACGGGCACAGCCATCCGGTGGCCAAACTCGAAGTCGACCACTGCCTCGGCATAGTCGATCTGCAGTCGCTTGCACACCTTGACAACGCCACGGAACGGAACATGGACGGCTCCCTCCGGGCACATGTGCTCCACGAAAAGGTCGATGTTCCCATACTCGTTCTTCGGGATGATCCCGTTCTGGATGGGCGCCGGGATGATCCAATCGGTCTGGTCGAAGCTGTACAGCCCCTGCAGGACCTTCTCACCGCTGATCGCCTCTGCCTCGGCAATTTCTCGTCGCCGGTTCGTCGTCGCCGCCCGGTAAGGTACCCTCTTCAGCGGCTCCTGGCCGGCCAAAGGGGCGCGGCCTTGCTTGTGCCACGTCTCTGCGCTCTTGACAGTGACCACGTCTTTCCGCAGGTACACCGGTTCCTCGGTCGATGCGCCCTCCTTCCCCTTGCCCTTGTTTCTGAAGATCTTTACTGGCTTTGCCGTCGGGACCAGAGCCTCCTCGCGTTTGAGATGTCGTTCCAGACAAAACTCTTTGGATTGCTTGTAGTACTGAAGCGTCTCTTCTCCGTCTTTGACTTCTTTCTTTTCTGGCCTGGTTGGTTTGAGGTCGGTCGTGTCTTCCGTCTCATCAACCTCAGTGACGGGATGTTTTCGCCCCCCCCGGACGTAGTTGTTCATGACCGTTTTGAACCAGTCATACTCTTCATGCCTTTTTACTTTGCCGTGCCGGTTGTAAACTGGCACTTTCTCAACGGGCATCCTCATGCCCTTCGTCCTCCCAGGTAGCATCTTGCGTTTGAGGTACCGGACCGTCACATCTTTTGCAGTTCCGTCTGGAGAGAAGCCCACGACATAGGCCATTACCTGCTTTGCCTTGTCGGCTTTCCCGCCGCGCGGTTCGAGAGATTCCACGAGCTCCCGGTTCGTTGCGACGACTTTTTTGACGATAGGGTCCACCGGAAGATAGGTATTGGTCACCGGTGAAAGCACTTCTGTCCAATAATGCGGAAACTCGAGACCTCGATCGAATGTCTTCGATTCTGACGCGTCCTTTCTCGCAGAAACCTCAGCATCGATGATTGCATCTTCGTCACTGTCGGGATACTCGAGAGCTAGTTCCTCGGAACGGGAGGCTTGCGCGGCACGCGTCTTGCGGCCTGCGCCTGCGCCTGAACGGTTGATGGGGGTCCCCGGTGCGGTTGATGCCCTGCTCATGTAGGCACTTTCCATCGACTCACTGACCTCAGTGTCTCCCATCTTGCTCCGCTGCACGGCTCCTAGAGTGCTCGTATCCTTCTCGGCATCGGCCTCTTCTGCCTTTGTCCATCCGAAGCCCAGCGGTTGGAGGCTTGCGACCATACGCGCTTCCATACCTAGTGCTCTTAGTAGTGCTGTGAATAGCTGCGACCCAACGTCCCGACTGCCGGAACAACTGATGGCACACTGTCGGAACTCATCGAGATGCCGGATCCGCTCTCCGTGAACATAAATGTCGTCGTTTCCGTTGGCCCACGCCTTGGTTAGTCTATCCAGGCGCTCCAGTGACATGTAACCGCATTTCCTCAGACCAGGAGCCGTAATGCGAAACCGTTGCTTCCACCAGGCCGCCAGTGCTTTGACAAGCCGGAATAATGGGTCCCCGTGGCTCATGTCAACGGCGCCCTCTTCTAGCTTGTCGGCGGCTGATCCCCAGTCTCTCGCGCCCTCCGTACCATGAGATTTATAGGTTCGTTGTCGAGCGGCCCGCTTTCCCTTGGGATCCTTGGGCGTGTTCTTCTTCGGCTCGAGTCCGCTCGCCTGCCTCCATCTATCAGCCTCATCGAAGAGCCGTGGTGGTACATGGGACATCATGATAGCCTGCACTTCCGGGTCGCAAACCCACGCGTTCCGTATTGCGTTGTGCCACAGTAGGAATTGGACATGCACGCAGTGCGTGGCGTTCCTGATTTTCCTTTCAATCTTCGATGGGCCCTTCTTATTGCCAAACGGATTCGTAAGAGATATTCTCGTATCGCGATGGAGAGTGAGCTCTAGATCGCCCGTGATTGCCGGGGGTTGAGATGTCAAGACTGCAGGGGGCGCCACATCCTCGAATTCAGGATCGTCGTCCTCGTCGCCCTCGTCATCGTCCGCAGGCCCAGAGGCTCGTTGCCGTCCGGTGATTGGAACATCTTCAAATTCAGCATCGGATAGATCCGTCAATGAACTGTCCTCGCTTTCCTCGTCCAGGGCTTCGAGAAACGATTTGCCGCCCTGAGCGCTCGTCCCGGCAGTCGCATCCAAGTCGTCGTACAGACTCGCTTTTCGAGAATTGCTCGGCGGTGTCGCTTCTTGAATCCCGGTCGCCTGTCGTCGCTTCGGTGTCCTGCTCGACGGGGAATCCTCCCGTAGACGTTTGCGGGGGACACTGGGGGGCATCTTGGTACCGAGATTGACGTTTGACGTGGTGGAGACGGAGTGTGCATTGTGACGACGAATGATGCTTCTATCGAGGGTCGCGAAGGAAACGCGAAGGCACGTGATAGGAGTTGGAAAAGTCGATCAGGTACCTAGGTACCTACGGTATTCGGACAGTGTTGGACCATGTATGTCATACGGAGTGTCAATTTGGCGCGCGTGATAAATCAGGTTTGGCGCTTCTGTTGATCTAACCGTAGCGGGGAAGATTAGCTACCTTAGTAATAAGGTAGGCGTTAGGAGATAAAGAATATAAACGTTCGACGGCAATCCAGTCCAGTTTGTTCATTCTATGTGAATGCTCATTGTTTAGAAGAAAACACAGGCGATACTCTATACATGCATGTTCTAGGAGTAGGAATTTCGTGCAGCCATCGTCTTCGCAACCTCGAAGCTCCTCACCACTTCCGGCTTTTGTGTCGCTGAAGTCCATGTCAGCTTCACCTCCCCAGCCTTATCTCCCAGAACCTCCTCAGCAGTTGCCCACGCATAGGCCTGGTGCTCCTCTGGATCCAACAAGACGTTTGGCGGTCCACTGTCCTTCCCACCCTCGACTTCGGCTAGGAACGAATATTTCCGCCACTTTAAGGCCTTTCCATCGGACCGCAGCTTAATCTCGCCAGTGACAGGGTCGGTTTCGACATAGATGTACGTTCCCAACCACGTCATGATTACGTTTACTCTAAGACCCGTCTCCCCGTAAAGCTCCCGAGCAGCAGAAGCGCCTAGGTTCGGCTCGTGGAGCTCGGCAGTACCTCCAGGAATCTCCCAGGTATCGGGCAAGGACTCTTCACAAGAGGATCGTTGGACTGTTGTATCCTCGGGCGGAATGGACTCAACTGCCACCATGCAAGGGCGAGAACCCCTTGTATGGCAGGTTCCATTTCCTACGCCTTGCTCCCGATTGGCTTCTTCCAATGGTTGCCACCAAAAAACCCACTCTATTAGCAAATCTAAACTGTCTCACGTAGGCACGAGTGAATTATTAAAACAAGCCGAGCCACGAGCATGCGGAGGTCGAAAACGCTAGGGTGTGGAAATGCGGCCGAGACTGAGGTGAAGCAAAGAATGACCATGGATTCTGACAGGTGGCCGCTGGGATTAATCTATCCCTGCACACCTGACATGGCTAGGACTGATAGCGTGTTGACTGGGTGGGTAATTTGTCTCAGTCGTGAATGTTCTGCCCTGGTCTGGGCAATAACCTCCTGATAGCAAATAGCTGGTCTATGGTATGTGCTGCTGTACCTGGTAGGGATACGTGTGATGCCTCGCTGGATGATGTGGGTTGGTTTAGCTTCCTTAACTAGAGCATTTAGCTTCTCTTTGATCTACTTCCAAGATGCTAAGACTTTACCGGCCTGCGAGTTAAATGAGAAATTAAATGGAAGAATCGACTCGGTCTAGAAGAAATGGTTATCACGTAGCATTGCATATGATCATTAAGATCTCCTTCTCCTTCTCTTTTTACCCTAACGTAAGGTTATGATAGCTATAACGAACCCTCTTCGAAATATGTCTAGTATGGTTTGTTTCTTAGGTATTCTGATTATCTCCCCCCTTCTTCCTCGTCCCCTACCCTCTCTGGGCCGGAAAAGGGGTTACAGTATTGATGGACAGGGCAGAAGCATGCTGGCGAACACTGAAAGTAAATGGCCAAGTCGCGCCACAGCTGTGCAACCTAGATAGCAAGGGATGTCGCATACCAGTGCTGTACATACATACAACACATTCCATCATGACACGGTTTTGAATCTCTTTGGAATGGAATAAGAGCGGTAACTCGTCACATGCAACATACCCATCAGTCAGTCGGATCAGAGGTCCGGCAAGACGGTCACATCGAACATGCCAATCGATCAGTTGGGTCAGAGGTCCGACAAGATGCTATCAGACTTTCAGCGCAACTATTTAAGTCCCCCAAACCACACTTCTGTAGACACAAAGCCCAACTTTCTGCACATCATTCCTCAATCGCCCAGTGTTGAAATACTTTGACTTCTCTATCCCACAGTCCTGATCGTTCTAGAAGTCAACATGGCCCGCCAACATCTTGCTAGTCTTCTGTTCTTGCTTGCCTTGTCGCCTATTGCACAGGCCCAGATCGAGACGCCATGCACCTTCCAGGAGTATATATGTGGCTCAACGCTACTCGCGAATGGTAAGTCCAACTTCTTCACTTATTCACTTATCCTTGGGTTTGTTACTTACAAACCTTGTTGTATAGGATACGTTGAGGAAGATTTGAGAGCTGGATTTACACTTAACCCCGATGCTCCAATCATCTCTGATGCCCAACTCGATCGAGTCCTCTTTCGCTGCGTCGACCAAATCGGCACTATTGTAGGCAACTCCTTCTGCATCGTTGGTTGTGCTTCGATTGGCACAGATATCGACAATGATATGTGCACTATGTGAGATGGGGCGGTTATTGCGATGGCTATGGTCTGGGTGTATGGAAGAATAAGGTTTTGGAGTTGAGATGGATAATGATCATGGCACTACTACTCTTTTTTTCCCCTCTTGGAGGTTGTTAGAGGGTGTTTTTTAATGAGAGTAGTGAATGATGAAAGTGTGTGTGTGTTTAATGGCATGTTCCCTCATCAGTGTACTTGGCACTTGCTCTTCATCATGCACAAACAGTATCAAGATCATTCAGATAATGCTAGTGTAGGCAGGAGGAACTAGATCCGGAGACCTCATTTGAGCAAATCGGGAAAGAAAACGGTCCGCTCATAGAGCTGGAAAATCACCGGCATGTAGGTAGTAACTAAAGTGTCGCCGTTGATGCAATAATATTGGCTGGCTCCCGTTAGGGTTTCCAACGACCAATCGTCTGCTTCGTTTGTACCTCCTGTGCTGTTCGGCTTATACTTCAAAAATTCCATGAAAGGTATTGGGTTCTCGGAAATCCAGCTCCAATTTGTTCCTTTGCGCCCCGTGGACTGCCTGGCTAAAGATATTTGATGGCATTGTCGCTGGTCCGTTTCCGAAACATTCAATCCCCAAGTATGAACCAGGTGATATTTCTCAGCGTGAAAAGGTGACTGTTTGGTTGGTATTATCGGGAGACGAAGAAGAGAAACGTTTATGGGATATACTGTGGTTTCATGAATGGTATCAGAATATACTTAACTGCTTATCCTGTAATTTCCGCTTGCCTTGAGCTATGTAAGCTCGTGAATCGCCATTAATTTCCGCAAGAGTTCCATATACAACATTGATTGCTCACGCTCGTATTGTAAATGGTACGGCGACGCATCCATGCATGTATTGAATCGAATAGGAACGGCACATATTGCATGATCCAACCTGCCTTGCCCATCACGCTCTGAATAACCGTATGGCCCTTGGCAAAGAAAAGGAAGCAAGGCGTCTATGGTATAAGGGAGAGGAGCATTTCGGCTTGAGTAGTTACATTATGCATTGATCGTTGAAGAGTGCCCCGCCCATGTCGATGCAGCCAGCAAAGCAAAACGAGTTACCAGCTATCCCGCCGTTGATGTCGACGCAACGGTACAGAACCTGGAGAAGCTGACGATCGGAGAGGTTGGGAATAGAAGATGTCAGAGCGACAGCGTCGGCGAGCTCGGCAATCTCATAGCCTATTTCTCGAGTTAAGGCATGTAGCATTAAAGATAGGTATTCATTCAAACGAACTGGGATGAGGAAGGAAATCTAGTTGTACGTACCATAATCGACGGCTAGATTGAAGCCACACTTGTAGCCCTGGTAGATACAGGGTGTGTCAAAGGCCTGCACGGCAGGAACACCAAGGAAGAGCAGCACGGCTGGGGTGGAGATGCTACGCATCTTCGAGGACTTCTGAGTTGAGGATTTGCTGCTGATCAACTTCCCGAACGAGAAGAAAGTAACATTATCAAGGGAACTTGATTTTATATTACCCATTGCCTTGTCTAATAAGTTGTCCTTATGGTTCCTATCTACAAATTTATCAATTGCAGCCAAGCTTTTATAACGTCTGGTCTCCCGAAATTTTAAAAATTGCCACGTTTGAGTAATAATAGAGAATGCTATTTATAAAAACACCAGAGTACCAAGTCAGCTTGTCGAGACTAGGTAGGGTATCCCGAGGAATGGATAGTTGGGGTACTAGATGGTGTATTTGGCCGAAGAACACTCCGCCGCGCGTAATCAGCCTGTCGCCTCTAGCTTAAACCTATCGGCCATCTCATCCGCAAACGAAATAGAAAACATACCTATGCTAGTTAAGCCGAAGTCGCATTGTGAAATTATGTATGAATTGGCGCGTATACAGGTCCGTACGGAGTAAATGAGATTAGTCATTAGCCACATGGTGACCTGTCACTTCTAGCATGCTTCTATGTCGCAAAACCAGGGTTTGCTCCCTATGACATTGGTGATGTTAGTAACCCCTGTCACGTCCTAAATTCCTTATGTTCGGGCCGACAGTTCCAACATCGTTCCAAGACTCCAAATGCACGTGAATTTTACGCTAGGTGAGACTGTTGCCAGACAATGTTTGTAGTGAAACTGACATGACGTTAAGACAGGTTCCTTGAGACATTTGGGCGGAGCTCGAGACCTCACGAATCCTTCCCATATGCAGCTTACTATAGTAACGGGAGGTCAGCCTCGGGGATCACATCCCTCTTGTCTTAATCCAGACGGGATTACACACCGCAATACCTATGCTTGTTACGCATTGCCTGGGATACAAGCGCCTACCCTCGTTAAATGCCAACAAAAGTAGAAGTTGCGTGCCTCTTGTAGCTTGTAGTCGGTTCAATACAGTTGGTAGAAGAGGACGAGATAGGATTCCAGCCATCTTTGGGCACGTTGTTGTCTGGTATCTCCTTGGTTTCGTAGGGCGTCTATGCCCAGCGAATTATACACGGCTGTCGTAGTCAAATCACCCTACTTATAAACGGCGTTTCCATAGTAAAGCACGTAGTCTTTTATCCTTGCGTTTTTCCCCTCTTTTTTCTAAAAGTATTCCGCTCATTGGAATCCGCTCATTACACTCTTTTTTCCATTTGTCTTCGACTATTCACTCGTTTAAACTTAGCTTTTCCGACCATCTGGAATCTTGAAATCCGGGAGGATGCGCTTGCCCACGAAGTTGTCACTACTTCTTCCCCTGCTGAAGGACGGTGACATAGAGTCTGGCGGAGTTGAGGGGCTTTTAGAGTCAGGGGCAATTGAGTAAGTTCAACCTTGATACTTCCTATAAGGATGTCACTAACAGGAATCGTGCTCCCAGAGCTCTGCCAGGCCCCTATCAGCCTCAGTTCCTAGTCCAGGTGGAGTTGGAAGGACTAAAGAAAGGACGACCAGAGCCTCCATCATACTTGTTCCACAAGGGAACTTGCAACGAGTGTCACTTTGCCACGTTCTTCTCGCTGGTTGGTGACCAACTTTTCGCAGATGGTGAACTGGTCAAAACTAGCGGGGGTTCAAATTACCAACCGCTCCTCGCGACGCCGGCCGTCAGAGATATCCAACATGGGTTCTCGCTAGAAGATGGCATCCTTCAGTGGGAGCATCCAAGCTTCACTGGAGGAAGGGCCAGCTTTTGCCTATCGACATCAAATACAGTGCTAGCTATTTTCAAGAACGAAACAAAGCCAGCTGACTGTGCCCCGGCGAATCTTGTCCATGTTCCATGTAAGTTGAAATAAAATACAGGCCGCGCTCTAGACAACAGTCTTGGCTTACATGTAATGCAGATGCCCATTGCTTTCCACAGATCATGTTATCACTCCAAGCCGACGATGCAGGGCCTCCTCGAGGAGCTGTTGGAAATACTGGCGGTACGAGCGGCCAAGCCGGGACGAAGTGGATAGATTCCACGTCAGTTGCCAACGATCATTATGCTCCTTCACGTGCCAGTTGCGGAGGGACTGGCAAGCCGAGTCGTCCAGGCCAACCTGGTCACGAGGGCACCCGGAACTATCAGAATAACGGCCAAGGCATTTCCGGAGATTCGGACAGTACATACACTGGTCAAGGTTATAACCGCAACTACCAGGATAGCGGCCAAGGTCATTCCGGAGCCTGGCATGGTACCACTCAAGACCACAACGGCAACTACCAGAACAACGGCCAAGGCGGCTCCGGAGCCCAGTATGGTACTACTCAAAGCAACAACCATAGCTACCAAAATAGCGGTTCACATCACACCGGGAAGTTGGGTGTGATAGATGTTCTGTTATCCTATCTTAAGCATAATTGGAGTGGCAAACACAGCAAACATGGTAAAGACGGCAAAGATGGAACTGATGGCGCCCAGGGTCCTCCAGGTCCATCAGGGCCTGCAGGCCCAGCTGGTATTGATGGAGAAGACGGCGAGGCCGGGCCAACAGGGCCTATGGGCCCAGCTGGATCAATAGGCCCTGAGGGCCCGGAAGGCCAAGCTGGTGCTGATGGACAAGATGGAGAAGACGGTGAGGCCGGGCCAACAGGGCCTAGGGGCCCAGCTGGATCAATCGGCCCTGAAGGCCCGGAAGGCCAAGCTGGTGCTGATGGACAAGATGGTACTGATGGACAAGATGGTATTGATGGACAAGATGGTACTGATGGACAAGATGGTGCTGATGGACAGGATGGTGCTGATGGACAAGATGGTGCTGATGGACAAGATGGT